CTTGCTTCTCTTGCTGCTCTAATTTGCTTTCTGGATTTTGTTGTTCGGTTGACTGACGGCGACTTGCAACTCTCTGTTTAATAGTGGTTTTGCGTCTGAAGTTGTGCAAGTTTGTATTGGCTAGCTAACTGTGCAATGGTTGCTATTTTTGGTGTTTAGAATGAGCTGCTTTGGGACTTCTGAATATTTTAATATGATTGTGTTTTTAGAAAATTATCGGGGAAAGTTTACAGTTTGCTATGATGGATACAGTAGCTTTTCTTTGTTGACCAAAAATGTCTTCGGCACCTCCTCTAGAGAGGTTTAGCATCATGAAATTTTGAGGAAAATGTATGATGAGGTGGGGTTGTGATATACATACTAAAGGTTTAGAGTGCGTATGTTGGAGGGGTCGATTTTGGCAGTGAATGCAAGTATGGCCTTTAGGAATTACCGGTCCACTGTGAAACTGAAAGCATTCAATAGAATGAGCTGAGCTGGTCTTACGGAGTTGAGGCAAGAGATATTTTGCATTGCTTTGCCTTTGATGATCAAGGTTGATAGGTTTATGCTAATTCTTGGTTTCCTTATATTTCTTGGTGATTAGTAGGTTTTCGGTTGCAGAGAACATTATTCGTGGAGTAATCCTGCCCGGCTTGGCTTTACACATCAGATACATCACCAGAGCACTTCCTTGGTTGAGGTTAGGTGAAGCATCTTCATTTGTTGATTGATCTTCTTGTTTGCTAGCTTCTTAAAGTTTACAACTTTTGTTTTTAAGGTTAAACTGAATTTGTGATAATGCGGAGGGTCCTGGGCTCTAGGTTATCGTTGCTCCCTGCTAACTGGTATAAGAGTTATACCTGTTTCCCTTCTGGTATCGCAAGATGGCCTATTTTCATAGTTCAGATTACACATGTGTACCTGAGTATCTGATATAGAATTGATAGAGCTTAAGTATGTCCTTCTAGGTTACTGGCTGGACTAACTTAATCTGCATCCTTTGTCCACAATCTGTTTATCCCTTCATGATTCTGAAAGGTTTCTAGGTCCTTTTTCGAAGGGAGAAATTCTTGACTTATCTATGTATGAAGTGTGGTGGATTGTCTTGAGGGTGAAAAGATAGAGAGCAAGAGGGGTGGTTATTTATTTAACAATCACTTTCCTGAGGAAGTTATTTACATTTTGTGCCCAAATATTTGGTCATGGAGCTGTTCTGGTGCCACAATGTCCTGCTAGGCGCTCCACTTGTGCTTTTTTCCTTTAGGTAGTCGCAGTAAAAAGATTGTGCTAAATGCCTAAATTGTTTAACTGCATATGAATTGTGACCTCCTTTGGTACTTCAGTTCTCAACATTTTACAGTTTTTACAGAGCTTAGTCACAGCAATTAATGTGTGATTAATTTTCTTGCAGGAACAACTTGATCCTTTTTCACTTGTTGCTGATGAGTTATCGCTTCTTGCTAATAAGTTGCGGGAAATGGTAGTTGCTGAGGTACTTAATTCTATTTGGTCTCATTTGCCCTTAGATGCTGAATATTGGATGTCTTTTTTGAATTCATGTTTCTTTATGGCCCAACCAGAGTGTTGTACCCATTCTGGTGTGATGATTGATCTTCTTTCCAGGTTCCGAAGCTTGCCTCAGCTGCTGAATACTTCTTTAAAATTGGAGTGGAAGGGAAGAGGTTCCGTCCAACGGTAACTAAAATATTGACCATGTTTGGCGGTAGTTTTGTATTTCCTTCAGATTGTGCTAAGGAGGCAATATGCCCTTTTCTTATGCCAGTTTGTGTTTAGTGGTACTAATGTGATACTGAACAAGGAGGTATATTTTAATGCAGGTCTTGTTGCTGATGGCAACAGCTCTAAATGTACACTTACCTGAACCTATACCCAATGTTGGTCCCGTGGCTACAGAGCTACGTGCAAGACAACAACGTATAGCTGAGATCACAGAGATGATTCATGTGAGTCACTTGAGCAGTTGCAGCAGTTAATCTGATCTATAAACTTGAGGACTTGGCACTTCATTGATGACTTACTTTGTTTTGTGTATTAGGTAGCAAGTCTTCTCCATGATGATGTTTTGGATGATGCAGACACGAGACGTGGAATTAAGTCATTAAATTTTGTTATGGGCAACAAGGTACTTCATTTTTTGAAAAATAGAGCTTTCATATGGGACTTCTTTTAATGTTTATCAGATCTAATTTATGTTCTAAGATGTTATTTTTGGGATGCCATGTCCATGTGTACATTCCTGATAGCTTTTAATAGGGTTCAGTTTCATGTTTATCTTATAGTTATTTCCGTTTTCTTTTCGATTAGTCACATAGGCTTCCTATACCATGGAAAGTATAGTCTGCTCTGCTAATCTAACAGCTGGTGTCAGTTCCTAATGTCTTCTATTCATTTTCTTCCCTTGTTAATGCAGGTGTCAGTGCTAGCTGGGGATTTTCTACTTTCAAGAGCTTGTGTAGCACTAGCTTCTTTGCGGAACACTGAGGTATGTATATGCTGTAATTCCCTGGCATTCCAGTCCAAAGCAAGTTTAGATTGCAACCTCTATAGTCTTGGAGAAGTTCTTGAAAACAGTAGACCAAATTTGTTGATACATAGTGCAAAAAGAATTGAAGGTATTACTATATGTGCAGCAGCCAGCAACAGAAATGTTCATTGGTATTCAATGGTGATCATTTTCCCTTTAATTCATTAAGTATTTGAAGGGTTGGCTGCATTTTCATATGTTTTGATGGCCTATTGTCGTTTCCTCACTCTGGCAAATGCATAACTATAGGTCGTTTCACTACTGGCAACAGTTGTGGAGCATCTTGTAACTGGCGAAACCATGCAGATGACTACTACCACTGAGCAGCGTTGTAGGTATATTACCTACCGGCTTCATCTGATGCATTGCATTAAGTACTGTCGAGAGATTAGAGTTGTAGATGGCAGCATACTTTTTCCTTTAATGCTCAATCATCATAGCTTTACACCATTTCTGGGATTCCGACTTTTAAGCTTATTCTGTGACTGCATGGACATTTCATAATTTGCAACTGGTTTGAAGAATGCTAATCTGCCGACCTAAACTAATGTTTGATGAAATCCTGATCCCAATGTGTTCAGAAGTACAAAATTGTATTTTCGACAATGGTCATGTATTAGGCAGGTGTATCCGTTTTAATATATACCTCTGGTCGAAGTTGAATATTGGGAGCTCTTGTTCTTGTGTGAACAATTGAATTTCCTTTGTTTTGTGATTATGCCTCTTTTATTTACATATTTGTACTTCGTTGGTTACTGCAATCTTTGATGATGCCCAGAGTTGTGGTTTCCAGCCAGGATATATTTTTTGTTTAAATTTTTCAAAGAACATGTTCTTTGTGCAGCATGGAGTATTATATGCAGAAGACGTATTACAAGACTGCATCTCTTATTTCCAATAGCTGTAAGGCAGTTGCTCTTCTTGCTGGGCAAACTGCTGAAGTGGCAACACTGGCTTTTGAGTACGGAAGAAATCTGGTCTGTAGTCCCCTCCATAGTGTCTCTTATGTGAATAATCTGATAAAGAGGATTGCTTTCAAAAGTTCATTTCCTGTAGTATTTCACATTTCAATGTCTTTGGAATGCTATTCACGGTTAAATTGTTAGTGCAAGAGTAATGGTTAGTACTACAAAAAGGTTTCATTAGTGTCAATGAACTTTTGAGTAAAATGTCTACCGACTGCATGGATTCATGTCTATGGACCGCGTTTCCGGTTTCATCTCAGTGCATGAAGATGTCGCACTATTTGAAATAAGACTGATAATATCAATCTTTCATTTGTTGCATTGCATGCTTATTTGCGAAAGGATTTCCCACTATGGTGGTTTTCAGACACATGAGGGTTTCCACCAGCATCCATATGCATTGACTTGTCTACGAAAGATCTTGCTAATTGACAGTATAGGAGAGTTTCTGTATGGCTTGTGCTTCCAGTGCCACTGATTCTTGTCGCTCTTTGAACTGATGCTGATATCTTACTGTTTCATCTTTTTACCAGGGTTTGGCTTTTCAATTGATAGATGATGTTCTTGATTTCACCGGCACGTCTGCTTCCCTCGGAAAAGGATCATTGTCGGACATACGCCATGTAATTTATCCAAACACCTTCGTATGATTATATTAATGGTATTTTCATTAGTGCAGACTGCGTGCCTGCTCCAATGGCCTAGTGTATCAAGCTTTTCTACTCACACTATTGGAACACAACCTTTTGTAGGGAATAGTAACTGCTCCAATACTGTTTGCCATGGAGGAGTTTCCCCAGCTGCGTGCAATTATTGATCAAGGATTCGAGGACCCCAAAAATGTAAACCTTGTAAGTAGGACATGGATGAAATCTCAGTGCTCTTTCCTAGTGTTGTTTCTTTCACGGCATTCTAACTTATGGTTTTGGATTGGTCCTTCAAAAATTACAGGCACTTGAATACCTCGGAAAGAGCCGCGGAATACAGAGGACAAGAGAACTTGCTGCACAACATGCTAACCTTGCTGCAGAAGCTATTGATTCTTTACCGGAAACTGATGACGAGGATGTGCGGAGGTCGAGGCGAGCTTTGATAGACATCACACACAGAGTAATCACCAGGAACAAGTAACAAGAAGCCCCACGCCTCGGTCCTCGCTTGGCAGCATGTAGACACAATATTTTTGCAGTAATTTGGTTTCGTTGTTCCTGTAATTCGAGGGCAAATTAGTTCCCCTCACCATTAATTTTATTGCTTTTCAGATTGTGTCACAATAATATACACTGTAGGGGGACCTGATACTTGTAAATTGTGCTCCCATGTTACTGTACGGACACAACACAAATAGCCCAGATAGGTATAGTTTCTGCTTCAAATGAATCTCAGATTAGTGCGAGTGAAGTTTATTGGTAATCAGTTTTGGAGTTATGATCCCGTTTCCAATTCGTCTGATCAATGATTTTTCGTTGTATACTACATGTTCGACGAATCTCTTTTAAGTATCTGAAAATTATAGCTCAAATTTATTTCCAATAAACCTTGAACTTGCGAATCGGAGATATTGAGCAGACAAACACTCCAGCCACGGAAGGGAAGAGGTCTGAGAGTTCTGAGCATTTGCCTGCAGATTCACCTCCCGCGGTACTGAATGTGCAACAGCATTAATCTGATAGAATATGGTCAAAGTAACCAGCCAAACATATGTTTACGAAATACATCTTACATTCAGAATGTGACAAACAGTACGAGCAAATAATCACATTAAATAAACAAACATAGACGTAACCTTTATTCAGCAAAATTTATCTCTTATGCTCTGAAAGATCCCTGTGCAATAACACCACCAAACCGAAGCAGCATGGTCGTAGCAGCAGCCTCGAATCCTAAGTAAAGAAGCAATAAATTAAAACTAGCTGAACATCCCAGCTCAAAAGATTATATCCTCATCCTTTGCGCCCGCAGCCAACATATTCTGCGCCGAAGCCATCGAAATGCCTTTACTCAAGGACAGCTTCTCAGCAATCTGATCCTCAGCAAACCCTATCGCAGAAGCTCTCTGCCTCTCAATCTCTCTCTTCTTATAACCTTGTATCTTCTTCAGCCTGAAGAAATCTTCTCTCTCAAGCTCGTCCAACTCCCCCTTGATGTAAGTGATTGTGTTCTCAATCCTTGGCTTCACAACATTCTCCAATGCATTCACCCTTCTATTTGTGGTCTTGATTGCCTCATCGAGCGTCAAGAACGATGTCTGGAGCGAAGCAAGCTCAACAAGAACCTCAATAGCTTTCACATAAGCACCACGGCACTTCTGCACCTGCTGCCCGCCTCTGGCCAAACCGGTTAGGTCATTGCTCTTGGTATCCCCCTCGGAGAAATACTCAAACTTGGGCAGCTTCACTCCAGCAACATTGTCTTGGCGTGATCGGACTTTAACGGATGCAGTTTGGACGCTCTCCAAGACGACATGCTTGATATTCTCCCCTGCAACATATTTTGCCTCAGTTAGGGCAAATGAGGAGTTCTTCATGATGTCTCCCATTGACTCTTTCGTTGATACAATATTCTTGAGTATTGCCCGGAACTGCACGGTTAGAGCATCACTCTTCTTCTTGAGAAGAGCATGACCTCTCGTGGCACCGACAAGGCGAGCTTTCATAACTGCGAGCATTGTAACTGTAGGTACCACATTCAAGCGCTGGCCTTGGCCTGCCATCTTTCACCAAAATCTGAAACTAGAATGTAAATGGTCTTAGCATAAAACTTCACTCTAAAGTTGAAATCACCAAGGAGCAGATATCCGATTTACAGATTATAAATCGTTTGCATGGAGATATCTCCAAATGATATATGTGAGGCTTTTCTGAATCACCCAGATCATACAGCAGGCAAACAATGTGATTTGATAGCATATCCAACAGCGAAATGGAAACCTATACAACTTTTTTCCTCTCCATGGAGTTGGAAAAAGAGTAAAGAAGAGCAGTACATTTGTCACAATGAGACCCTTCTAAGTAGGGATCCTATACTCACTTCTAATGGCACTGCAGCTACTAATATCTGGCAATTTGATCTTTACCATCTGAATATGTTCTGTGGCGGAAGTTACAGAAGCATGAGACAAAGAATCGCAGCATAAGAATCCAAGTAGGCATAGGAACAAACAATCAATGGTGATGCGAAAGTAAAGAGTTGGTTCCAATCCACTAAATTCAACTTCCAATTAGTAAATTCGCAATCTCAATACAGAGCATGGAACTTTGAACAAGGCGATCGTACCAAGACGAAACAGGGGAATGAAAGGAACGAAGTTGGATGCTTTTTACCCTCCCCACAATGATGGCTCTGTTGTCTTGGGGAGCGTTGAAGCTTGCTTCTTCTCCAGAATTTTCTTACTTCATCGTTGTAAGTTTGTTAAAGGAATTGCTACTCAATCCTCAAAAAGAATTCATCCCAACACAATAGACCTAAATCGTCGACATTCTTCGGCATGTATGAAAACCAGAGCCCAAAAACAGATAGTTGAAGATAATTGGACGAAAGCGAACAAAACATTCTGCTATAACAAGCAATCAGGAGAGGGATCCTAGGGCTCCAGGATCCACTACGAGTTACCACATTCTTGCTGAATTCCATATTAGTTTTCGAGTGAGAACAGAAATCAGAAACTGGGAAGCAGACGATGCCAGGAGGAGAATCACAAGAACGATTAGGAGATCATAGAAGGAGAGAGCTGCCAACCTGCCGACGAAATAGAGGACTGGAAGTGTGATCGGCGGTGAAGATCGCGATCGGTGATGGTACGGAAGAGAAGGAAATCGCGGGCTCACACATTCACTGAGACAGATAGCCAGAGAGAGAGAGAGAAGGCGGAAGACCAAAGAAGGAAAAAAGTCGAAATAATTTAATCTAATTACTGATTAGTAGCATGGTTCTGAAAAATGGTACCTGATGTCATACCGGATTTTTTTTTGTGATAGAGTATTTTGGGAACCGTTAGTGTGGTAATTCAATTTTGAGTAATCAGGGTGGCTATCAACATCTATATCTTTAATTATTAATATTTTAATCTATTCTTAAATGTATGGTAAAGATTAGATTAAGAGTAATTATGTAAACAAAAAAGATATACACTTAATTACAATCATTTAAAATATAAATTTCTATATATTATGGTAAAACCCTACTACCTCCTCTCTCTCCGTCACAACGGTTCCATCGTTCCCTATTCCCTCTTCTCCCGTCGTCTCTCCTGCCGTCGCCACCACAATCCCGTCTATTTTCCCTTCTCTCTCTACCTCCCTCCTCACCGCACACCTTCGTCGCAACCTTCCCCTCCTTCCAACCTCCTCCACAAGACCACAACCACCACCGCCCGCAACGCCAAATCCATCTTCGACTACATCCCTCCTGTCGGCCACCCATACTTCCCAGCTCCCTTCGGTGGGAAGCTCCTCCCTTTCCCTCACGCGCTCAGATGATCGCTTTGAAGGCCTCTCTCTCTCCCCTCAATATATTTTCATCGTAGACTTCCGCCGAGCGTTGAGATGGTTGCTTTGAAGATTTCATACACTCCCATCGCAATCTCTCTCTCACACAGGCGGCTGGAAAAGGTGGGATGAATAAAAATCCTAGATTTGATTTTTCCGCATTGGTAGTGATTTTTTCGTAGTGGCAGTGTTTTTTCGCATTGGTATTGTTTTTGTCACATTGGTATTGATTATCATGTAATGGTATTAATTTGCATATATTGGTATTGATTAAATCTGCAATGGTATTGATTTTTTGTCAAATGGAATAGATTTATATTGGTAGATTGTGGTATGACCGTGTTTCAACCGTTCAATAAAATATTGTTTTTGTCAAAATACCATGCCGGCCAAAATGTAGTACCGTTTCGAATAATACCGGAATAAAACCAAAATATATCGGATAGAAAATCATAAAATATAAAATATAATCATATACCAGTGTGTACAATAATAGAAGTATAGGAGTGAGGTTGTAAGATTGTAATATAAGTATACAATAGTAGATAATTAATTAAATTAGAACTGATTGTGAAATAATTGGTAGATGGATGGCTGATTGTATAATTTTACTTAATTATTCCACTAATCATGGCCCGTATCAGAAATCAGTTATTATTTCCCATACCCCATATCCCACCATCCACGACCCAAAACCTATCAGAAATCAATTACTATATCACATACCCCATATTCTACCCCTCTCTCTCTCCCTCTTCTTTCTGTACGGCGGCCTCACCATCAAAATCAATTTTCCAGACCCCTTCATCACCAATTCGCCATCCTCTGACTTCCAAACAAACCGAGCACCACATCAACTAGCGTGGAGGCTGAGAAGGAACTGTGCAGGAAGGGACTGCCGGAGGCCGGAGTTAGACACAGGGCAGGAGAGGAAGGGGATAACTCAGGCTCCGACTAAGCGATCTGAAGAAAATGTCGGTGATGAAGCTCCCTTTTCTCCTTCGCCGTCGATGGGAATTTCGCCGGATCCTTGGTCATTCTCACAGATCTTGTCTCCCTTTATCCTTCGCCATCGACGAGGAGTTAGCCGGATTCTCGATCAAAGCCTCCCTTTTTCTTTTACCGGCCGTTCGGATCAAAACCGTCCGACATTTCGCAGTTTTGCGATTCAGACTATGAAACTGGCCGACACTCTAAATTGGAGCATTTGGTTGTACTGTTTCGGATTCTGTCCGATTTCTGAGTTTACATGTTCAACCAGTTGATCCGATCTGATTTCCTGGACCATGATTAGTAGGGGTGCAAGTTTGGGTTGTGCGGGTTGTGGATAACCCGTAAATCGTACTAACCCGCATTCATTGTGGGTAAGTGGGTTGGGTGTTGGTAGTAAAAAATAATTTTTCTGGTTAGTGGTTACCCACTATCACCCACAACATTCACAATAACCACATTTATTATATTTATTTACTAAATTTACTTCATAATATAATATTATGTGAAAAGTGGGAGGCTAAAAATTAAAGTAGCCACAAAATCAAATACGCATATAATCGAGAGAGTGGAGAATAATTGATTCATCAAAAGTAGACACCTTTAGTAACTTTTATAAGCATGTGTTTTGTTTTTGTGTGAAAGAAAATACAGGATCATAATTAATTGTCATATTCCACCCCAAGTCGGTGAAATATGAAATCACAACTCACTGACACAAAAGTTGAATACTAAACTCTAAAAGAAAAAAATCTTCATGTTGAGTAAGATCGATATACAAAAGTGTATCTCCACGAACAACACAATCATATATCACTATAATCTAGCAACGAAAAACATATACGTTAATGGTGGCCTCAACTCCATGCTCGCAAAGATGGATTTTTGCGGGTAAACACATCCAACTCGCGGTGGGTAGTGGTTACCCACTAACCATTGCGGTGCGGGTTGTGGGTAGAATAATTGTAAATTTTTTGTGTGGGTACCTGCAAAATGTGGGGTGGGTACCCACACCCACCCCAATTTCCACCCCTACTAATTAGGACATGTCAATATGAGCTTCGTCTGTGGGCCTTAGTCAAATATTCTGACGGGCCGAAGAACCTAGAGCTAGAGTTGTACTGTGAAATGTGAATTCTGGCCTTCAAGTAAGTGGATGCAGGGAGAATTACAATTCAAGAAGCAAAACTGTGTAGAAAAAAAATGTGATCGTACGATTATGTCTTCCACGACAATCGCTTTTCCTTAACCCTAGTCGCCGTCGGTTACCCGGTGCATGAATCTCGGAGTATACGATCCATGTGGGAGTTATGTACTTTCAAGCAGTCATGGGCATCCCCACGCATTTGTGCATTCAAGTTTCAGTCAGTTACAATTACATTTTTCTCTCTTGGTAGGTTTCATTTTGTCCAGACAGAGTAGTTCCCTCATATTGCCTGCATGTTCCATTATCTCTTCATGCTCCTCAGTTCTTTACTGTCTATAACGATTGTTTGGTTCTTCAATTGGCTTTCTAGGACGTCTATTAAGCGATTGGTGGCCAACATCGATCCGATGGATATTGATCAAGTGGTTGTTTTTTTACGAAGGGGATGTCAATATCGATCCAGTTCAGACTCAAATTAGTCTGGTGGTTCGGTTGTTTGCGCCGTGGCCGATGCCGAGATCGATGATGGAAAGGGTTGCCAATGGAATGTGGGGAACTGCTAAAAACCCCATAATTGTTCATGAAGTTGACTAAGGTTTGTGGAGGTTTATAGTCGTTGACGACAACGTTCGTGAACGGATCCTTCGTCTTTCCCCATGGACGGTTAAGGATTTCATCCTGCATCTTCAGCAGTGGCAGAAGATTACTGAGAACTTGGTCCGTGAGTTGGCACGGGTGCCATTCATAGTTTACATGTCAATGATTCCCTCTCATTTGTGCACTCTGCTTATGGGTCGGAGGTTTCCTATTCACATGGATGGTGGTGTCGAGGCTCGGGAGATAGGGCTTTATGCTGATCATCCTAGGGAGAGTGAGGTTTTCATTGATGCCAAATCTCCCCTCCTTTCACGGATTTTCGGTCAGAATGAGAATATGGGTGAATTCTGGACTCATCTTGACTATGAATATCTTCCACTGTTTTGTTTCAACAGTGGTCGACTTGGTCATGGGAAGTCATTTTGTGAGTTTCCGCTGGCAATTCCTGAGGTTGAAATCTATGATGCTTCGACGTCTGTGCATCCTCGTGGCATCCTTCTAGAGGTGGCAAATGGATTGATCTATGGATTGGTGGATTCATGGATTGGATCAAGTAGATTGGTGGATTATCCATTAATCCAAATGACATACTCAACCTTGGACCAATATGTAAAATGTGAAAAGTTTAGGTACTAAAATGTCATAATGAAAATTTTCAGCTACCAAAACGTGATTTTCCAATGATAATTTTTAGGGGTGTTCAAACGGTTTGGTTACCATGGTAACCGTTTTAACCGGTACTATTTGGATAATTTGGTTTGGTTAATTTGGATAATTGGTTTGGTTTGGTTAAAGTTTTTAGCTTGTTTGGTTTAGGTGGTTTAGTTTGGTTTCAGACACTCCTAACCAGTCAAACCAAATTAACCAGTTAAGTAATTAGTCATATATATAACATATATTATATACACATACTTAATACTTTGCATAACCACTCAAGAGTTAACGTTCATCCCTTTTAAATTCATAAAATATAAAGCTCAATATTGCTCATATAGTGTACATTTGTATATGTAAAATGTAGACCACAATATATGGACGCCTAATTTAGATAAATTTCGTACATTATGATGGATGAAAACTTGAAAGGAAGGTTATTTCCAGACTATGATAATTGCTGAGAGACTAAGTCAATTTACACAAACACAACAATTCATTAACCCATACCATTGTCATAAATTTTTGTTAGGTGAATACTTCTATACTAATCGTAAGATAATTGTCTTAGTTGCATGTATTTTTGTTAAGGGTCAACTATAACTACGTGTTGATTGTTATGTTTTATTCATTATATAAATTGCGAATTGTTGCATTAATCTGAAAATTTTCATTGTTAATGATAATGTGATTTTATATTGGTTAATCTGGTAAACCAATTAACCAAATCGATTAAACTTTAGTTTGGTTAATTTGGTTTTTGTATTAGTTTGGACGGTTTGGTTATGATATTGTATTCCATGGTTAATGGAATTTAGCCTTATTTGGTTTGGTTATAACCATGGTAACCATTTGAACACCCCTAATAATTTTTATATAAAAAATTTAAATTTTGGGTGCCAAAATGTAAAATATAAAAATTATAGGTACCAAACCGTAATTTGCCATTTCAATCCATGGATTGATCCATGAATCCACCAATCCAATTAGATTTGGATCAAATGGATTGGATTAGATGGATATTTTTAATGGATTGGTGGATTGGATTGTTGGATTGGATTGAGAATTGCCAACTCTACATCCTTCAGAATGAGCATACCCTGCTTCCAAAAGGACACTTGGCAGTTCCTCACCATGGATGTGGTCGCAGGCGGTTCACATGGGTTCATCCACGCAATCAGCATGGATGAGGACGGTCTTCTAGAGCTCCCAGATTTCGGGGGCATGAACCAGATGGTGATCCTTGGATGCATCAAACAGTGGTGGTGTATCATGCTGGCACTCTAGCTGGGAGTGGCTTTGTTCAACCACCGGATCGGCCCTCGGCTGGTCGTTGTTCATCGCGTTTTCGGCTAGTGGCTCGTCCAGTTCCTCCCCCGCTGTGTATCTCTGAGGTACCTCCTGCTTCCACCTTTGTTCAACCTTCTTCGATTCTGGCTAGGGATAAAGGGAAGGGTAAGGGTATTATCTCAGAGATGGAAGATTCTGATGGAGGAGTTCATTGACAAGGGGTCCTGCTCTACTCATCCAAAGCCTAAGTTTCATATATTGCTGACTGACAAGGAGATGGAGGTCGAAGGTACCAAAAGAACTTTTGAGGAGATGTGTGGTATTGATGTGGTAGGCCAAGATGTTCAGTTGCCGCTGTTACTAGTTGCTGGTTTGTGATGATGAGCCCCCAGCCAAAAGACAGCAAGTCGAGATGGGTGATTCTGATTCTCTGGAACCTGTGGAGGTAGCCTGCAGCGAGAGGCCCAACCCCCTAGAATGACTATTCTCGCTTGGAACTATCAAGGATTAGTCCCTATCTTGACAGTTCAATCATTGGAGAGTCTTGTTCGTATTAATCGTCCTTCTATATTATTCCTTTGTGAAACTCGTAAAAGTTGTAGTTATGTGGAGGATGTAATTCGTAACTCAGGATTTATGGTCTGGTGGGTTCATCGGGAGATTTGGTCGTGTCCTGGACATCGGAGGTGTCTATTTCTTATTTGTGTTCGGAGACCTTTTTCATTTCTTTGCAACTTTGTATTGATGGTTATCGTTATGTACTGGTTTTTGTTTATATGAACTGCGATGATGTTGTCCATAGGCAGAAGTTCAATTACTTAACACGTTATTGTCCTTTGTTAGTTGCTCCTTTTTTGGTTGTTGGGGATGACATTTTAAGTTCGGTTGAAAAAGCAAGGTGGTCGCCCTTTGATCCACATCGTTCTCTTTCTTTCAGAAAGTTTGTTGACGATCTTGGTCTGACGGATATTGGGTTTTCAGGTCCTAAGTTTTCATGGTAATAGACATTCCGATCATACTTTTATTTATAGTCGCCTTGATAGGTTTTTATTCTCCGTTTCTTGGTTGGATGTGTGGCCACATAGTAAAGTTTTTCATCTTGTAGATAATGAAAGTGATCATAGAGCTTTGCTATTTCGATGGAGCTCTACTACTTTGTCGAGAAAACCAATCTTCATGTTTGATGCCCATTGGGGATCGAATGAGGAGGATTGGGATATTGCTTCTCAGGCTTGGGCTTCATCTGTTAGGGATCTCCTTGTTTTTTATTGTGGAAGGGATGAAGATGGCTCGACAACGACTTTTTCAGTGGGATCTCCTTGTTTTTTATTGAGGTCGGGATATCACCATTTGAAGGTGGGGGAGAAAACCGTACCGTTGCCTGCTTTCCGAACACGGTATGGACATTATGAATTTTTGGTGATGCCTTTTGGACTTACTAATGCACCGGCAGTGTTCATGGCTCTTATGAACAAAGGTTTCCATGAATATCTTGACAAATTTGTCATAGTATTCATTGATGACATTCTAGTGTATTCGAAGAGTGAGGAAGAGCATGCTGAACACTTGAGATTGGTATTGCAAACTTTGAGAGAAAAAGAGTTGTATGCCAAATTCTCGAAGTGTGCGTTCTGGCTGGAAGAGGTACTATTTCTGGGGCACGTGGTGTCTTGGAGGGGAGTAGAGGTGGATCCTAAGAAGATTGAAGCTATTGTGAATTGGACTCCACCTAAGGATGTGTCGGGAGTACGAAGTTTTCTAGGGTTAGCTGGGTACTACCGTCGATTTGTGGAAGGGTTTTCTAAAATAGCCTCACCTTTGACTAAATTATTGAGGAAGGAAACCCCATACATATGGACGAAAGAGTGCCAGGAGAGTTTTGAATAACTGAAGCAGAAGTTGACTTCAGCCCCAGTTCTGGCATTACCGATGGAGGAGGGAGAATATGTGGTATACAGTGACGCATCATATCTTGGTTTGGGTTGTGTCTTGATGCAGAACGGAAAGGTGATTGCATATGCTTCCCGACAATTGAGGCCACATGAGTGCAACTACCCAACTCATGATCTAGAGTTGGCAGCTATCGTATTTGCCTTAAAATTATGGAGGCATTACCTTTATGGTGAAACGTTCAAAATTATGACCGACCACAAGAGTTTGAAGTATTTAATGGATCATAAGGAGTTGAATAACCGACAAAGAAGATGGTTGGAGTTGTTGAAGGACTACGACTGCACAATTGATTACCATCCTAGTAAGGCAAATGTGGTCGCCGATGCACTCAGTCGAAAGGGAAGGTTGTCAGAATTAGTGGAAATGAGAGCTTTGGGGGTGGAGTTTCAGGTGGAGGACATCACCACCCTAATTGCACACCTAAGCATTCGACCACTACTCCATGATCAAATTAGAGAAAGTCAACAAGTAGATCCTGAGTGTATCGAGAAGTTGAAGCAAGTTGAAGTGGGGGAAGACAGTGAATTCATGGTGGAAGAAGGCATACTAAAAAGGCATGGTCGTACGTGGGTTCCAGAGTCGGGTGATTTAATACGAAGAATTCTGGAGGAAGCCCATTCATCCATTTATGCCATGCACCTGGGGGTCACAAAGATGTATAACACGATTAAAACATATTTTTGGTGGTCGGGAATGAAGCGAGAGGTGGCTGAGCATGTTCAAGCTTGTCTAGCGAGAGGTGACCGCACTCTTGCAGCCGCTGCCAATTCCAGAGTGGAAATTTGAGAGGATCACGATGGATTTTATGACCGGATTTCCTTCTACCTGGGAAGGAAAAGATGCCATCTGGGTAATTGTAAATCGAATGACTAAAGTGGCACATTTTATCATCATTCGATTCAAGCCAAGTATGGAAGAGTTAGCGAGGCTGTACATAAGTCACATTGTTCGACTTTATGGTGTTCCTCTATCCATTGTCTCAGATCGAGATCCCAGTTTCACATCACTCTTCTGGGAGAGCTTGCAGGAGGTGATGGGTACGAGACTTAATTCCTCCACGGCTTATCACCCTCAGACGGACGGGCAGTCTGAGCAGACAATACTTATTTTGGAGGAATTATTACGAACCTGTGCAGTGGAAACAGGTGGACCTTGGACGGATTTACTACCCTTGGTGGAGTTTGCCTATAACAACTCTTACCATAGTAGTTTGCAGGCTGCACCATTTGAAGCTTTGTATGGAAGGAAGTGTCGTACCCCGCTATGTTGGGATGTTTAGGGTACTCGGGTTCTTACTGGACCACAAATGGTCCAAGATACGGAGGAGAAGGTGAAGGTGATCAAAGAGAGATTGCGGGTAGCTCAAGATCGCCAGAAGTTATATGCCGATAGGAAGGCTCGAGAAGTTAGCTATGATGTGGGAGATAAGGTGTTCTTAAAGGTATCCCCATGGAAGGGATTGATGAGGTTTGGAAAGAAGGGTAAGCTAGCACCTCATTACATTGGTCCTTACGAGGTTATCTCCAAAGTAGGACCTGTGGCATATGAGCTCGCATTACCCCGTGAGTTGGAGAAAATTCACAACGTATTCCACGTGAGTATGTTGAAAAATTATCATATCGATCCATCTCATGTGATACAACCCGAAAGGGTGGAGTTGGAGCCAGATTTGACCTATGAAGAAAAACCTGTGAGCATTGTGGATCATCAGGTACGCATCCTAAGAAGCAAGCAAATCCCAATGCTCAAGGTTATATGGCGTAATCAGGAGGAGGAGGCTGCAACCTGGGAAACCGAGGAGAGTATGAAGAAGAAGTACCCCGAGCTAGTTGAAGCTTATGCTCAACGTATGTCGGCCTAGTACCTCGTGTGTTAGCTCGATATGAGTAGGGTACATTGTAATATATAACCCCTATTGTAGAGTGAGTGAATAAGTATGAAATAAAAATTTCCTAAGCCATTAGAAACTTAATGGCCTAGGAAAATTATCATGTCGACGTGCTGAGTTAATCGATGTTTTGGGACGAGCCGATTTCGGGGACGAATTCTAATTAAGAGGGGGAGAGCTGTAACATCCCGAACCTCGGATAAATTTTTTCCAAGTGGCGGATGTATATTGCACGATTCGATACTGGAAAAAAAATCGAGAAGTTATCCTATACGACGTAGGATCAACCAAACCCCTTGAAAACTCCCCAAAACATCAAAAAGTGCAACAAAAATAAATTGCTAGCTATAGTAATTGAACCTTTGACCTATTAGTTAGAAAGGAAGGGTTCAACAACCTAACCAGTTAGACTATGCTTGTTTCAATGATACAAAAGGAGCCGAGTCATTAATGAGCTAAAGAAGTAGGCATTGCACCAGCAGCTAGCTTGTTTATGGAGCCGGCTTTGGAACTTGAGTTTCTAACTTTCAAACGTACTGCTCCTTAGAAGGCCGCCCCAGGCCTTTACTCCATCTGCTGGAAAGTAAATGAAGAGGTAAGAGCATGAATCAAAGAGCTCTATAATACCGGTAAGCTAGCTCTCTATTTTTGCCTTCGTACAAACACCAAGAAGAGAAAAGAAAAGAAATAATATGAAACCAAAGCCTAGCATAGCCTCTGTATTCCCAGCAAAGATTTAGAACCTATACAAACCTATTTACAAGCCAAAATCGTCAAACCAACTCACCAAATATTCTTCGCCGAAACTTTTGTCGTGACCTTTTTGTCAGCCAAACCAGCACCATTAAAGGTAGTATCAGCTACAAAGCTTGATACCGTTGCAAAGAGCAAGTCTCCACGAGCATCACAGAGTTCACGGAATTGAATTCCGAGTTCAGGCGAGGGAGAAACAAGGATGGGAAGTTGGTACGCGAGGTAAGAAAATTTCCAGTTTTCTGCAGATTTTGGGACATGCAGAAAATTAACAATTAATCCGTAACTTCGTACTAACGATGATCAACTCGCAATTTCTTCGTTTGACATCCAAACGACAAACCGTTTTCGCTTACAGGACCGTAGAAACAAGGAGAATTTTTGGGAGCCAATCTCTGGAATTTTAGAACTTAATTCCCGACTTGGAATCAGCTAAATTAAGGTGTGTGAGGATTAAGAGGACCTTGATTATTGCATCGATTATTTATGCTTGATTTACATATTTGGATGGATGGATTACTGTAGGCGATAACTTATTTGTTGATATGATGATTTGGTGATTATTCTTGATTGTTATGGATTTTATGGTGTAAATATCGGTATTTGACAAGTTTCACCGTAAAAATGGATAGTTGGGTTTATTGAGTTTAAAACTAATCTAAGATATTTTGGTTTGTCTAAAATGATGTTGGGGCAGATTGAGCAGAAGATTTCATTTGAAAATTGTTTCTGGATTAAAAACTGCATAATGGTGAATTTTACGGAAAGCTCGGTAAAAACGTGTTTTATTTATCTTTAAGATTTTAATCACTTTAAAATGGTCAGTATGGCTTGTTAAATGGGTTTTGGTCTGGAAATTGTAAATTAGACGGTTGGGGGAGTTTTTATCTTTAATATGGTAAAAACGAGCTTAATATGAGATTTGCGGTAAAGAGCGAGTGTAATATTATTTTCATGGTTTTGATTTGTTGAAAAATTTAAAAACTGGACAGACCTGTTTTAGGATGATAAATGAAGGTTCTTGTATTTTTGGGAGATTTTCGGATTTATCTTTTTGTGAGAATTTAAGTTACCGTAAAATAATGGTTAATACGAGAGTTTTGATATTTTATTGTCTAAATTGATTTTTAGGACCAGAATAGATTAAATGGATTTTTGTGTCAATAAATTCATTTACATGAATTGTGTGAGGATTTTAATGATGGAAAGTGAATTTTGAGATAAGGATATTTTTAACTGCAACCGGGTTATTTATAATTATTTGCGTTGGCGCTATTTCGTGAAATTGTTGATGAATTTTGGATGAGGAATGGTGACATGGTACTGCTGAGTAGCTTTACTGGAGAATGAAATGATTTATGTGAAACTTCGAGTTGATAATCGACGGGAAATATATATATGGACTGGTTAATTCATGAGAATACATTGATTCCGGATTGTTTGTGACGGATGAGAAAAATGGAAATGGTTTGATTCGTGATCATATTAATTCACGTAGATGTAGAAAGGGCCTGCACTTACCCTCACCCCTTGAGAGTGGGTAGATTTAGCTCGCTTATGCGAATGAGTGTTGTGGTTGCATGAGCACCACGGATGAGTGTTGTGGTTGCATGAGTACCATGGATTGAGTGTTGTGGTTGCATGAGCACCACGGATGATGATTTGCTCGAGCGAGGGTAAGTGTATGGTGACCTTGGCGCCATTAATAATTAACCGGAATTTTCATATCATGCATTGATTATGTGTGTTCGTGAAATTATGTGATTATCTTATTTGATAAATTGATTTGGTGATGATGAGTTGGTGGATTCGATAATTTGATCGGTAATTTATATATATGATGATTTAAGATGGCATCTAGAGTACTAAATTATGATTGATTACGATTGTTTGATTAGCTGATTGCGGTCCCAAAATTAGGTCGTGGGAAAGATCAACACACACAGCTTAGTTGCTGACCCACGTCTGTTTTCAGGCTCGCAGGTGCAACTAGGATCGGAGGTAGTTTGGAACACTGTTCTGTCATGGTCACCTAGGATTTCTGCTTTGAGGGTTTTCAATAATAACCCACATTTTGTAAAATTCAACAAGTGGGTTGGGGATCGAATAATGAGTTTGTATGATAACGGTTTATGTTTATGTTTAATAATCGGATATGATGTTTGAGATGATTGAGTTCAACCAGTAACACCAAGGATTTGGTTGTGCGGTTGAACCACGGGTTCAACCATAGAGATTCTGGATGGGGTGTTACAGATCACTCCAGCTGAAATTAAGGAAACAATATTTCATATGGGAGAGCTAAAAATTCCAGGTTTAGATAGCTTCACTAGGGCTTTCTTCAAGGCTTTCTGGCCATTTGTGGGTAACGTTGTCATCAACGCCATTTCTTCTTTCTTTAGCTCTGGTAAGCTCTTGCGCAACTGACACGCTAAAACACAACACCAAACTGTGACCAAGTGTAATCGCAGTCCGCAGATGCAGTAAAGTGGCAAGTTTTATTTGTCAACCCGGTGTCTAGATCTACTGCCTACTCCGCGTTTACCTATTATCTAGTAAACTAAGTCGAGTGATTGTGAGTTTAAGGGACAACAATAAGAAAGCAATAAATCGTTCAAAGTTCTTTAGCAAGGGAAGAGTCACTCGGAAATGAGTCCCCCTAGCTTCTTAGTTAGGTCAAAGTTGTAATTACCTTTGGTTGCTTTACTGTTGATTATACTGCGGAAGATTAGACAGTAGCTTGGAATCTCTTAAGCTGACCAAGCCCTCTTAGACAGACTACCCGGAAGACGACTAGTCTTCACCGGGGTAGAATGCTGAGGCAAAAAACACAGAACTCCACTACTGGAATTGGATTCGAGTACAAAGAAGTGAATCGATTAACTCTCATATAACCAATTCACTACTACCGATTGATGAAGCTCTAACAACCTAATCAGATTCTATCTATCTCAGGTTGCAGCATAAATCAAGAAAAGTTTATCAGGCTTCAATTGACTCAATGAATCATGCATCAATCGATTATAATCAAGCAGTATATCAATCCAAACGTCATTACAATCAAGATCCCTAACACATGGAACTAGGGTTCTTCATACCCAAGTGAGAGAAAGTTCTACTCCATAGAGAGAGAGGAAAACAGAAATCAGAGTAGCCATACTCATAAAGATGAGGATAATCTGCTCTAGGATGTCGATCTTCACTCCTGGGGATGCAATCTGGGCTTCAATGATGAAAAATCCACTCCAAATAGATCCTAGGGTTTGTTCTTCGAACTTTCTCTCTCTAAAACTCTATTTTTTGCTCAAAAACTCCATTCTCTCTTCTTTGGCTCGAATCTGCCTCAAAAACCCGATTTTGGGCAAAATACACGCTGAATTACGGTCGTAGACATGGCCTGCCCGTATTTCACCCAAAACACGCGTTTCGGTTAAGTTTCAGCGCATCCAAGGCTCCTCTCGGCAGAGAAAATACGGGCATGGGAGGGGAAACTACGGTCGTATTTCTCCTGTTCATATTTCTTCCTCCGCTCCTGTTTAATGCTTCTTTTCTCCCTCGTTCGGACTCCGAATCAGTCGCCGTTTGATCCCAGAAGCTCGTACTCTCGTCCTATTTCTTTTCATGACAAGATTCTAGTATTAATTTTCCATAATATGAGGTAGAAGTCCATTCTACCTCAGGTCATGCTTGTGTTTCTTCTCCCGAATTGTCAAATGATCTCCGGTTGACTTGAAACTTGCGCCTATGCTTCTATTTACATGCTAGGACCTGAAATGTGACAAAGGAACACAACCTAGCATAAAATAGTCAAAGAAAGCAAAAACTCAAGCCAAAATGATCAAGAAACGAGGGTGCAAACATGTGCAAATACGACATTATCAAATTCCCCCACACTTAACCATTTGCTTGTCCCCAAGCAAACCAAGTTAGATACAAGGTAAGATCAAAACATTTTAAACATAAAACCCTTGGGGACATATCATATAGGCACGAAACACGGGAGTCATACTAGCTTTTAGACATTAACACATGGACAAGTTCAACAACAACCTGGACAACCACCACAGAGGACATTCGAGTGCAGCAAAATCGGTTAAAGGAAGAGTCTCCCTTCTGTTCACTAACCAACATAGACTTGACTCAACCACTTATTCAAGACAGTCACCTCATGCATAAAACTCAAGACATCAGAATCCAGACCGAGCAATCTAGGTCCTTACCGGGGTAAAGAGTGCAGAGAAAATAAGGAAATGAATCGCTCACTCTCGACCAGTGGGTGAGGACAATTCTTGATGCAAGATGTGCATACTCGTACTCTCAATCCCTAACGTCTCTTCACCATGACGACAACCTCTTATGTTAGAGTTCACTTATTGGGTGTCACCACTAACTAAACCGGAGGTCTTAGACACAGGTTCAAATGACTGGCTAGGTTCTTGGACATGGGGAAAAAGCCTTTTAGGTGGTGGAAGTATTAGTAACACAAGGTTTCACAGTTCCAAGCCAAATAAACTCACAGTCATTCACACCACTTACTTTCTTCCTGCCATTCTGCATTACTCAAGTTCTTCTTTAAAACACAAGAGCGAAGGAGGTCACAATAATGTTAGTATTTCTAAGCCAAACTACTAAGAAACACTACTTAATGAGCATGATTCAGATTTTTGGTAGTGTATCTCTTTAGCTTTTATTCATTTTTTCTTCTTTTTTCATTTCTTGAGAGAACCACCACCTCTGCACATTTTTCAAAAACATGCCCAACTTTTAAGAACTACCTCCAACCCTCAGATTATTTCTAGCAGAAACAACAGAGAACATGCAAAAACCACTCGGTTGAACCTTCTAAGAGTGCAAAAGGGTGATTTTCATTGTAGACCGAAAGAAAGAAAGTGACACGGCTCAAAGGGCTGACTAGGGGATATGACATACCAGGACAATCAATTTGGTCGTGGGCTATTCCTATGCCTCCATCAATTTAGCTAATGGCAACGTGAATGCTACACATCATGGATAAGGGATCTATCGCACAAGAAAGAAACGAGCAGGCTCAAATCTCACATGGCTACCTATATGCTCTATCTCTCATTCTGATTCCCTAAACTAGATGCATAAACGACTGTCAAGAACAAGTGATCAATCCAAGTCACAATTGGTAAGCATACAGTTCAAAAACTCAACCCCTACACAACTCTACCGCACTTCTCAATTATAGTTATAGGTTGTCCTAGTCACAATCCAGTTGTCATGCATCAATTCGAAAGCCATGCGATTCACCAATTAAACCCACAGTGCCAATATGATCAAGCCAACAGCAGTACTTGGAGCCCTCAAATCTCTAGATTTGGACAACGGACTAGGCTCCAAGCACACACATATACGTTCCAATAAATACAAAGCACCCCCCACATTTAAGTTCGACATTGCCCTCAATAGAGCAGAGGGAAGGGGAACGATGTTACCAGGAAATGATGAGCGGGAACGGTGACTGGGAGGCAGACTAGTCAAGAGCAGGAGACTGGAAGTGGACCAGTCCAACTAGCACAGAGCTAGAGTCATGAAAACACACACAGTGGGTGAAAGAAACCATAGTTCCAAGTGGAAACCGAAAACAAACAAAATAAAAACAAACCGTGGTGGGGTTGCCTCCCCACAAGCGCTTCTTTACCTCCGTGAGCCGGATGGTGGCTCCTAAGTTTTAGTCCATGCTAGAAACTCCTTGAAGTTGAGGTTCTCGTCGATGATGTGGGGTCTCAAGTCACAAGCAGGTTGTATGACGGGTGATTTAGGCTCGTGTACTTGATGAATATGAAGTCTCCACCCGCGAGACCTCTTCTTTTCTTCCTCATTCGTCTCATTGCCCCAAACCAGATATGACAGCATCGACTGACCACCATCGTGTCCACCAAGAGGGACCGATGTTGATGTGTCTTTGGTCTGACAAAGAGACACTGCAAATGGGTCCTTGCCAAGCAGCTCCTCGAAGTTTAGTGGAGATATCACATGTAACTCATGGCCGGTGTAAGCCTCTTCCACCTCAACTTCATCCTTAGCCTGGACGCCAATTACTTCTTCAACCCCCCTTCCTTCCTCAGAATTGGACTCCTCCCTTGGGAAAAGATCAAGGACTTCCTCTAATTCACTTCCGTCATCCTCCACAACTTATTTCCTCATTCTTTCTTGCTCTTCTTCTTCAAGCACGGATTGGAGAGCAAGTCGCCATGCAATCTTTTCAATAAGATCAGCTTGCATCTCCTCACTCATGCCCGCCTCTTCAGCGCTCGGTGTGGGTTGCAGAAAGGGATGGGCGGCTACAACAGGAATTTTCTGATCATGATCATCACGGGAGCTCTTCGTGACAACTTCTGTATGCTCCACGACATCCTCATGTTTGACTTCTTCCTCCTTAGTGCTTTGTATTGTAGCATAAAGGTTGTCTTGAGAAAACTGTGCATAAGCTTTCTCAATGACCTCTATATTCTTCTTGATGCTCCGAAGGGTCTCCTCTGTTTCAAGGGGAAATGAGAAGTCAGTTTGGGCAATGGCCTGGATATGAGGATCCATCTCGGAAAAGGATCTCTCAGGTACTCGAGCAATCTGTTCCACGAGAAGCCTCAAGTGATAGTTTGGATCTGACTGTGGAGTGTAGCATGGATCTTCCGGATGGCCCATTAAGGTTGTGGCTAAATCAGGATCTGATGGCCCTTCTAGTTGTGGGAGGAATTCTTCTTGATAATGAGATTGTTCTTGAAATACCCAAGGGTCTGATTGTTCTTCGCAGTAGGGGGTTGGTACTGAAACTAGACTCCATAGTCTTCTCCTCCTTGGTTGCTCCAGGAAGTCTCAGGGTAGTACCACTCGGGTGGTGCTGGATACCCCCAATGGTTGGAGAAGCCTTGAGAATCCATGTATCAGATTTGCACCAACAAAAGTAAAATAGCCAAGTGAAGAGCAAGGGTGGAAAAGAGAGGATGCATAAAAGTAAATGCTAAAGTAACAGACTTTCACATTTCTACAATAACCTAGAGTTCCCCGGCAACGGCGCCAAAAACTTGACACGCTAAAACAAAACACCAAACTGTGACTAAGTGTAATCGCAGTCCGGAGATGCAGTAAAGTGCCAAGTTTTATTTCTCAACCCGGGGTCTAGATATACTGCCTACTCCGCGTTTATCTATTATCTAGCAAACTAAGTCGAATGATTGTGAGTTTAAACGAAAACAGTAAGAAAGCAGTAAATGGTTCAAAGTTCTTTAGCAAGGGAATAGTCACTCGGGAATGAGTCCCCCTAGCTCCTTAGTTAGGTCAAATTTGTAATTACCTTTGGTTGCTTTACTGTTGATTATACTGCGAAAGATCCGACAGTAGCTTGAAATCTCTTAAGCTGACCAAGCCCTCTCGGGCAGACTACCCCGCACGACTAGTCTTCACCGGGGCAGAACGCTGAGGCAAAAAACACAGAACTCCACTACTGGAATTGGATTCCAGTACAAAGCAGTGAATCGATTAACTCTCGTATAACCAATTCACTACTACCAATTGATGAAGCTCTAACAACCTAATCATATTCTATCTATCTCAGGTTGTAGCATAAATCAAGAAAAGTTGATCAGGCTTCAATTGACTCAATGAATCATGCATCAATCGATTATAATCAAGCAGTATATCAATCCAAACGTCATTACAATCAAGATCCCTAACACATGGAACTAGTGACTCACTCCTACTGTCACTCTAGAAAATGGCTAAGTGAAACCACTTCCTAAAGCGTAGTATAGCGGGTTTGGGTTTTAATGTCAACCCGGGTCCTAGATATGATGACTACTCAGTGAATTCTTATTATCTAGCGGTAAAACTTAAGTGCAGGTTCAAACAAACAAAAACACAAAGCAAGTTAAACGGTTGTTTCAAGTCGAGAGAGGTCACCCGGATATGGTTCCCCCTAGACTGCAGTTAAGCCGGATTGCAATTACCAAGTTCCGTTTCTATGATAGTTATACTGCGGAAGGTTCTTAAACAGTCTGAAGTCTCGACTAAAGGTCTCCAGACCCTCTCAATCTGAGTCCCCAGCGGGTGACTAACCTCTACCGGAGTAAACAGATTGAGGCCCTAACGAACCAAACCTCCACTACTGAAGCAAATTCGGTACAGAATAGTGAATTGGCTCCTCGACTAAAGTCGCCAATTCATTACCTTCAATTAAGGGAGCTCTATTAACCTAGGCAGATATTCTCATTCTAGGCTAAAGCAGAAATAACAGGAATTTGATCAGGATTCAAGTCATTCAAGCCTCAATTGAATATAATCAAATCATAAAATCTGTACTTGGGTTCATACAATCATACCTAACATACAAATCTAGGGTTCTCCATACCCAGATGAATGGGAGAACTACTCCATGGAGAAAGAAGCAAAAGCAGATTCAGATGCGGAAACCATACTGTGAAGGATGGATTTCTGCTCCTGGTCGTCGATCGACACTTCTCCAAGCTCAAGTCGGGCTCCAATGGTGATGAAGATCAAGCTATCTCCCTAAAACTCGAAACCCTTGATTTTTAGCCTTCTCAGACGATCGGGTATATACAAAACGCGCGTTTAGGAACAGATGAATGGGAGAACTACTCCATGGAGAAAGAAGCAAAAGCAGATTCAGATGCGGAAACCATACTGTGAAGGATGGATTTCTGCTCCTGGTCGTCGATCGACACTTCTCCAAGCTCAAGCCGGGCTCCAATGGTGATGAAGATCAAGCTATCTCCCTAAAACTCGGAACCCTTGATTTTTAGCCTTCTCAGACGATCGGGTATATACAAAACGCGCGTTTAGGAACAGGGGAAAATCCCCGACCGGGGATTTATGCTTCACGACCAGGACCCCCTCTGTTTCTCAGACGCCAAAACCGCTATTCCCCGGTCCGCTCAAAATAATACCCGGCCGGGTATTTTACTGCTCCAACACACTTCGACCCAAACGTGCTCCTTTCGACCCGAAACTCGTTCCTTCGCCTCAATGCCAACGCTAAGCCCTGAAATATGACATAAACGCACAACCTAGCGTGAAATCGGCTTAAAACATGAGAATCAATGTCTCAAACGGCTAAAGAATAGGGGTAAAAACATGTGTAATTAATGGTCTATCAGGGTTCTTCATACCCAAGTGAGAGAAAGTTCTACTCCATAGAGAGAGAAGAAAACAGAAATCAGAGTAGCCATACTCATAAAGATGAGAGAAAGTTCTACTCCATAGATAGAGAGAGGAAAACAGAAATCAGAGTAGCCATACTCATAAAGATGAGGACAATCTGCTCTGGGATGTCGATCTTCACTCCTGGGGATGCAATCTGGGCTTCAATGATGAAAAATCCACTCCAAATAGCTCCTAGGGTTTGTTCTTCTCACTTTCTCTCTCTAAAACTCTATTTTTTGCTCAAAAACTCCATTCTCTCTCCTTTGGCTCGAATCTGCCTCAAAAACCCGATTTTGGGCGAAATACGGGCTGAATTACGGTCGTAAACATGGTCTGCCCGTATTTCACCCAAAACGCGCGTTTCGGTTAAGTTTCAGCGCATCCAAGGCCACTCTCGGCAGTGAAAATACGGCCATGGGAGGGGAAAATACGGTCGTATTTCTCCTGTCCGTATTTCTTCCTCCGCTCCTGTTTAATGCTTCGTTTCTCCCTCGTTCGGACTCCGAATCAGTCGCCGTTTGATTCCAGACGCTCGTAGTCTCGTCCTTATTCTTTTCATGATAAGCTTCCATGATTATTTGTCCATAATATGAGGTAGAAGTCCATTCTTCCTCAGGTCATGCTTGTGTTTCTTCTCCCGAATTGCCAAATGATCTCCGATTGACTTGAAACTTGCGCCTATGCTTCAATTTACATGCTAGGACCTGAAATGTGACAAAGGAACACAACCTAGCGTAAAATAGTCCAAGAAAGCAAAAAATCAAGCCAAAATTATTAAGAAACTAGGGTGCAAACATGTGCAAATACGACGTTATTCGCAACATGAATCACACATGGCTAACTTTGATTCCGAAGGTGGAGGTCGTGGAGCAAATGGCCCAACTATGACCTATCAGTCTAAAGGAACCCCGAAGGAATTAGGAGGGTTGGGAATCACATATTTAAACTGTAGGAATAAGTCGTTATCGTGTAAAGGTTGATGGCGTTTTGAAAAGAAAAAGATGGCTTGGTGGAGAGAACTAATTGTCATAAAGTTTTCGATCCCACATTCTAAATGGTGGGCAGGGAAATATGGGTTGTATTGTTTGTAGCCCATGGAAGCAAATCATGAGACTAAAGGTTTGTTTCTGGCAGTTTGCTCATGTCAACTAGGTAGCTAGTGAGGTGTGGACTTCGTTTTGCATGGTCGATGAAACAAGGGTATGACTCTAGCTGATGTTTTCCAAGCCGATGTGTACTGTGCAAGAACTGCGTACAAAATGCAAGTCGTTTCCTGATTAGTTGTAGGCTTGCAAACAGATAGTGGAAAATTCTAGCAAACTTTGTGATCATTAGTACACCCCTATCAAGCAACGTCAACACAATAGTGGAAGGATAACCACAACAACAACCAGAATCTTGATCCGAATGGTGCACAAAATTCATGCTTCATGTCTTATGTTGGTGCCTTCGTAAAGAAAGAAAAAAATGAGAATATTTGAAGACCGAGAATCCACAACACAAGTGGCTTGCTACAAGATTTGTATGTTTATCATGAGTTGGTTGATTAATAATAAAGTTGATCGGGCCACTGCTGAAAGATGGCATGATGAAATTTAGATAAGCTTGCTACCTACACAACATTCTTTCTATATGTAATTAGTGGGTACGCTTTTTGCCCAACATCCTTACTACTGTTTCACTTTTTGGCGTGCTGTGCGTCCAGCCCTAAAACCTTCCACAAAAGAACTCCTCAAAAGAACTCCTCATCGACCCGCCAGCGGGTCTCGCCTGCTGCAACTGCCCATCCATGCTTTTCCCCCATTCTTCCGGCGGCATGTTTCCCCTGCCCTTTTGTCTACTTCAACTGTTTTTTCTCCAGTTTCCTACTCTCTGCATATGCTCCTCCACGCCGCTGCCCATGCTCTACTTACACGCGAACGACCAATCAATTTGTACGGCAAACGGAGGAAACTCTGCTAAGTTTGCCAAAGAGGTGGTGTCTCTCTGTTAGTATCCCATTCTCAACGCCGCTCGCCATTGGAATTGGACTTTTGTTCCTACCTTTATTTGTTCCCTAAAAAACGCTATTTCACCCCTCTTTCTTCCGCTCAAACTTCTTTTGCTTGCAACAATGAATTACACTGTCCTTTCCACATTGGCCAGGACGGACAAAGCTCTGATGCTGAAGCTACAACTACTCCACACTTGGATTGGCGGAAATTCGTTGCGGCCTGACTTCGCTGAATTCGCGACGCTTTGGATAGATGTTGGTTCGTACCCAATTTCTTGATTCCTACACCCAACAACAAATAGTTCTCATACTTATTACCATTTCAGTACTCTTCCTTTTCTATCCTCAGGGTATGCTGGTCCAGGGACTCGTGCCCGCGCAGCTAGCTTTCGGCCTTCTGGAAAGTACTCTTCCTTTACTTCATCACCCAATTTGCCCAACGAGAGTCTAGGAGCGGAGGGATCCTTGCTCCAACGACCGGAACCTGCAATTCATATCCAACACGTCTTTCCTCCATCTCCTGATGACGATTCCAATTTTTGTGCTGTTAGTTTTGAGTTCCATCAGTTGGAAGAACTTGAACCAATTGTTGTCGCACCTCAGTTTTTAGTGGGTAAGTCTCCCTTGCTTCCTCTTAGGGGAATTTGTCTCATATTTCTGAATTGTTTCCCTTTTACTAGATGTTGTTGGACGCCTGGTCTCTGTCACGCCTGTAACTTATTTCCAAAAGCAAGATAGGACCAGAAGGAAGCAAAATGTTGTACTTGAGAATGAGCAATAGGTTCTCTTCCACATTGTTCTCTGTTGGTGGTGTGTTTCTTTCCTAACTCTGATGTCGTTGCTACCTGTTACAGCAAAAGACTATGTCGATCACATTGTGGGTGAATTTTGCTATAGGCTTGCCTTCCAGAACTGGTTCAGATGGACGTAGCTGCACCGGTTATTGTTGCATTTACTAGCCTGAATCTCTTGACTTGGTGAGGTTCACCTTGCCCCACTTCTTCCCAATTCATTTATCAAGGCTATAGTTGCCTTGTTTCAACTTATGGTATCCTGGAGCCTAGCTGCATACCGTTCTTGTTGTCTTTCTCATAGTTTCGTATAGTCAGTTCAGCTTTTAGACTTTTCTTATACTATTTATCTGCAAGGAATGTAGGCGCATCAAACATCTCTGCAACTCGCATTGTCGTGTCCCCAAGGGTATTTCAGAATCAGTCCCTGGCTGTGTAGTAAGTGGAGAATCGAGCATGGTTCTGCTTAACTTTATGCGTTACTAGCCTGAATCTCCACCCTAATCTCTTCTTTACAGCTTTGGTGATGCTATAGGGACCATAGGAATTTTACCAATTGAATGTGATACTCCTCAGAAGGCTTTGACAATCTACCATGATTCCTTCCGAACAATTCCGGAACTTCAGCTCATTCAGTCCACTGCTTCAATGGTAATTAATTCTCCATTGTGGGTACTGTGTCGCCCAACCTAAAACAAATGTGTTTAGCATTGTTGGGTTGCCTGACTTAGGTTTCTTTGGAATTGTAGGGTGACAAGTTCCGCTGCAAGGTCACAATTACCGACATAGATACAACACGAGACTGGTGCTACCTCGGTTGTGCTATCTGTTGCAAAGCGGCGGTTCGTCATGATGCTCCATTATGGTGTGACAAATGCAAGGCAACAGTCCTCCTGCATCAGCTGAAACAATGGCACGTCCAAACCATCTGACCACTTCTCTTAACCTATCTCCTACACTTTCATGCTCTCTGATGTGTGCCTCGTGTTTGCTGTGGTTTTCCACACACAGCTTTCATATTCGGCTGATGGGTCAGGATGATGATTCGGCATGCGCTCCTTTTTTGTTGTTAGGCCAAACTGCAGAAACACTTCTGTTGGTGTCCGCCAATGCTTTATTTGCTGCTTCCCCTGATCGTGTTAACGGGTACCCTTCAACTAAATGTACTATGTAGCTGTTCATGCAATGTAACGTTTTTCCATGGTAGGAGGGAATGGATTTTTGCTGCAGAATGTGGTCTCCAGTGACAGCTGCCTAACTACAAGCGTACCTTTTTTAGGTCGTTTCTCATTCGTCTCGATGCTTTTGCCCACTGAACTTTTGTGGATGCGTCTAAGAGTAATATTCATGCATAGCCAGACAGCACAGGTTACTCTAACTACAATCATAAAGAACTAATGTTGTTCTCAATCCTGTTGTAGTTAGAAACGACTTTGTGACAAGTAATGAACTGTACTTACACATCTTTATGATATTGTTACCCCACCTTATAATTCTATCCATGTATTCCTTTCTCTAAGTGTTACCTACTTGTGCATTCCCTTTGTTCTTGGTTCCCGAGTAATTATGTTATTTCCCTCTTTCAAATGTATTTAATTTGGGAAACACGCTAGCAAACTTTATTTGTTGCGTTGCCTTTATTGATGTTGTGTTCTCGAGCTAATGAGAATTTGTTATTTGGAACGTGGAGTTGTCAGCTATGCAGCCACTACTGCCGTCTGCCGCTATTGTGTGGTTCAGTTGGATCCATTAGATACAGTACTCTGAAATGCTAGCTGCAATTTCAATCCAACTCTATCTCTATTTGCCAAATAAGCCAAGTGTTATTTCCTTGCTCTTGCTTGCTTTCGTTTGTATAGGTACTATATTTACATAATAAAGTTTAGTACTCAGTTGTAGTGATCAATTTAGTAAGCTGATCACACTTTTTTTACGCTTGCCATGTTTCAGTTCTGCAGTTTGCGAGACTCAGTTTGACCACTTTTTGCAGGGTCTTTGGTGGCTGATGGCGTGTTAAGGGTGGTCTGCAATTAGACCTAATGTTGTCCTCAGTCCTATTGTAATTAGAACAAGGTTCATGGCATGGAATAAACAATACTTACATACCTTTATAATACTGTACGCCCACCTAATTCTCTCCAAGTATTCCATTCTTAGGTGTTATTTGTTTGTTTATTTCCTCTGCTTTTGGTACCATGTCAATGTATTTTATTGATAATACCAGTTATTGAACTTCATATGTTGTCGTTCTTTTATTGATGTTGTGTTGGATTATGTAATTTGACTCTATTGCGTACTCGTAATGGAATGTGTTTCGTCTGGTTTGTTTCTATATTGTGGTTCTTTTATTGAACTTCAGAGTCAGTCCTTTGTTTATGGAATGTGTTTCGTCTGGTTTGTTTATAAAAAGTCTGTGATGGATTATGTAATTTGACTCTATTGCGGACCTGTATCTTGCTTATGTACTCTTTTGATTCAGCAACACTCATTTTGTCCAAGCATGGGAGCAGTTCAGGTTGATGATTTGGTGTGCATACATGTAGCGTACCACTTCCTTATGCTAGGTTCCCTTAACACCGTTGCCTACTTTTCTCCACCATTCTACTCTCCATTTTCTCGCATGTTCCAAAATTTCTAGCTTAATGTATGCTCTATAAACTTACAATGTTTGATCTTGACCAAAAAACCATCCTGACCATGACAAAAAAGATACCCACTCCAAAATCTGTAGATCAGGATTACATCCTCTGCTCTAAAATACTACTCCCCGACACTTTTAAATTTATCAACAATTGAATTTCCATCTTGCTCTTATAAGACTGTAGGTTTCCAATTTAAAAAAAATGGCATTGGTATCATACGCATTTCGGTCACAAGAACGAGACGACAAAGAGAAGCCTTGCCAAGAGGTATGTATTAATTTGGGCCCACCAATGTACACTTCATCATTGTAGTCCTCAAACCAAAACTAGACCTGAACTTCTCTTCGCAACCAATTTATCAAAAGTCTAATACAAATGGACCAGAAAATGGTCCTTCACCAGCCTTGCACGCCATGGCCTTCCCTACCCTCACCCTACGAGTGTACAGGTTCACGTTGCTTCCATCACTTCCAACCCCCCTTAAACCAATTCACAGGGATCCATTGTAGCTGGCAGTACTACCTCCACCATCGCCCTTGCCTTGATGACAATCCATCCCATTATCCTACAAACCTCATTTTATACTACACCGCTTCAATCTCACCCATCCTCTGAACCCTAATTAGTGTTGCTCTGCTGCATTGTTAGACAGTGTCACTACTGTATCAATCTGCGACGGGCCAAAGGCCATGCCTCGGACAGTGCCAGTCCTTTCTACCTAAGGGAGATGGGAACCCTATATTTATAGATTATACAGTTACCTTCATCTCATTGGTAGTTTATTTATATATGCTTCTTTAACCACCTCTGTCATAAAATAGGGCTAATGTCTGCTTATTATTTTTCTTATTTTATAGTCTGCTTCCTTAAGTCTAAGAGCTTATTTGTTTAATTACTATCATAAGCGATACATTGTCATACGATCGAGCTTTTAAGTTTTGGTTTTCAACAATAGATAGGATCAAAGGGACAATGGAAAAGAGTGTGGAAATCATTTGTTTGCAAGATATTGAAGCAGTCTTTGCAAATCTTCATTATGCATATCTTATTGTGGTTTGCAGATCGCTATTATGCTGCAAGTTTAATGAATTTTTGGAGTTTAGTGAATTCTAGCTAGAGAGTCTTCTTGCCCTTCCCCAATCCCTCACACTAATGAATAATGGTGAAAAGAAAACACCCCACCCATAGCCTGTCAAAAGCAAAAGAAAAGAGAGAGACTTCCACAAGTACTAATGAACTGCCCTTCACGTTACCTCTCACTACTGACCATGGAAGTAGAAAACTTCACCTTCCCTCTCTTTTCCTCACAAATCATTCTCCATACTCCATCGGGTCACCCTCTCCGGTCACGTCCCTCCTCCAATAACTTTTCTTTTCAATCACCCAGCCTTCCATTGTCCTAGACTCCCAGCCAGCCATGCTAATCCCTTTTATTCTTCCTCTCCTTCACATCTGACAAAGAATAGTAGAAGACAGACAGCAGGGGAGCAGAAGTGGTGGTGGTAATCCCAGATGGAGTGGAAACATAAGGCAAGATTATGCAATCCAAAGAGGTTAGTAGGAAGGTGAAGATTGCAGACAGAAGGGCAAACCAAATAAAGAATAGGTGAAGAAATTCAAGGTTGAACTTGGAGATGTAAAACTTGAAGTTTATGTCATTGTAAATTTAGAGACAAAAAATGATGACATGCTAAAATAAGAGTTGCAAGTGCGGTATTTGTCTGGTCGGTAGGAAACTTTAAGACGTAATCTTGAATTTGTATTTTCTTAGTAGAACTATGTTAATAAGTTGGATTCAGTAAGAAACGCTTATAGTATGAGTTTTATTTAACTATTCATTGGAAATAAGAAGATTGTTATTTAATGTTGTCTATGTCTTTGCAGCATTTAATTATGAGTCCATTAGAACTATGGTACACAATATTTTTTGTGGGATTAAATTTCTACAGCTCTACCATCACCTGTGAATATCGTACCGCATGCTACATTTCTATGTTGATTAACTATGAAACTCGAGATACAAAAGTCTCATGCACACACTTTCAAACCTTTTAACCACACATTGTTGCCAGTAACACAACGAACTCCAATTTAGTGTCACCTAAACTGACTACCATACAATCATGCTATGATAACTTAGTTCATGCAGCGTTGCGTAGCCGCCGCAGGTATTGATTCTAGTATACCTAAAAATGAATATGCAACATGGTTTTCTTAATAGAATATGTACTTAAATCCCATGTGAAGTTTGTGTATAGCAGCTCTGTGATTTTAAGGAGGCAGAGAGAGTTCAGTTTGGACAAGAGAGGACACTACAAGCACCTACTATTGTTGAGGAACTATTTGAACATGAGTGCAATGTAATAAAGCCATGATACTTGACAGATTTGTTAGGCAGTTTAATTACCTCTGTATGTAATTTCCTTTAATTCTCTTGAGGATAAATGCGATGATTGGTCACTGAGATTACTAAAAAATGTCAAGTTTGGTCATTAAAAATATAATATTCCATTCGTGATCACCGAAATTACTAAAAATGTCAAATTTGGTCACTCTCCGTCCAATTCCATTAGCATTTGCTTATTGACCGTCAACTCTTGACATTTACAAAGAGTTAACTGTTATATAAGCAAAAATTAATTGATAAAAGAAATTTTCTATATTTTGATGGGGACCAACACCAACATGGATGGCGATGAGTGGTGTAGGGGTGGGCATCCGGTTCGGTAAACCCGAACTCAAACCTAATCAAAACCGAATTAATGTTGTTCGGTTCGGAATTCGGAAGGGAAATTGACCAAGTTCGGAAACCAGGGTCCTCTCGACCGAACTGATTTTCTGAACTCCGAACCGATGAACCGAAATATGTTGCATGGCCCAATAAACTCCTTAGCCCAGTACCCCCAGCAACCCAACTCACCTATTTCAAAAGCTCAGTCCCCCACCAGGCAAAACCCTAAACCCAACCACACCTACCAAGCTCCCACCTCTATCACTTATCCTTGTCAAAACTTATGTCTACCACAGCAACAACCAAAGCTTGCCGCCCCCGCCTCCAGCAAGCACCAACCCTCCACTGCTATTCCAATCGATCTCATCTCCTGCTCACCAACCGCCCAATGGAGTCCAAATTCATTTCCCCTCTCTTTGCTCTCTTCTACTCCTTGAGGCTGAGATCAGAAACCAAAATCCAAAAACAAAAAACCCACACATATAAAAATCAATATTGAAAATCAAAGAGGACGGAGGAACCCACATGCATGTGTAAAAGAGCTTATCCGATCCAACTTCCCACTCCATTGTCGTCGACGAGTTCAATCTCGCTCTTCATCGTCGCTCGTGGGTTCAATCTCCGGCCCATCTGAGGGATTGGAGCATTGTTCCCCCTCCTGCTGCCGGCTATGCCCGCCCCCGTCTCCAGTCTCCACACGCCGAGAGATCTCGTCATTCCTCCTGCTGTCGCCGCCCATTGGCGTCAACTCACCAAGGGAAAACGAGAAGAATAGGTTTGGGGCGAGAGAAAGAGAAGGTAAAAAGAAGTGTTGTCTTAGATGGGAGAGTCGGCAATGGAAGGAGCGGAGCTCGACTTCGATGGCGAAAGGAATCCGACGGCGAATGGAAGAAGAAGAACTCTTCGAGGTAGCCGTCGACGATTGATGGATCTAGATCTCTAATCTTGCGGCAGGTGGTGATAGGGGTGGGCATTCGGTCAGTTTGGTTCAAACCGAACCAAAATTATGCATACTGGGTCCCCGAATTCTATCAAACCTCAAACCGAATTCAAACCGAATTATAATTTAGTTCGGTCGGACCAAACCGAATTATAATTTAGTTCGGTTCAGTTCGATTTTTCATACAAAACCGAACTTGTGAGGTTAGCTTGTATCTTCTCACTTTTAAATTATTTTTCACCCCTAATGTAAACAATAAATATATATCATCAATGATAAAATCAAAAATTTCAATACATATGTCATAAAACACTAACATGATTCAAATATTTAAGTCCCATAATAAATATAAACATAAAAATCCACCATTTGGAGCTTGAAATTATAATAATTCGATTTTTTGGTTCGGAATTCAGAAATTCGATTCGGTCGAAAGGACCCTCGTTTTCGAAATATGTCATTTTCTCTTCCGAATTCCGAACCGAATAACATTAATTCGGTTTCGGTTCGGTTTTGCCGAACCGTATGCCCACCCCTAGGTGGTGAGAGAGGGGGAGAAGGAAGAGGAAGTGGGAGATGTGAGCGTAGATTAGGTTTTTTGTTTGTAGAATAGTTTGGGCTTTATGAGTGACAGCAGGGAGAAGTTCGGATTTTCGGGTTTTCCATTTCGAATCGAGTCGAACCGAAATATAATTCGGTTTGGAATCGGTTTGCCCTTTGGCTTATTTAAGAGTATCGGTAATCATCTTTTCGATTCGGTTCAAACCGAACCGACCGAACGCCCACCCCTAGTGCATGGGTTAGTAAGTAAAGCAATGCAATTAGTACTCTTCGGTCAAAGAAATGGCCGACCGGACGAGCGGTAGGTCCCTTTGACGGTGGTGGGGACCATCTGTTTGACGTGGCGTGATCGGAGTGAGGAGCTAGCTACTAGCCTCACTATTACGTTTTCTTTCGGAGGAATTATTGGCTACACCCGGAGTACCACGTTGGCACGGTGATGTGGTACTCCGGGCCAATGAAAATGCACCACGTGTCAAAATGATCAGTTAATTGATGTAATTAATGTTGATTTATTTTTTCTTGCCTACTTATTTCTTAATTTTTTTAGGGACGTTCTTATTTCTTACTTACCTCTTCGGTTAAAGGTCTTTAATCAAATTACTCTTGCTCCTTTGTTTTCTCCGACGGAAAGCAGCCGGCAAAATTCCCTGTTCTACGTATGTGCATTATGAACTTTTTTTGTTCTTCCTAAAACCTTATCTAATTCCAAAACGCATTACTGGGTCGATTGAAGGGGGAAGAATGATGGGGAAAATTGAAAACAGGAGGCTTTGTTTTTCCAGGTACTCTGTTTACTGGAATGTCTTAACTCTAAAATCAGTAGCCAAGAAACTCATCCAAATTCAGCATTTTATATCCAGCGACGTAATCCCTGATCAAATCCCTCTAGTCCACTTAGAAGAGTCACCACTGGCTGCAACATCCATACATAATTTAGAAGCGCCACCATTTCTAATCTCGTCTTTCTGGGCTGCCGCCGCCTGCGAAATTCCCTGCCATGGCAGCTGCGCCTGCGATACCAACTCCGATGACGAAGAAATTTGATTCGTGACAGAGCCGGAAAAGTTTTGTGGGTTCTGGCTGCAATTGGTTACCCTGTTGCTGAAGAACGTAAAGGAGCTTCCATTTATGATTTATCCTTCAATCTTTTCAACCAACCTGGAAATAAAATAATCAACAATAGATAAACCAATGATAGTTAGTCATAATTAAATGGGACTAGTATATAATTACCTATTTCTCCATTTGGAATAGAGGAGCAGAATAAGAAGTGTTCTCGAGGCGTGAGGTCCTGCAGCTCTTCTCAGTTCTTGTCAACCATGTTTCAATTTATTAGGGTCGTCGATTGCTCTACCTCCGGAGAAAACGAAGGAGCATGAAAGAGAAACTTTAATTAACTATTCTTCATTAATATATTGATGGAGGACCTTCAGCCGAAAAAGGTAATTAAGGACGCAAGAAAAACTAAATCAGCAATAAATAAATTAACTGAGCAGTTTGACACGTGGCAACATTTCATTTGCCTGGAGTACCACATCACCATGCCTACGTGGTACTCCGGGTGTAGCCAATAATTCCTCCGAAAAGAGAGGCTGAAACTGGACTGAATCGTGAAAGAAATTTTTGTTTTTGTTGGACAGTCACAGACTCACAGTCGTCTTCAATTCGTTTCTTCTTCAGCGAAACAGGCGGAAGGAGTGGCCCCCGCTCTCCGCTCCATTTCACACACCAGCACCAGCACCAGCACCAGCAGCAATCTTCTGCCTCTATTTCTCTCTCCCTCTGCTACAAAATTTGTCCAGGGAATCCCGGAGAGGAGAGATAGATGCTTCTGTAGCTTCTTCCAACTGCGTGTATGCAGACTACAGAGACCACCCCACCACACCACTGAGAGACAAGCAGAGGCTACAGTTTCAGCTGGGATACACGGGAAGCAAACTCAGAAAGAAAGAAAGAAAGAAAGAAAGAAGCAAACAAAATAACAGAGAGGGAGAGAGAAGAAGAGGATCTAATGGATTACGAGCGGATACACAAAGTTCAGGTATACCATCAGCCTTCTTCGTCTTCAGCTTCCCCAACTCTTTCTCTCTCTTTTTCTTCACAATCTGACGGCTACCCATTCTCCCATTTCTTCTTGTTTATACTGGGTTCTTTTCTCCTCTCTCGCTTAGCTCCACTTTCCCTGACCTTTCGACTTCATTTTCGGTGTCTTCTTTTTGTTTTTGGGTGAGATTTTTCTTGTCTTTTGTGCTTCACTAAACACATTGTCCTTTTTTTTCTTCCTCTTTACCCAATTATTGCTTGTAATGGTTGATTGAGTTTTCCATTCCTTTCTCTACCTTTCTTCATTGAGTTTTCTTTTTGTGTGCGCTCTGCTTTCTCCGATGTTTCGATTTTTAGCTGTTGCGCTTTTTGGGTTTGTGGAAATGTCGGATGAACTCCAGGGAAATGGGTTTTCTTTTTTTGTTTTTTGGTTTGAGTTTCTCCTCTCATTTCCTTCTTGCTTTTCCGGCGCAGACTGGGGTGATATCGCCGAGTAAACTGAGGATGAAGCTAATTAGACCTCACCATACCAGCAGCAGCAGCAGGAAGAAAGAAGGTTCGTCTAATTGCAGCTCCTCTCGCACTTCTCCTTCCAGACTTGGTGACACTGAATTCGTCAAGAGCAGTCTCTTAGATTCCAAGGACGACAACCAACCAGATTTCGGCTATGAAGGTCTGTTTGTTTATCTCTGTTTAGGTAGCTCAGTCAATAAACCACTAGAAATAAGTATAACCTTTGCTTCAGATTCCGACAGTATTCGCCTTTTGATTGATATGTAGTAATCCATTTGAGTTTGTGATTCTAGGTGGGGCGCCCTCCTCAGGGTTTACATCTACAACTGTTACAAGTGAGGCAGCATTAGACCCTGACACGGGACGCCATCATCCACCCAACGAAAGCAACACCCACGATTTGGATCATGCCATGATACATCAGCTCTTGAGGTCCGAAAGCGTCAACTCAAATGCAGTCCCCATGGTGAGAGCCACTGAAGATGAGAATCCAGGGTACGATAGCTCGTCCAGCTTCGAGTTCCCTAACGAGAGATCCGCTGCACAGAGCCAGCTGGTGAGATCAATGTCCAGGCCCATGTCGTCCAAGTGGAATGATGCAGAGAAATGGATCATCAGCAAGCAAAACGTGCAGCAGAAGCAGCATCCTGGTGGTGGTTACCCTAAGAAGAATGGGTTCCACAACAACCAAGGTAGTAATCGGGTGCCCGTTACTACACACATGGGTCGGGTTGCTCCCGGGCTAGTAGCCACTGGTGGTGGTAGAATGGTGGACACCAAGCGTGTAGATTGTTGTCAGACTGCTTCCCAGCCTGGGTTGGAGAGATTCTCTTTCCTTGATGCACCTGGAACTCCCTCCATTTCTGGTCAGGCAAATACGTTGATGGATCAGTATGGTCAGAGCAAGGATTTGAAGGAGCTGGATCCAACGGCACTATCATCCACGAACACTTCTACAGAAGACAGGACAGGTAAAATTATGTGTCCTTTAATTGGTTTCGTAAGTGGTCATCAGTTAACCTACAGGAACATATGGTTTTTTGGATTTGACAAAATGGCGCAGAGAATTGAGGGAATCAATCAAAACAGCCGATTTTGGGTTGTTTTTGGTTGCTTCCTTAATCAAGGGTTTTGCTAAGCAGGTAGGAAACAATGAAATGTTTTTTCTTGAAGTTGTTTGCTACTTGTCTCGTCTTAATGCCACTGGGGAATGCGATTCATGGGGCTTTGGGGTGTGTTTGGTACTTCGCTTTTGTGTGTATTTGCTGATGGATGTTATGTTAGAAAGGTTAAAACTACAAACCTAGAGTGCATTTTTCAAATACTACTGATACCAAGTATATGAGATTGCATCATTTTGACTCACCATTTCACAATAGCAAGCACGCTCAAATATATCACAAGTGGCGGCCAAAAATGATATATCGAACTGCTTTTGACCTTTCTTAATTTAACTTGCAGTGGTGCCTGTGATAAGATCAGTTTGTATGAGAGACATGGGAACTGAGATGACACCCATCGCGAGTCAAGAACCATCGAGGACCGGTACCCCTGTTGGTGCAACAACTCCCATCCGCAGCCCAACTTCATCGATCCCGTCTACACCAAGAAGAGGCAGCCCCACAACCACACCAGTGGAGCACGAAGATGGCAGCAGCAACAAGTGCACAGCTAACCAGAATGGTACTAAGAGGGAACTAAGCGAGGAAGAACTGAAACTGAAGACGAGGAGGGAGATCGTCGCACTCGGTGTGAAGCTTGGCAAGATGAACATTGCTGCTTGGGCGAGTAAAGACGAGGAAGAGAAGAACATGGCACGGTCGGTTGAGCAGATTGAGTTCGAGAAGCGTGCTGCTGCTTGGGAAGAAGTTGAGAAGTGTAAACACACAGCAAGGTGTTTTTTTTCTTCTTCGCCTCCACTTTGTCATGCTCATGAGACCCCCACTATTGAGATATTATTTTACCAAAGGCATCTTTCGTAGATCATGGTATTTATTTGGGTTAGGACTCCTCTTTCTTGGCAGATATAAACGAGAAGAGATACAAATCCAAGCATGGGAAAGCCATCAGATAGCAAAGCTGGAAGCAGAGGTGCGCAGAACTGAGGTGAGCAAGTGTACTTTTCTTGATTTCGCTCTTTTGCATTGCGAAGTAAAACCATGTATATTCGGGAATTCATATGCTGTGGGATGATGCTTCAGGCTCAAGTGGAGCAAACGAAAGCGCAAGCAGAAGCGAGGATGGTGAAGAAGGTGGCGATGGCGAGGCAAAGAGCCGAGGAGAGACGAGCAACAGCTGAGTCGAGAAAGGATAGAGGTGCAGAGAGAACAGCGGTGAAAGCTGAATACATTCGCCATACAGGGAAGATGCCGTCTACTCATTATATCTGCTGTGGCTGGTTGTGAATTGTGATGTGTAGTTTGGGTTGAGCTAGCTGGTGTGGCCCCTAGCAGTTTTGTATGTTCAGTAGCGCTCTCAATTATCATCATTTGCTTCATTTTTATTGAAAGGGTGATAGTCACTAGAAGTTCCCTCGAGCGGATTTGGGGATTGAGAAGAGAAAAAATTAGGAACCGGGAAGAATTGGGATTAGGGATTGTAGAGTTTATTGATAATAAACCTTTAATCTACATAGTACTGATCTGAACCCTTAAGTAGGAGTTTGAAAATAATACGAAACTAGTTTCAAATTTTTTATGCTCACTTCATATGTGAGTATAAGATATGATTAAAATTCTCAATACTTAGCACGTTCATTTATGATGTTTTAATTCTCTAATCATAAATCATACTGTAAAGGTTTAGCACGTTCCATTTAGAATATTACATAACGATTGTCAATCATACTGCTCCAATTTATTATCTTGTAAAACATATAACAATTCCTGATTCTCGAGTTAGGACAAACTACCAACCAATTATTAAGAGTTCGGATTATTGGATAAATATACTTGATTACTGGATAAATTGTGTATATCCCAAGTAAAACGTGACACAGACTGTACCCCTTAAGAAGTTAAGATGATCAACTTCTCTAATATTGACTCATTTTCATGGGAATGTTCTTGAAGTTTCGGCTAACGATCTTATGTAAAAAATTGTCTATCAAGAGACTCAAATTTAGTATATATAATAGAGTAAATACAATTTATTAATCAAATCTTTTAAACTTTACAAATTAGCAACCAACCTTTCAAAATACAAAGTATTAGCCAAACGTTAACTCCAAGTTAGCATTTTTGTTTGTAGTGTTGACTCAACAACATGAGGATGAGTTGGAAGAGACACGTGACGGTCTATATTCCAATTTAGCATTTTAATTAAGAAAAGAGTCGCAAAATTATTAACAATAACAGAAAAATGGTTAATATTTTGATGTGATACAAAAAAATTGGCTAATAATTTGTATTTCGAAAGGTTTGGCTAATAGTTTGAAAATGTTGAAAGGTTTGGCTATTAATATTTATTTACCCAACATGTATAAATTGCTAATTCTCGAAGTTTGGACTAACCCTCACCCCTTGGTTGTTGTCTATATGTTGGCTTAGAATCTCAAACCAAGACATTCTCACACACTATTAAGGGTTCTCGTCTTAACATGGTCCTTTAGTGTATAATTTTCCAAATTTTTTAATGTGCATTTGCAAAAAAATTCTTATTTTTGGTGTTAGTTATGGAACAAAATTTTCGATTGTATATCTTAATAATTGATAAAGCAAGTATACAATGCACATAGATTTATGCACAATAAATTTCATTATTTTTAAAAATTTTTAAAACTCAAACATTGTGACATTTCACATACACCTGAATTCAGTAACTTCATTTCACCCTTATTCTTACTTCATTTGGGACAATGTAGTGTTTAAGTGTGAGGGTGGGGGTGTTAAATATGTATGTGAATGGCGAGTGAATGCCTCAATTCACACCAAGTCCATGAGCCATTTACATCATTTTAAGAATCTCATGCTCGGGACTTGCGACTCCGCATCACCAACGAGAACCTTAGCTTCATGGAGGTGCTAGGATGGACCGAAACTTCAGGAGCAAGCAACTAGCTTATGACATATAAGCAGCGCTTGTTGGGAGGAAACCATCGCTGGTTTGTATTTCTTTTCTTGTGATGTTTGGATATTTTGTTTGTGCAATAACCTCATCGTTGTACTTGGCGAGCATGTGTTTGTATGTTTGTTTTGTGTGAAGCTCTCCATGTCCCTCGAAACTGGTCCACCTCCATTCCAATTTTCACTCGCCAATGATGCAGTAACTTCATTCCACCCTTATTCTTGCTTCATTTGGGACAATGTAGTGATTAAGTGTGGGGGTGTTGAATATGTATGTGAATGGCGAGTGAATGCGAATGTGATGAATGACCTAGCTTTTGTGTGCATTGCAACCTTTGCTTTGCCAAATTCCTACAATTTGTGGGCTCCAAGTGCTTGTGAATGAATGATTGAATCATGGTCTTCATTTTGTGTGTTTTGGAGCCTAGATTGCATGCTCAAAAAATTAAAATCTTAGGGGTTCCAAACACATTGTCCCATGCGTGATTCCTACTCACTGTGCTTCGAAGAGTTTGCACTACAAAAAAGCTGGCTTTTAGCGACGAAATATTTTGCGACGGAGGTTATTTCGTCGCAAAAACTTGACTTATGGCGACGAATTTCAGAATTTTGTCGCAGAATGTCTCAAAATCCATCGTGTTGTGGGTTAATGAATTCGCGACGACTATATACTTTAAAGCGACGGTAAATTTCCGTCGCAGAAGAATTATTTATATTTGGCGACGAAATCATTCCGTCGCGGAAGATGTGTCGATATTGTGCGACGAAACATTCGTCCCGAAAGATCATGACTGCTTTTGCGACGATCTGTTGCGCGCCAAAACCGTGCTGGATTAGCGACGAAGAGCTCCGTCGCAGATTTAAGATAAAAACGACAACGTTTCTATTTTCCCAAAAATTTGTTAACCGGCTTATTACCTAGAACTATGTCGTTTTGGCTGAAATCATTATATTACATTGTTTCTCTCTTTATTTAAAGCCTCTTATTACCATCAATTGCCTTCAATCTGCGTATGAATCCCTAGCTCTCCCAACCCGAACCCTAGCCCCCAACTCCCTGAAAACCCCCTGGCCCCAACTCTTAGATCCAGACTCCTCGCCGTGGCCGCCATCCCCATCCCCATCATTCACATCGTGGCTGGGTGGACGGAGTTGCTGGAAGCTGCTGCTGCCACAACCTCTTTCAAGGTTTTCCTGTCGGCGTCTCCGCTCGCTGAGCAAAGTTGGTGTCGCTCCCGTAGTGACGCCGATGTTTGGATGGAAGTTCGACTACCACACTGTCCTCTCCCAAATTGAATACCTCCGCCGCGAATCCCCTCCCTCATCAAGTCTCTTCGCAAATCAACTACCTCCGGCAAGAAGCTAGGTACTCGCATCTTTTCCTTTTGGCACTGAACTATGGATTTGATGTAAAACCCTTTATGTATTCAGTTTTCCCAGGCTTGATTTTTGGTTTGATTGATCCAAACTGGCTGTTTAATTTGCAAATGAATTATCAAACCTGATTGTCTTGATTTGAATTCTTGATGTGTTTGCGAATTTGTGTTGTCTATTTCAAGTGGTAGATGATTCTTGAAAAAGATGGATGATCAGTAGATGATTAATCTTCAACTTGGGTTGAAAATATGCATAGATACAATTCCATTTCCTTATAAGTACATGCCCCTGCGTTACTTTCTTTATTTGATGTTTGGTTTTTGCATGCTTTGTTGTTTCTATTTCGTCAGGATAAAGAAAGATGAAGCTGTATATTTAGACCTTGTGATTATTCTACCATACAGTACTAGCAAGTTTGTTGGCGAGGATAACAAAAAGTTTGCCGATTAGTTTTATCAATTTTGAGACCTTTTATTTATTCGTTTGAAGCAAAGCTAGTTTTCTTCCATTTACTCTCGTTTGAAACTCTAATACCTTCTGTTTAGTAAAATGTGATTCAACCTAATGACCCACGATTAGTATTTTTATATGATTTGGTTCTTCTTTCTAGATAGTCATTCGCTCATCAACTTGATTGAACAGGACAACAAGGCTCTACAAGATTAAAAAAAAACTAGCAGTGGCTAATGACAATCTGGAAAGGGCTGAACAACTACAAAAGTTTGAGAAGATTGTTGATTTCTTTGTGGATAAAGGCATCTGTTAGGGTCTAGACCTCTGGTACGTGGGAGTGGTCTATTCTGCAATTCTTCCTATCTTTATTTGTAATTAGATTTTGCATCTCGGTGGTGGCTAATAATATAGATAATCACGTTAGCTAGGTAGCTTAATTTAGTTAGTTAACTGCGTGTTGGAGATGATACAGCTAGTGAATCTGTATTTTATATTAAGTGGGTAATGTGGTGACTTCGGTGAATGCATAGGGGTAGAAGGATGGATAACATAGTCCCATTTGTTCCTGTTATCTTCTCGCCTTCTTTTATATGGAAAGCGTGGGATTTTGGTTGTAAACTTGGTCAGGGAGTATAAGGGTTAAGGAGGATATATTTGGAGCTTTGATTCTTAGGATTTTGGCTCTGCAAAATTGACTGCTAGTTGAATGCAGGCTGGGAAAAACATTATATCTTATATCATCTTCTTTCTTTTTGTTAGGATGTGGTTAGGTGTTTTATTAAACTGTTGCTATAGTTTTAGATAGAATGTGTTTTTAGAGAAGCCTCAAATTGTAATGTCTACATTACTATGCTAAGAATATGTAGAAACATTTCATGATTGTTTAAGAAAGCCCATGAAGATAAGTAACAACTTGAATCTTGGTAGCTTGTTACTTATGATTTGATTTTGTTGTCGATTTATTTTTATGCAGATTATCAAGTGATGGAGGGTTGAATACTTGCAGTGGACTATAATGATGATTGATGACCATTTGAGCAATCAGTTAACTATTTTATTATTGGCCTGGTTGGTAAATGAGTTTTATTATTAGTCAATGTACAATTCCATAATAGGGATAAATGACTATACATTAACAGATTGTACATAAGTTATAACAATGGTTATTTGTAATATAAATGCTTCTTTATACAAACATATTCTTTTTTTTTATAAAAATTTATACAAACATGTTCCTGATTAGTAGTGTCTATATAAAAAGAACAAGAAATTGATAAATCAAAAATAAAAATTTGGTGACAAATTATTCGTCGCAAAACCCTGTAGTGACAAAAATATGTCGTCGCTGAAACATGTTTTGTGAGACAACCTTCCGTCGCGGAAAATGACAGTGACGGGTTACTTCGTCGCCGAATCCATTATTTGCGATGGTATATTTCGTCGCTGAATCTTTTCTTCAGCGACGATCAACAAGGCTTGTCGCAAATACTTCATTTTGCGACGGATGATTTCGTTGCAGAAAGTTTGCTGTTTTGCGACCAATGTGGTTTTCAGCGACGACGAATCAAATTTTGTTGCCAATACCCTAGGGCGACGCGGTATATGCGACGAAGGGCAATAGCCTACGGCGACGAATACATTCGTCGCAAAGAGGAATTAGCGACGATAATTGTACATTTAGCGACGAATATTTCGTCGCAAAAGGGTAAGTTTCTTGTAGTGTTGATGTTATGATGGTGTGCATTATAGGGAGTAGTGTGGTGCTACGAAGATTTTTGACAATAGGAAGTTTTACTTCTATTTCCTCTTGGATGTGTTGATAACGTTCACTATTGAGGTTAGGACATGTGTGCGGGAGGGACTCTCTCCCAAAATTTTTTGACTCCAACAACTTTTGCAAAAAGGTGCTCAAATTTGAAAAAATGAGCAGTCTCACGTGAAAGGCAACTGGGCATAGTGTTTGAGTTAAATTGTCAAGGGGCTTTTCTCTCGGTCTAGCGTGCCATTTGAGGATGTGTTTGGAGACCGAATAGCTTTCTAGTGTCTCGATCATCATTTATTACTTTCCATCCCCCAAACACGATAAGGAGAAAGCTACCTCTGTGGCAATTCGTCCGTCGTTAAGACGAGGAGTGTAGGCTAGGAAGTGGTGCTTGTTGCAATGAACCCAACCATCATTTCCCCACATGAGGTTTTGATAGAGAAGGCAATGTACTTATGCTCTTAGCCAGAGGGAGAAATGCCATAATTTGCAAAATTGAAAAAGTATGGTGCCATATGGGACAAATTTAAAGTTGAGGCTCAAAATTTTGAGTTCTTTTTTGAAAAAGTAGGAGTACCACCATGGAGTCTATTGCTTTTCATGTTTTCTTAAGAGTCCCCCGATGCATGTGTAAAATGTCCAGACCTCCTTAGTCGACAAGATCCTCATCTGAGAGCGTGTTATCACGAAGAGATGGAAGTAGCATTCTCTCATCTCTGATTATCTTTGAGGTGCTAAGAACGAATTATACTACATACCATTGTGAATTTCTTACATACATTGCACTTGTGTGAGTTAGGTTTGCTTGAGAATAAGCAAACATTCAAGTGTGGGGGAGTTTGATTCGAGCCATTTTATACATGTTTATACCTCATTTACTTGGTTGTTTGGCATGTTTCGCATTATCCTTTGAGCCATTTTATGCTAGGTTTGGTCTTGTTTTGGAATACTTCAGACTTGAGAGGTAGAATGGGCGAAAGGATAGAAAGTTGAACGATAGTTATCTAAAAGGGGGCCAAAATATCAAAGAGGAATTTCTAGAGAGAGAGGGATCTAGAGGAATCTTGGAGATGAAATGGAGGCTTTGATTGAGCTTGGAGTAAGGGAATCAAGTCTAAGATGAAGATCTTGTGCTTCTTGTTGTATTCTCTCTTCTCTAGGTTGATGAACGCTAGGTCTAGATTTCGGTTTGATTGTTGATGTATGTGACATATCCTAGGATTATGAACTCCTATTATCTATTTGATTAATGTTTATGATGAATTGCATGAGTCTTGACACCACTACATGTCAATTGAGCTTTTGACCTAAGAGAGAGAATATCCCCTTAGGTTGAATAGAGCACCTTCAATCCTTCACTATGGGTCTTTGATACAAAAGTAACAAGGTCCACGGTGTCGTATTAGGGTAGTGACGTGTTGGTCTTACTCAATCATGGAAATTAGCGGTTAACACCTCAATTGCCTTTGTCGGTTGTTTGGTACGCCTCTCGGGTAGTATAATTGAGCGGGGTTGGATGCACTCAAATAGGGTTCCAATCTATTATAGTTTTCTCCGTGGTAGCTAGTAATATTGAAGCAAATAATCTAGGATAGTACTTGACATCGGTCCAAATGACAGAGATAGGGGGGATTCAAGCCAAAGAGAGCTCCCAACACTTGTAATTAACTAGGGTAGTGGTTAGGTGGTAGTGACTTTAGTTTTATCACTATTCTTGTTTGGCTAGAAAACAAAACTTAAGTCGAACTAAGGTACATATAGAAACGCGTGGTTCGATATTTTCATTACTTGCTTACCCTATGCTATACCAAATCATGGAGAATGGTAATGCTTCCAGGTATTTTAATATACTTATGTACATTATATTGTTATTATTATATGTATTTCGGGTGAAAATAGTATTTCTGATTGTTTGTTATAAATAACGTATTTCTGACGAATTCATATCATCACAAAAGAATGTACCGCTTGTCATAAAAAGTATTTGTCGTCATTCTTTGTCATTTTTTTTTCATTTTTGATGTCGTGCTTTAGTGTACTGACGAGAAAATTGCGTTGGTAATAAGAGTATCTTCGACGGGGAGTCAGTTATAAGTTATTACTGACGCGGGTTTTCCTGGTGACGACAAACAAGCATATGTTGTCCGTAATAACCATTTCTGAAGAAATATGACTGGTAACTTATATATGCTAGTTAAAGCTAAATGGAATTTTTCTGTTTATTATTATTGTCCTTGTGGCAACAACATATGCTTATTAGTACATATTTTCCTTGTTTATGTACATATCATAAACACGAGAAACAAATATAAAAAGATGGTAAGATAATTTTGAACTTAAAGTTTTAAATTTCAAATACTTAATCTATGATCAAAACATCTCAACAAACAAAATCTCAACAAACAACAGAATTATTTCAAATTCATAGTGCCTCAAATTTACAATAAATCATTGGATTTTTAAATTACAACACTCTTATTTTTAAAATCAATAAAGAAACAAAGCCTGATTTTTGCGGTTGCCCCTGAAACCTACGGGAAAACAGCGATTGCAGGCCGCCGAATTGGACTTTGCTTTTTACAAATTCGTGGGCCAACTCGTATCATCTGGCCGGACTCGGGGCGGATTCTTTCATAATCAAATTCCGTTTCCATTCCCGCGGGCGGGGCCAAATTTGTTCGAAATGGAGGCAAATTTTGAAAATCGGAAAAAACAACACTGGGGCTAAGGATTAGCGCGCCCAATCCGTTCACTTCTCCGCCAGCAAAGTAATTATCCCTTTTCTCATTCGCCTTCCCTCGTCGTCGGAGGAGAAGAAAGAAACGATGGGAGATTCAAGCCAACTGGAGAAGATGGGCAGAGAGCTCAAGTGCCCCATCTGGTAACACTCGCCAACCTTCCCTCTCTAATACACAGCTACTGATTTCGATTCTTCTTTCTTCATCGCAGCTTGGGATTGCTGAATTCGGCGGTTTCGTTATCCTGCAATCACGTGTTCTGCAAGTAAGAATCCCATCCGCAGCTGTTCTCTCCTTTTCTGAGAGTTTTCTCTTCGAGGGTCTGCAGCTTAGGTTTCTGATTCACTGGATGACATTTTCAGCTCCTGTATTTCGCAATCGATGAAGTCCCATTCCAATTGCCCGGCCTGCAAACTGCCGTATCGGCGGAGAGGTAAGGATGGGTGCTCTCTTTCTCCATTCTGAGATTGCCGGAACTGCCGTTTTCTGCTTACTCAATGGTTTATTGTTCTGTTTTTTTTTTCTTTCTCTCGATGGTTGCCACAGAGATCCGTCCTGCTGCTCATATGGATAACTTAGTGAGCATATACAGAAGCATGGAAGCTGCTTCAGGGTTCAATATATTTGTGACTCAGACGGCTCCAACAGCCAAATCTCCAGGTAAATCGATCGTACCAATGCCTGTTCAGAGTTAGGTTTAAGCTCGAATTCCTACATGTATAACCTAACATTGGGAATTCTGGTGGGTTTTTCCTCTTGGGCTGAATTTTAGATTTTAGTTTGCTTATTGACATAGCTGTTTGTCTAAACCATACATTCACCCACCATAGCGTTCTTGTCAATAGATAAAGTAAAGAAATTTGGAGGTAACGCAATTAGTGGCGGAGAAGATACTCATGTTGTTCGTGAGGAAAAAGTCGGGGACCGAAACCCTAGAAAAGGTAAAGGGTCAAAGAAAAGTACCAGAAAGAAGCAGGAGGTTTCTGCTCCTACAACTGCAAAGCCTTCTTTCCCTACCAAGAAGAGAGTTCAAGTGCCGCAGTATCCTCTTTCTCAAACCCTAATCAGGGGTGAGAAATTCCACACTGGATCGGGTGTAAATGTTGATCATATTGGTAAGAGCAATCCAATGGTCTCAAATGAGAAAGCTGCTACCATTGAAAATGGTGAGCTGGTGCTTTCACCACTCTTCTGGTTGAGGGATGAAAGCCCTGAGAGGTCGATTGCACCTGTTGACGATGATGAGTTTCTTAGTTTAACGTCTCTAAGTACTCCGCGGTTTAGTGACATAAAGGCCTCAAGTGACAGTGAATCTGGAAGTTTGTCGCCAACTGTAAGTTGTAGTTTGTTTCTTGTTTCCCTAACCTTAAGCTGTAGTTATGTTGTCAACTTGAATGTGTATTCTTCTGCTTATGCATATGAAATTCTTGCAGGGAGAAGTTGCTCGAAGTTCAGATTTTGCTGATGATTCTGAAAGTGAGCTGTTTAGATGCACACAAAAACCTAGCCCAGCTGATATTTTCTCGACTCCCCTCGAGATGCAGGTGATCATGTTATTATTGACGTTTCTTCCTCGTGCACTTGATAACTACTTTGTCTTGCTATTTGTTTAGTATATTTTGCTCATATGTCAATGCTGTGCACACAGTTATGCTCTCACTAAACATTCATGCGCTCTTGCAGGGTGAGCAAATTGACAAAGTTGATCCATCTCACAAGGGATCAAATAAGGATTTGAAGACTGCATCCTGGCCAGGAGAAGACAATATATTTATCCCATCAGTTAATAGAAAACCCACTAAGAGGCTAGGAGGTGCTGGGGGAATTTTGAGAAGATGTACTAAAATGAATGGTGGTACGAGTTTGAATAAGCTTGGTGCTCCAGCTTTGGAATCTGGCAAGCTTGGTCGAAGAAAAGCATTTGTTAGAAAGAATGTTTCCTTAAACTTGGAAAGGCCCGAGAAGACTAATCTCGGTACTTCTGCAGATGAGTCAGAACTTGGAAATAATCCAGTTGTTGCAGAAGAAGCTGTCAGCCTAGCTGATGACCATCTGTTGGATGGATGGGGTACTTCAATTAGTCAAACCCAAGTTAGTGATAGACATAATCAAACCAAGAAAACTAGAAAAGTAAGTAGAGAAAGGATTTGCCAATCAGATCGCTCCACAAGGTTGAAAAAGCAGAAGCTTGAGTCTGAAGAAATTATTATGGCAGTTGAAGTTTGTGAAAACAGCAACAAACTGGATCAAGAGAAACCACGCCATGCATCCTTTTCAACAGTGCATGGAATTGGCAAGACGAGTGTTGCAGATGTGAACCAGAAATCGGTTAAGCATGGTAAGTATTTGTTGTCATCCCTTAAGTTCAATACCGTATCTGGGGTTTCGGAAACTAGTAAAACATAATAGTTTGTTACTAATTTGACAGGTAAAATGTTAGTTAATCAGGAGTATCATACCCAGATATCTGAAAGGAAAACACAATGCCTTGAAGTGGTTCAAGATAATCGCAGAGGCAGAAAGAGGAAAATAAATGAGACAGAACTCAGAGATGGTACTATTTTTGGTTCTGAAGGAACTGTGAAGCTAGCTGGTGAGGCAATGGTTAATAAATTGCCCTCTTCCTTAACTGAAAGCAAAGGGTCCTACGATCAGGTGAAGAGAACTGTAAAAATGTCGTGGAAGGATACCTGCAAAACTGATTGCTCTTTGAAGTTTAAGAAACTTGAGAAGGATTGTGACGAAGTCAAGCAGGCCACTAATGAATGCACAGAGAAAAGGGGATTTCATGATGATAAAAAGCCTCAAGAACTCTCTTCCAAAGTTCTTGCATTTCATGAGAAAAGTATTTCTGATGTGAACAAGAAAACGATTAAACATGGTAAGCAAGTCCGAACTTCTCTCTGTTAATTTCTGCTACCTGGGGTTAGAAGCTAAGGAAAAGAAAATGGTCTAACAATTGATAGGCGAACCACAAAGCAACAAATTGGTTCAAGACTACTGCAGGGGCAGTGTTGTTAAACAGGAAATCTTACAATGTGCTTTCTGCCATTCTCCAAAAATCTCGGAGGTACTATTTACTTGTAGTCTCAACTCTGATGTTTGCCTATCGGTAGCTGCTATTACGAACCTTCATTTTAATATATACTTTCAACATGCAAAATCAATGTTCCAGGCTTCAGGCGAGATAGTACACTATCTCAATGGTAGGCCTGTAGCTGCAGATCAAGTTGGTCAGTCCAAGGTCATACATTGCCATAAAAGCTGCGCAGAATGGTTAGTATTCTGAGATGACTAGTTCGAGCATAGTTAATATGATTGGATGTTTATTTCCGTTGCCAAGATAAAACAGTTTGGTTTCTTCTAAAAACATTCTCCTCCAATGGTTAATTTAAAGACAGGATTTGAGTTTGCATCGATAAAATAGAAACCTAGAATCCTTGATGTATTTTGATACTGTGTTGTGCTGGCGTAGTATTTTTAGCTGTGAGCAATTTTTTTAAACTCCATGAACTCATTGTGTAGGGCACCTAATGTCTACTTTGAGGACGATGTAGCTGTTAATCTTGAAGCTGAATTAGCTAGAAGTAGAAGAATAAAATGCAGTTGCTGTGGGCTCAAGGGTGCTGCTCTTGGATGTTATGATAAAAGTTGTCGCAAGAGTTTCCATGTCCCGTGTGCCAAGATGACCCCTGAATGTCGTTGGGATACTGTACGTATGAAATAGTAGGATGCTGGTTTTTTTTTATTCTGGACACTGTACGTATGAAATAGTAGGATGCTGGTTTTTTTTATTCTGACTCTAGGTTTCTTTATTCCAAGTTGTTTAACTTCTCTGTGTTTTCTCAGGAGAACTTTGTCATGCTGTGTCCTAATCATTATTCTGTTAAGCTACCCAATGAAGAGCAAGGTTCTCAATTGAGAAATGCAGATCACTGCCGTGAAAGGTATCTTGATTTCCCACTAGCAGCTTCACTGCTTGATTCATTTTAGTAATTATAACCAACTTGCTGTTAATTTGTTTTCAGACCAAAATCAACCAAGTGTAAACAAGTGTTTGACGGGGGTTTCAGCAGATCTCGCAGTTCTGATTCTTACTTCATAACTGACAAGTTGGTTCTTTGCTGCTCAGCTCTCACAGATGCAGGAAGGGTAAGGAAACTCCACACCATTCAATTCCTGGCATTTCAGAAATTTGCCATCCTGGATTAAATTTTTTGAAGTCATTGGATGTTTGCTACAGGAAACTGTAGCAGAGTTTGAGAGAGTATCTGGAGCCAAAATCCTGAAGAAGTTCGATTCTAGTGTTACCCATGTCATTGCTTCAAAGGATACAAACGGAGCATGCAAAAGGACTGTGAAAACCTTAATGGGTATTTTGTTTGGGAAGTGGATCCTCAGCATTGACTGTACGTCGCATTACTCCCTTGTTATAATATTGGACTTCCGTGTTCTCCGACAAATGTATGGTACTAACAAACCCGTGTGTTGCTTTTGAACAGGGATTAGGGCCTGTATGACTACCAAGAAAATTGTTCAGGAGGAGTCATATGAAATTAACGTCGACATTCATGGCACTAAAAATGGTCCTCGACTTGGAAGGCTCAGAGTTCTTAACAAGGTCTAGTTTCTTGCTAATCAGTTTACAGTTATTGCAAGCTTATACTTAACTTCGTATGCTCATCACCCTGATCCTGTCTATGTTTGCAACATTTTACGTGCAGCAACCAAAGATTCTTGATGGGTTCAAGTTCTACTTCATGGGAGACTTCATAGATTCTTACAAGGGATATCTACAAGAGCTAATCACTGTCGCTGGAGGCAACATTTTACACAGAAAGCCAGTTCCCGAAGTCTCAGAAACCTCTTCTCCTTCGTCAACCTTGGTCATCTACAACTTGCAGCTCGCTGAAAAAGGTGACACGAGGAAGAAAGATTCCATTCTCACCCAGAGGCGAACCAATGCAAAGGTGTTGGCTGGCTCTGCAGGAGCCATAGCAGTGAGCAACTTATGGGTTCTGGACTCAATTGCTGCCAGCCAACTTCAACCTTTTCTCTGAATGAGAAGTTACATAATGGGTCTTAGTTATTCTGGGGTCTCTTTTAAAGAGGACTTAATCTGTACAAAAATGAAAGAACTGTCCATTCTGCTGTTTTGAGTCTGTGCAAAGCTTATTGCTTTTATGTTACAGAGAGCCTGGATGAATACAACTAAACTGTCTGAAGCTAGGCCAATTACAGAAGTAAAGCAGGAAGGATTACATTACATTGATGGGCGATCATGCTCGCCTCTCCTCTTCCCACCATCTGCCGCCGCCGCCATCGCCGTGACTCTCTTCTTCTCCTCTTTGGAAATCTTCACCTTGAACTGCTCAAACATCTTTTCCAGGGCACCAATCTCCCCTTCAATATCCACCGGTTCGTCCTCCCTGTTATCCAGCCTCTGTTTCAACATCCGAATCCTGGCCAGACCCGCCGCCGTTTCCTCCTCCACGGCCTCCCGCAGCGCCGAGCATTCCTCCTTAGCTCCCTTGTACTTCCTCTTCATGGTCCTGTAACTGTCGAGCGACTTTAGCAGCTGGTCGGAGAGCTGCTTGTTCCGTTCCTGGAGCGCAGCGTTGTTGACCCCCTGGCAGTCCCCTGTCGCTCCGGCGGCGGAGGCCTGGAGCTTGGACGTCAGGGTTTCGTTCTGAGTTTTGAGGAGGTTGACCAGCTCCTCCATTTCGCTAAGCTCGCTGACTCTTCTGGCCAGTTGGGAACCCATGATCTCCTTCTCTTTCCCCAAGCTCGAGCACAGCATCTCCAGGCTCTTCCTCGCCGCAATGCACGAGCTCAGCTGCCTCCTGAGCTTCTCCTTGTCGTCGGGGATGGCGGCGGCCTCGGGCGCCTTCTTGTCGGCGGCGGCGCGATTGGGGCGGAGATCGGTGTTGCAGCGGCGGAGCTGGGCCATCCTCTTTTTGGAATTGGAATGGGATCTCTCGAGGCGGGATTTAATGTCGTCGAGGATGGTGATCATCCCGGCGACCCTCTGGGTTTTCCGGTCATCGTAGTCTCTGGCGCTCGCCTCATTGTGATCGCGTATCACTTTCAGCAGCAGCTTCACGTTGGCGGCGATCCCTGCCAAACAAAACCCAGAAGCCGATTAGGATTAGGATGATTGCTCATTAGCAATCAATAAAAAAAAAGCAAAACGGATGATCGAAGCCTGACCAGCCGACCAACCGACCTTCTAAGCTATAATCCTGCAATGGTGGTTGCTGGGGTTTGCTGCCGGTGGAAGGAGGGTTCTGGGTAATAGTTGCGGCAGCAGCATTCACCAATTCCGGCGACGAAAATGCCCGCAGCCGACTCTCCATTGAGATTGGTTTCAGGAGGGGAAAATGAGGAAATCCGAATCAAGGATGGATTAATGTGATGGGTAACATTAACATTGCTCGTCCTGGAAAGAAGAGAGACTGCATCATCGGCACTCTCTCTAATTTCGTCCTTAGGTTTCTGGTTTGTTGTGTTCTGTCTTTCCCCTCCCCCCCTAATTTTCTTGTGTTTCGTGTTTGTAGCTGTAGCATGTAGGCTTGTTTTGCGGTTTCCTTTGTTTAGGTTGTGTTTGTTGTTAAGGTTGTTGTTTATATTTAGGTTGTCTTAGAAACGGTTGGTTGTTAAAGCATATAACCTGACCCGTGATTGTAGGCTGCTTCTTTTTTTGACCTTTTCACTGCCCGTTTTCCTGCCGTTGAGTTGTAAAATGGCATGGAATCTGTAATTTCAACACCCCCTCTTCCCTTCAACAATCGATTGACCACCAGCATGCCATTGCCAGCCACCTTCTTGCTTTCGAGAGTTTCGTACTAAAGATTGTGACACACAGAGTTAGTCACATTTATTACGAGGTGGAACTTCTTAGCGGATAGTTTAGTTTATAGGGGTCACGATGTAGCTCATCACACTCTTTATTCGTTGTCATCGACTCCATACCGGCCTAATAGTTTATGTATGAGTTTATCAATGATATCATGGTTCTTTCCATTAGTAATTAATAAATAGTGGTGCTTAAAATAATTAAAAAGATAGCAGTTTAGTTTCTCAATAAAAAAATGATTCGCCTAACTTTGTCGGTTAGAATCCTCCTCCTTGTAAATGGAAACTAAGTTTGAGTTCAACCAAACTTAAGGTTTCGAAGATTTTGTTATTTTAATTTATCTATTTTAAATTGAGAGATATGAAATTTTTAAACTGAATTAATTTTTGTTAAAGGGGTGAGCATACCTCATCAATATTGAGAAGACGAGTGAAGTTGGTATTACATGGTTGGGGATAAGCTTGTCCTATTTGAATTACCTACGTCTAAGTTATGTTAGTGACTTTTCGAGGATGACCATTGGCATCATCGTGAAAGTATGCTATTTCCCCTCGATTAGATCCTGAAATTTGACCACTCGACATCATCAAGTATGTCATTTTGGTATGGATAAGACTTTCTAATTTTTCTGACTAACCTTGTAACGAAGAAGGATTCCGGCAAATTGTTAGCTCACTATGTATGGATTGGCCAAACAAACGTGAGACAGAGTTAGGGTTTGCAAAGATCTATATTGAGATTATTGCTACAATTTGCATACGATTCGGCCAATGGACAGTCAAGTTGGGATGCATTGTACATGGTAGTGACGCATGTAAGAATTCACACACATCGAGGATCGCTAAATACTTTACTTCTACTCCTATGCAACTACGATAATTACTGGAATAATTTTTTTTCTCATTCATGATTAAAAACATAGAGGCAAGTACATATTTATAGGACTAATCCCACAAACCCCTTTCCCCAAAAGACAAGGTAAACCAATCCTAAAATAACAAGGTAAATAATAACTTTCTAGATAAGACATAATAAAGCATAAACCAACAATAATATCTCAACTAAATAATAATACTAATAATGAATAATAATAATTATCGACCTCATAGCCCAAACGATGTTTTAATGCATCAATCCCCCCCCCCCCCCTAAGCAACCTCGTCCCCAAAGTTGGTCTTCCGCTCCATCCTCGCTCGCTCCATCTTGCTCGAAATCTCCAATCATGACGAACACATAGTTATCTGCGCATCAATGTCCATAAGTAAACCACTCGTCACAATTATAGCATAACCCATCCCTACGACGTCGTGCAACTTCCTCGGGAGACATACTCTGGAGAATCCTTCTTGGCGCGAGTCACATTAGCGACAAACATGACTTTTGGCTAATCGTTGACCACAAAGTATTGTCGCATAAGGGCGAGCACACTCAATGATTGTCGTATTTGCTAAGGTAGGATGAATGCAATGGCGAGACTCTTACTTTATAGAAGTAGGAAAATGCTCCTTTAGGGCATACTAAACCATATATCATTTATCATCATGAGGAGATCTTCTAATGTGATGGACATTAGATAAAGACTAATACGACCACCCCATACTTTAGTTCCAATCCATTCATACATAGGATATGTATAAGCACAATAGCACATGAATGGACGGAAAACCAACACAAGGATAGTCCCATACGCATACAAGCAAAGAGAAGTGGCACAAGTAGAGGTCACGCCCTCAATCCACTCGCTTAAACGTGTGTACACATAAAGCATTGCGTAATGTGACTCTAACTCAATTTACTAAGTAAGAAATTGATTAATGTACAGTTATATAATAATCTACTAGGTTTGCAACATATTTCATCACCCATCAAACAATCGACACGACAAAATTTAATTCAAGCTATTGACTAGTGTATACTGGTGTTAGGACCTTTTAAGTAAAAATATTTAATTAATGAGATCAATTATGTTTATGTTAAGTAAAATATTTAACATAAACATATTCAAGCTATGTTTATGTTAACATAAACATAGGTTGTGGTAGTTGCAACAACCATAACACCTAAAGATCCAATAGTTTCCACTCTTCGTTATACAGCCAACTTTTTATCCCCTCCATCTTCAATCTCTCGATATATATGTTTTAAACCAAAATTCAATTTCTAATCCTCTTTCTGCAACTCCATTTATGCTACTTTGATGGACCTTCTCTCCATGAACCTGAATTTCTCTTTCAATTGGTTTCTTGTCAGCTTGATTTCCAATTCTTCAATCCTCTTTCTTGTATTTGGCCAACTCATCTTCCTTGGGGTAGTTTTAATAAGCTCTTAAAACCAACACTCATATTCAATTCCATCAATATGCTCTTCTCCTCCTTCTTTGCCTTCACCTTATCCAGTTCACTTCCATACCCTTCAATACCCTCTCCATTTTCATTAATATCCTGATCATCTACTACTTCTCTCTCTTCAATTGCTCCGATTTTGCTTCTATGTCTTTCAATACCCTCATTGGTTCAATCACTACCCTGACCAACTACCTCTTCACTGCCTTCTCTGCCTCCACTTGCTGCAAACTACTTCCATGACATTTTATACACCTTCCTCAAAATCACAATCAACTAACCAATATCAATCCATGGCCTTGGATCAGTTTTAAACTCTCTATGAACATCTCAATACCACAAAGTCTAAATCTAAATATTCTTTCAGTTAATCACGAACTTGAGTTTATCAAAATCTAATCCACTCCTTCTAAGTTGGAATTCCCATCCCCCAAGCTCATATTTGGTTCATTTGATCCCACATAACCATGATATTATACCTTTAACTAAAATAAATCAAAGCATTTTACGGAAAGAAACCAAACCATGAACTTTACCTGCTACCAAATCCAAACACAATTTCTTCCTCTCACCACTTCCCTTAATCCCTTCCCAAACTCAATATCAACTTTTACTCCAAGTACACACCCCCAACTCCCAGTGTGTTGTGTGAAAGCTTAATTTTAGCAATCATTATGCTTGTAATTAGATTAATGGACACCAGCAAGCACCAAAATTCCACCAAACGATGAGTTGTCTTCACTTTGAGTTTAGTGATAAAACTGCTGGCCCGACATGTTTATCAGTTTGGAGGCCATATGATGAGCAATGTCGAATCAGTTGCAGCGAAGTTACCCGTCACAGTAATGACAATATGAAACATGTGTTAACAAACGCGAATATGGGTTACTTTTATGGATTGACATTAGAATGATGGGATTGGACAATGACATAGTCCTTAGTTAAGCGACATGTCATTTGGTTCATTGGAGGACACAAATCGTTAAAATTCTAAATTGTTTGGGTGAGTTTGTATTTAGTGTTTTCAAAATCGTGGTATATAAATTAGGTGATTAAAATATCTAAACCCAAACGAACCGACCCACGTACAGCCCTAGGAAGAGTTTCAAAACTTAGTATTTTACCGGACAAAAATGTTCAGAGAACGTAATCAGTCCCCTATAATTTGCACAAAGATATGATTGCTTCACTATAGTTCTGGAAATAAATGGTAATTTAATAATTCTATATTGCTTCTACATATTTAATAATATAATTCGATATGAAATATTCGAACAAACAATATTTTGGTTGCAAATTTATGGTTATCGCCTATTTATAAGATAGATAAAATTTTAAATTTAAGTATTAAACTATAATTAAAATAAAAAAATATCAAAATTAAAGTATCAAAACACCAAATAAGTACTTACCAAATATTTATTGGGCTAGCTAGCTGTTGAAAAGTTTTGTGATTTCAAGATGATTCACTTTGTAAATAATTACAGTTATTAATTAATTCGATGATTGGTTGTTGCGATGGATAGTCCTATAATTTTCAGATATTTTAGTATTTTCTCTCTTTAATTCAAAAAATACATAAACATTGTTGTAGTCCAGTTGGATAGGGATATTGACTATCAATCTGAAGGACTCAAGTTCAAGGCTTGGTAATGACTTTTTTTTCCGTAAGAAGATATTTAAGTTCTAAGTTGAACTTACAAATTTACTCCTAGCTACAATTAAGGAGAGTGCAAGGAATTTGAAATGCTCAAAATCTCCCGAAGAAGATATTTAAGTTCTAAGTTGAACTTACAAATTTACTCCTAGCTACAATTAAGGAGAGTGCAAGGAATTTGAAATGCTCAAAATCTCCCGAATTTGAAATGCTCAAAATCTCCCGAAGAACGGCTATATATTATAGAGGGATTGGCGGGTTCTTGCATTTGCCTTCGTGCCAAATTCTATCCCACTGATGTAGTAATATATCTAATTGAATTTTTGACATGCAGTTGTATAAGTAACTAATTTCATTATTATCAACTATAATAATCACCATATCATCAATTTACATTAAACAAATGTTCCGTATTTACATTACACAAATGTTCTGTAAGATAAGTTTATAACTTAATTTTTTTATCTCCTACATCCAATTAATTATACGTAAGCTAACTTTAACATATCAGTTTAATCATACGTTACAATCTAAAATTTGATTTTATTATTACGCCACACATTATAAATATTTATGTAACAACGTTTTATAACCATTTTTATCTCCTACATCCAATTTTACCATAAGTCGATTAGTTAACTTTGACATAATAGTATATATGTTACTTTCTAAAACTTTATTTGATTATTAGACAATATATCATCAGTTTACACTACCCAAAGAGCCCGTACGGTAAGTTAACTTCGATATAATAGTTTAATCAAACGTGATACTTTACATAACTTGATTTTATTATTAAACCTCACATTACAAAATGTATCACTTAAACAAAATGTAATATGATATGTATTTCGTAATGAATAATACATTAAATAAAACTTAAGGAGGGATAGTCATTTATTAAGTATCAACGAAAAATATATTTTTACATAACACTGTCTTATAAAAGTTACGTAAATTACAAATACATTACACAAAACTTATGAATAAATAGTTAATTCTTATATATAAAAAAATTTATTCTATTATTAGGCCACATATATCAGTTTACACTACCCAAAGAGTCCATACGGTAAGTTAACGTCGATATAATAATTTAATCAAACATGATACTTTTCATAACTTGATTTTATTATTAAACCTCACATTACAAAATAATTCTTATGTATCACTTAAACAAAAGGTCATACGATATGTATTTAGTAATGATTAAGACATTACATAAAACTCATGGAGGGATAGTCATTTATTATGTATCAATGAAAAATATATTACCGGATATTTTCATAACACTGTGTTATAAAAGTTACGTAAATTATAAATACATTACACAGAACTTATGGATAAATAGTTAATTCTTATGTATCAGTTACAGAAAATGTTATATGATACGTCTTTCATAATGATTAATACATTACATATAACTTACAATTGAATAGTCATTTCTTATGTATCGATTGAAAGTTATAAATTACGCAAGTCTAATACTTTTTGTAACTTAAGTCTTCTGTAATATAAGTTTTATTGAGAAAAATATATTATTTACCAAACTTATCATCAAATTGCATTACACCAAAGTTCTATAAGATTAGTTATTTTCACATAACAATTTAAAATGTGTTACTTTTTATAACTTAATCCTTTTATTATTAATTAAAATTTCTTTACTATTAACTAAAATACTAATTACCATTAAAAAGGGTTTCATAAGGTGATTAACTTTTAGATAATAGTTTAATCCGGTGTGATATTTTTTATAACTTAATTTGATTATTAAACCACACATTACGAAAATTTTATATAATATCATTCAATAACAGCTACGTTAATGTGATACATTAGGTAAATATTTTAGAGGAATGATTATTTCTTATGCAATTAAACGAGCCTATTGCATAATTCTTACCGTCGATAAGAGTGTGAAATGGTTTGGTCCATACTGAACCATATCGTACCAAACCCCTACAAAAACATATATTGCTTGGTCCAATGAATTTTATGAAAACTGAAAAGATTGATCAAATTGACACTTTAAACATATCAAACGGGATCGAATGCAATGTTGTTTCGATACTTGGTTCGAAGATGTCTTTTGTTATTGGACCAAAATTCTCATGAATTTGATTCGGTTCGGACTGTTGCACATCCTAACCGCCGCAAAGCGCGGGCCAGAAAACTAGTTGTTTTTCTAAATTTTGGAAGATAAAGTTTTTTTACACTAAGTAGGCCAAAACTTTCCTAGATTCAATTTGGCCTCCCACACACATGAAAAGTCCCCTCAAATTTAATTTTAATCCAAACCGGTGGAGTGAACGTTTTCCTCCGAATCCAATTTTGCCTCTCATTCCCACCACTCACGAAACAAGCATTTTCCCCTCTTCTCCCAAAAGTCAAAGATCCAAAACCCTCCATCGATAAACATAGTCCTAATATAGAAATCCATAAATTAGTACAGTAATTAGGATGGGCATCGGTCTGGTCCTGAGCAAATCGGAACAAACTTAAGAGAATCGCGATTCAAAAGTGCAAGATATCTCAAGACCAAGGACCAGACCAATAGTACATTCGGTCTGCTATGGTCCACTTTGGTTTGGTCCAAATATCAATTTGATCCATTTTTATTCAGCATTTATAAAATTCAATGGACCAAGGATCGAATCATATTATATTTGATTTGTTGTTATCCGATTCTAACATCGATTTGTTCCAGGGTGGTCCTGTATGGACCAACCTATTGCCCACCCTAACAATAATAAAATGATTATGTAAATAAATAATCTAAAAAAGGATAAATAGTTTAATATATTTGATTAGTTTCCCTATTTTTATGAGTACCTATGAAGTAGAAGTAAATTTGATGAAAAATTCAAAAACTAAGGGGTAAATGCCACATTTGGTCACTGATATTACTAAATCATGTAATGTTTAGTCACTAGAAAAAATTAATATCAATGTTGGTCACTCGAATACTCCGTAATCTGACCTACCCGTAACTGAAACAATTTATAATCCGATTAACTTGCTTGATGCGTAACCCGATTGATCGTAGTCCGATAAACCCACAATCCGATAGAATCAAATTTGATTAACTTTCAACTCAATTGACACACAACCCGATTCAACACGACTCGAACCGCACCATTGACGACATATACTGATAAGTATAGGTGTCAAAACATAGCTCGACCCAATTAACCCGCCTGATCAACCCGACCCGCAACCCGATCACAATCTGAATTGACTAAAAGTCAACAACCCGCCTGACCCGCAACCCGATTGACCTGCAATGCGACTAACCCACAACCTGATTAACCCGAACCCGATTGACCCGAACCCGACTAACCCGTAACTCGCCCGACTCAACCCGAACTTCACCTAATCCACTTGAATAATTATTATAATATACAATACATAGTTTTTCAAAATAAAGTTTTTCATTCTAAACTTAGGTAAATTATTTTTTCATTTCGTATAGGGAATTTAAAAAATATGAAACTTACTTGATACTATGTATTTTAAGAAAATTACAAAAATTGAAACATGAAGGTCACTTGAACACTAAGTTTTTTAACAAAATTTAAAAAGTAAATATAAAATATAAAATCAACATAATGTCAATATTAATAATGAAGAATTAATAATTGAGATCATGGACAATATTAATATAATATATAAATTAAAATATTGGTTAATTTACCTATTCAATAAAATTATAAATTAAATATAAATAAAATAAAGTAATGTATTTGGTAATTTTATCTTTTTAAAAGAAGAGGGAAATTTTGGTGTATTCAACTTTTTGGGAAGAGAAAGAAGAGGGAAGTTTGGTTCTTTGAATTTTTTAGAAAAGAAACAAGTGAGAATTTTGGTGGTTTCTATTTGTGGGAAGAAAAAGAAGTGGGAAAATTTGGTTCTTTTGATTATGAAAGAGAAATAAGGAGGGAAATTTTGAGTTTTCAACTTTTTGTGGAAGTCAGGAAGGAAGAGAGAAATTTGGTTCTTTCAATTTTATGGAAAAGAAAGAGGAGGAAAAATTGAGTGTTTCTAATTTATGGAAGGAGAAAGAATGAGGGAAATTTTAGTTTTTTTTTAAAAGAAAAAATGAAACAAATTTGGTGTTTTCAACTTTTTTTATTTTTCAAAATTTTAGCCTTTGAAATATGAATCGTTAATTTTTATATGGAGGTCATGCTACTTAAATGTATTCTTATATGCTTTGAATGCATATATATATATATATATATATATATATAATTGTTTATGGATTAATAAGTAAATTAATCATTAGTTACAATAATTATACTAAACTTGATAAGTAATCTTTGACGGTTCGTTGTTTAGGGTATAAAGTATATGGTTAGAGTATAGGGTATAAGGTACAGATGGTTTAGGGTGTATATGGTTAGAGTATAAGATATTGATGGTTTTGACGGTTCTAAGTTTATTATTAACATATGTTCACTTGAAGTCATTTGAAGTCTTTAACGGCAGGAGATCCCTTTTTAATTTATGTTTGTGGTACGTGGTTAGGGTACAAGGTATATGGTGTAGAGTATATGATATATGGTTAGGGTATAGCAATTAGCAAATATCACTTTTTATCTATATTTTAAAAATCAAAGTATGAATTTCAATTTTAAATTAACTATACTAGCAAAATCACAACTCTTAAGGACATATGGTTAGGGTATAGGGTATGTGGTTAATGTATAATGTATTGATGGTTTAGGGTATACAATCAACAACATATACTAACTTAATATTGACGATTGAGGGTAAGGCTAAGTGTATATGATATATGTTATTGAGTAAGTTATGATTAAAGTCACAATAATTTTACTAAATTTGATAGTTAATCTTTAATGGTTCAATTTTTAGGATAATTCGAACAATTTTACAAATAACACGTTTGGCAACAGTTTACTGAAGTTATTTGGGCAATGATACTAAATGAGATACTGTAATCCAATTACAGTACTGAAATAATACTAAAATATCAAATAAACAATTAATGGTGTCTTTTGTTTGCAAATGTTGATATCACCATTACTAGAGAAATTTTACAATGCTATATAGTATTGGTGCTATAGGATTTTGCCTTTATGGTACAACTTAAAATTGTACATTTACGTTATGGTACAACTTTAGATTGTACCTATACTTTTTGTACAAATTCTTTTATGGTACAACTTGAACTTGTACCTTTATATGATGGTACAACTTCAAGTTGTAAAGTTGTACCATAACATAATGGTACAAATTGTTTTATGGTACAACCTAAACTTATACATTTAATATTATGGTACAACTTTAAGTTGTACATTAAAGCACCAATACTATATAGCATAGTAGAAGTGCTCACATTACTATTAGCTAGTGTACTTTACCAATTATGATTAATTACATAACAAGTTTGCAAGTCATACAAATTTATTTAACATTTTGACTTGTTTTTTTCTAAAAATTTAAGTATATATATACGAGGTAGAAATAAATTGGTTAAAAATTTGAGAAAGATATTTTAAATTAGTGTAATAAAATGTGTAAGTTGGTAACGAGTAATGAGTAAGTTACTCGATGCGCTGACCCGAACAACCCAAAACCCGATCCGCTCGCAACCCGCCCGACCCAAAATCCGATGAACTAGCAACTCGATTTGCCTGCAACCCGTTTGAACCCGAACCCGATAATCCAAACCCGAATAATCCGCAACCCGAATAACCCGAACCCGCTCGATTGACACGTATACTGATAAGTAATAACTACCCTTGTTGGCTGTGGCCCCGTGGCTTGGGCAGTATAATTGTGACTGGATTGGAGAGATGGACAAGGACCCTTATCCCGAAGAGAGAAAACCCTATAGAAGTCTGCCAAGTCAGCAACAAGGATCTCTAGTGTATCCATTACTGGCATTCTAAACGCCACAAGTTGCTCACCGCAATCTGCCCTCCCTCGTTTATATTCGCCCAAAAATTTCCACCCACCCACCTGCCATCTGCTAATCACAGAATCGAAACGCTATCAGGCAATCACAGATCTAAGGCTCGCCTCTAATAACTGCAAAGATGGCCGCCGCCATGATGTCCGCTACTCTCCCGCAGTTCAGCGGGCTCAGAACCCAGACCTCACTCTCCCCCGTCAACAAATCCCTGGTCAGTTTCATTTCCGCGCCTTGTTTTGGAGATATTTGTTGGGTTGATTTTGGTTTTCTGAGCATCATTCTTTTATGGCAGGCAGCTGTTGTGCCGATGAGACGCGGCAGGGGAAATGGAGCATTGGGTGCTCGTATGGACTTTATTGGCTCTCCCACTAACTTGGTTCGTTCACTTGTAGTTGTATTTCCCCTGCTTCTCTCTGTTTTTGGTTGAACTCATAGATTTTCGCAATTCTCCTCGACTTTGGGCCAGATAATGGTGACGGCGACGAGCTTGATGCTGTTTGCTGGGAGATTTGGGCTGGCACCGTCGGCAAACAGGAAGGCGACGGCAGGGCTGAAGCTGGAGGCGAGGGACTCCGGGCTACAAACAGGGGACCCAGCTGGGTTCACGCTCGCCGACACCTTGGCTTGCGGTACCGTCGGCCACATCATTGGCGTTGGAGTTGTTCTTGGCCTCAAGAACATTGGAGCTCTGTAAAAGAGAAGAAATTGTTAATTGTCAACGACATTGTCTACCAATTCCAGTAATTTCGTTCACCCATGTTTCTTGGCTAGCTGTACATGATCGTAATGCGTATTATTCCTTTCGATCGCGGAATACGTTTCGAATTGTCTTGCGGAGTTGCGTGTAATGGAACCGTTAACCCAATCGTTTACTGAGAGGAGATGCTTGATCGCGCGTATCTTCGTGTTATAAGGTTTGCTGGATTAAGAGAGCTTATGAGGTTCACTCAACGAGGTAAGAATCAAGCCAGCTCTCTCGAGCCTAACTAGTTGAGCTTGTCTAACAACATCTTCGGGATTAGGGTTTTCGAGGATGTAAGTTGCTTTCTCCATTCTTCTCATTCATCACATAGTGTGGTGCTACGGTCAGCGGCGGATCCCGGACATAGTAGAGCACTGGGCCGCATTTTATTATAAAACTAGATATCGTAAAAAATCATGAGTTTTTTACTATATCAATTGTACATGTCGATCTTTTAATGTAGCGAATTCATCAATAATGGAGTCTACATCCATACAAATAGCATACTACTCTCTTTCAAATAAAATAGTTAACCAATTGACGATAAATTCATCGTTCATTTTGTTGCGCAAATCATTTTTCACCTGTTCCATTATTGAAAAAGTTATCTCCATAGTAGTTGTTGAAGTGGACAATTCAACAAAAGATTAATCAATCGACCAATCAATTTGTATTGTGTATCCATCCCTACTTCCATCAGCTGCTCTAGTAATTTTCAAGTGAACAAACCTCATATTTCTTTTAGCCTTTTACATTTTAGGCTTTTAGAATTTTAGGCTTCATTGTTTGTTTTTTAGACGAGAATCATTAGAGGTATAATTTCTAGACTAAATATAGAGTTATGATTTGAATATGTTCATCTTACTCATTTTCCTAATTACACACAATTTTATTATAAAATAGCATTGGACCAAATGGCTAATCGATAAACGCATAAGTGTTATATTAGCTTTGGATCCAGAGGAGGGGTGGGCTGTGGCCCGGGGTGGCCACTCCTGGATTCCCACTGGCTACGGTCAGAGAAATCCAGCTGTGTTGGATGAAACTTTCACAGTATAAATATAAAAGAAAGAAAAGTGAAACTCGTTACTAATAGTGGAAAAGAAATTGTTATGGGACAATCAAAGTACCGCATCGATAATACAAGGGAAGGGACCCTTGTATATTAATGTCCACCAAGCCAATTAGTACGAACCTTTTGGGGAGGACACTCAAGAATAAAACCGTGCGGGCTTGGCCCAAAGCGGACAATATCGTACTAATGGGTTGTCCAGTTTCGACAAGTGGTATCAGAGCCTGGTTCGGCGGATCCGGGGCGGTGGACATTAGTTTGGTGGGACCCTCATTGGGTGACCTCGAGATTTTTGATTCGCGACTGTTTGGTGGATCTAGAGAGATCTACGTTTGTTTGGCGGATCAAAGAGAGTTCCGCATCTGGGAAAATCCTTGTAACGAGAAGCCCATCGATACAAGGTGTCTGGCGGATCAAGATAATCGCTGAGGAAAGGACACGAAGTTCTTGGGGAGGACACCCAAGAATAAAACAGTGCGGGTTTGGCCCAAAGCGAACAATAGCGTACTAACTGAGCACCCCCGGTGTTTGACAAAGATGTATGCCGGTGAACTCTTTTTTTTTTTTTGCAAAAGATATCCCGAGAGGGAGTACAACATATACGACAAAAAATGGGGACCTTTGCAGGTCAAAATTACAAGCTAGAATTAAGGAAAAGCCGTTGGTCGACCAACCGACGATCCAAGGATGAGAGGGCTTGTTTTGTCACGAGATGGGTAGCCTTATTATACTTACGCGGGGCGAAGTAGAACGATGACCGCTGTAAGGAGGCACGAAGAACCTGAACTTCAGATAGAAGGCTACCAGCTTGTGCATGGGACGAGTCCTTGCGGTTCACCATTTGAATGATCACCTGCGCATCACCACAGAATAAGACATTAGAAATTGAATGCCAGAGACACCATCGAAGTGCATCTGTAAGTGCCATGAGCTCAATGATGAAAGCATCATCCAAATAGTTATAATACTTTCCAAACGCGAATTAAATGTCATCTGGTCCTGCAAAACCGACAAATCCCACTCCTCCCCCAATCCCTGATTTGTTGCTCCATCAAAGTGAACTAGGATAGAACCTTGTGGAATTGGAGGATGAGTAGGATTGCAGACCCCGAGAGGAACTGAGTGACGTGAACGACAACTACTTGAGGCAGCCAAAGCCGCTTGAGTAAAAGACCATTCTTCAACTTGGGAATGGAATTGTCGCGTCATGGTAGATGGGAGGAACTGAAGACCATCGTATGTGGTGGAGCACCTAGCCTTCCAAACACGCCAAAATCCAAATACAAGTCGACTAAGAACCTCCTCGGGAAGACCTGCATGAAAAAGAAATCACCGCCAACCAACAGATACATGCATATGGCAAACCTGTAGTCGTAAATGGTTAAGATCAACAAGGTTCCAAAATTCCACAGCCACTGACTCGCTAAAACACAACACCAAACTGCAACCAAGTGTAATCGCAGTCCGGAAATGCAATAACAGGCAAGCTCTAATTGTCAATCCGGGGTCTAGATCTACTGCCTACTCCGTGTATATATGTTATCTAGCAAACTAAGTTGAGTGATTGTTGATTTAAGTAAAAACAGTAAGAAAGCGGGAAATGGTTCGGTTTTCTAAAGCAAAGGAAAAGTCACTCAGGAATGAGTCCCCCTAGCTCCTTAGTTAGGTCACAGTTGTAATTACTTTTGGTTGCTTTACTGCTGATTATACTGCGGAAGATCCGACAGTAGCTTGGAATCTCTTAAGCTGACCAAGCCCTCTCAGTCAAACTACCCGGCAGACGACTAGTCTTCACCGGGATAGAACGTTGAGGCAATGAACACAGAACTCCACTTTTGGAATTAGATTCTAGTACAAAGCAGTGAATCGACTAACTCTCGCATAATCGATTCACTACTACCGATTGAAGAAGCTCTAACAACCTAATCAGATTCTATCTATCTCAGGTTGCAGCAGAAATCAATAAAAGATGATCAAACTTCAATTGACTCAATCAAAACACTTCAATCAATTATAATCAAGCAATATCACAATCCAAACGTAATTACAATCAAGATTCCTAACACATGGAACTAGGGTTCTTCATACCCAAGTGAGAGAAAGTTCTACTCCATAGAGAGAGAGAAATAGAATACAAAGCAGTCATACTCATAACAATGGGAAGAATCTGCTCTGGGATGTCAATCTTCACTCCTCGGGATGCAATCTGGGCTTCAATGGTGAGAAATCCACTCCAAATAGCTCCTAGGGGTTTGTTCTTCACACTTTCTCTCTCTAAAACTCCGTTTTTGATCCAAAAAGTCGATTCCCTCTCCTTTGGCTCAAAATTGGATTGAAACCCAGAGTGTGCAAAACGTCGCGTTTCACTTAAGTGGCTTCAGGTACGCTACACGGCCAAAACCACACGACCGTGTGGATTTTCAAGCTGCCCGTGTGAGCTCCCTGGACTTTCCACACGGTCACAAGGGGTCCCCTATACGGCCAGTTTGGCTTGCCCGTGCAATTTGGTGCCACACGCCCAGGTCACACGGCCGTGTGGGTTTTTAGGCGTGCCCGTGTGGCTTCCTCAACTTCTCGCCAAACGTCCAATCTTCGTCCAATCGACCCCAAACTCGTTCCCAAACCTTCATTCACGTACTAGGACCTGAAATATCACAAACAAGAACAACCTAGCGTGAAATCGGCCTAAAACACGAGAAATAAGACTCAAACGGTGTAAGAATGGTGGACAAAAACATGTGTATATATCAAGTCATCAAATTCCCCCACACTTAACCGTTTGCTTGTCCCCAAGCAAACCAAGTCAGATACAAGGTAAGCTCACATATTTCAATCATACCAACATTGGGGACAAATCATATAGGCACAGAACACGTGGATCAAACTGGCTTTTGATCATTGCGAAATGGACAACTCAACAGCAACCTAGACAACCACCACAGAGGACATTCGAGTGCAATAAAATCGGGTAAAGGAAGAGGAATCCTTTCTGTTCACCAATCAACATAGACTTGACTCAACCACTTGACCAATACAGTCACCTCATGCACAAAACACAAGATATCAGAATTGAGACCGAGCAATCTAGGTCCTCACCGGGGTAAAAGAGTATAGAGAATATGAGAAAATGAATCGCTCACTCTCGACCAGTGGGGTCAGGACAATTTGATGCGAAAGATGCGCATGCTTATTCTCTCAATCCCTAACATCTCTTCACCATGAAGGCAGCCTCTAAATGTTAGAGTTCACATATGGGGTGTCACCACTAACTAATCCGGAGGTCTTAGACACAGGTTCAGATGATTGGCTAGGGTCTTGGACATGGGAAAAAGGCATTTTAGGTGGTGGAAGTATTCATAGCACAAGGTTCCACAATTCCAAACCCAACACAATCACAATCAATCAAACAACTTACTTTCTTTCTGCTATTCTGCATTACTCACATTCTCTAGAGCACAAGAGCGAAGGAGGTCACATAAATGTTAGTATTTCCAAGCCAGGCCGCTGACTCGACTCTACTGTCACTCCAGGAATTGGCCAAGTGAAACCACTTCCTAAAGCGTAGTATAGTGGGTTAGGTTTATATGTCAACCCGGGTCCTAGATTTGATGACTACTCAGTGAATTCGTGTTATCTAGCAATGAAACTGGAATGCAAGTCTAAACTAACCAAACTAACAAAGCAGGTAAACGGTTGTATTCAGGTTAAAGAGGTCACCCGGATATGGTTCCCCCTAGACTGCAGTTAAGCCGGATTGTAATTACCAAGTTCAGTTTCTATGATGGTTATACTGCGGAAGGTTCTTAAACAGCCTGAAGTCTCGACTAAAGGTCTTCAGACCCTCTCAATCTGAATCTCTAGCGGGCGACTAACCTCCACCGGAGTAGACAGATTGAGGCCCTAAGAACGAAACCTCCACTACCGGAGTAAATCCGGTACAGAATAGTGAGTTGGTTCCTCGACTAAAGTCACCAACTCCCTACCTTCAATCAAGGATACTCTATTAACCTAGGCAGATATTCTCATTCTAGGTTAAAGCAGAAACAACAGGAATTTGATCAGGATTCAAGTCATTCAATCATTAAAACCTCAATCGAATATAATCAATCATAGAATCAGTACTTGGGTTCATACAATCAAACCTACCATACAAATCTAGGGTTCTCCATACCTAGATGAATGGAAGAACTACTCCATGGAGAAGAAAGCAAAAGCAGAATCAGACGCGGAATTCATACTGTGAAGGATGGATTCCTGCTTCTGTACGTTGATCGGCACTTCTCCAAGCTCAAGCTAGCCTCCAATGGTGTTGATGATCAATCTAGGGCACTTGGAGACTCTTGTTCGTCACTTTCTCTCTCTAGGAATCGTTCTATCTCTCAAAAACTCGAATCCCCTTGACTTGTGGCTGAAAATCTGCTTAAAAGCATCAGTGGCCAAAGCACGGTCGAGGACACAGCCGTGCTTTGCCTGAGTCCGCCCGTGTCTCGGCCAAGGTTAATTACACGGCCAGCAGTTGGGGGGAAACACGGCCGTGCTTCGCGGTGGACACGGCCGTGCTTTGGTGGAACACGGCCGTGCTTTGGTGCCCGTGTTTGCAGCTGAATTTGCCAAATCGAATTTGCTCTCGGCATAAAAAGCACGGCCACAGGAACACGGCCGTGTAATGCCTTAGGTGTGCTCGTGTTTTGGCTCCAGCTTGACGAAATGACCTCCGAATGCCCCGAAACTCGCGCTTAGCCTTCCCTTTGACACCTGGGACCTGAAACATGACAAAATAGCACAACCCGGCGTAAAATAGGCCAAAACACACGACTATGCCCCTCAAACGGATAAGAACTAGGGGCGCAAACATGTGCAATTACATCGTTATCAAACTCCCCCACACTTAACCGTTTGCTTGTCCCCAAGCAAACCTCACTCAAACCAATGCAACTCTCCAGACCTCTATAGCAACAAACAACCCAGATCGTAGGTAGAGGACTTCCTAGGTCATTTAGCAACTTACGAGGTCAACCGACGCACAAGTCATCTCATAGCTTCTTCGGCGAGTCAGCATCATGGCAAACAGTGAACAGAGGACAAATGAATCGTGGATGGAGAGATTCTAAAAAACAAAGGATCATGGACTCACATTTTTCAAGGTGCTCAATTTTCTTTGAAGATGGTTGGAACCCCTTTTTTTTCTGTTTTGCTTGTTTTCTGTTATTTTTCTTTTCTTTTCTTTTCAAGGGTCCCAACCTGCTCTTACCGGCCATGCCAGGAGTGGATGTCTCGAGCCTTGTGCGGGGGAAAGACATGTAAGGGGGTTGGAGGTAGTAGGTGGAAATTGGGAACGAATTCCCGTCTCCCCTTACACACTTTCGCCCTATTCGCACGGGAGACGTTTATTTGGAAGCACATTTTCGAGCACCTGTTAAACTCAAAACATGATACAAGAGTCCATGACAGGTAGAGAATCCACAACACCACACAATTCAAGGGTCCTAAGATCACTAATTCACTCAATCAACCAACTCAATATGAAGAAGAAATGAGACTTCTTAAATGCATCAACATCCTCCATAGTGCTACACTACCTCCCTAGGTTGCATATTACTATAAAGACTGTCAATTCAAAGCATACTGAGCAGGCAATTGCAAGGAAACACGTACTTGGAGCCCTCAAATTTAAAAATTTGGACAGTGGACTAGGCTCCAAGCACACAAACAGATCTAATGCAGTCAAAAGATAAACATCCCCCCACACTTAAGCTCGACATTGCCCTCAATGGAGAAGAGGGAAGGATAAGGGGAACGATGTTACCGGTATGCACGGACTACAGGAGACTGGAAGCGGGCCAGTCGGGGCAAGCACAGCCAAAGGGAAACAGAAGAGCTCAAACACAATATGTTAGGTTCAATGGTCAGCCCAATAAAACATCATCCAAACCAAAAGAAAAACAAACCAAACCCAAACCGGGTTACAATCCGACTCAAAACACAGGAAAGAAAATCAAACCGTGGTGGGGTTGCCTCCCCACAAGCGCTTCTTTACCGTCGTGTAGCTGGACGCCCATGGTGGATACTCAGGGCGGTGCAGGAACAGGTGCCTCCAAGAGCGAATCCACGTCGCCCTTGAGGTACAGCTTCAGGTTGTGGCCATGCACCCGACGGATGCGACCACTATCATCAGTCAGCTCGACCTGCCCATCTGGCAAGATGCAGGCGAGTGAGTACCCGGACGGCCAGGGTGGTCGTGGTGCAGGAGGTGGGACCAGCTCATAGTGGTCTCCACTCTTCTTCCGCGCAGGCTTAGCAACCTGCTGCTTCGGCCGCCACTCCTCCTTGAGCTTTTTGTTCGGAGGCGAGGCTGGATGGAGTGGCGGCGAAGGAATGATAGGAGGGTCCTGCAAAATAGGAGGTGCAGAAGGGTACACGACAGACTCGTGTACCTGATCAGAAATGGCATGCACAGGCGTGACAGCAATCATAGCACAGTGATCAAATTCAGTCACAGAAAAAGTAGCCTGTTCATCCCCAGCACTCAAGATCAACTTACCATCATGCACATCAATAAGTGCCTTGGCGGTGGCAAGAAAGGGTCTACCCAGAATCAAAGGTACATCCACATCCTCATGTATATCAAGAATAATAAAATCAACAGGATATGTGAATGCACCAACACTAACAAGCAGATCCTCTATGATTCCCCTAGGATGCACGATAGAACGATCAGCTAACTGAATGCTCATCCTAGTAGGGCTAAGTTCACCTAGGTCTAGCTTTTTATACAACTTATATGGCATGACGTTTATGCTAGCGCCTAGGTCCGCCAAGGACTTTCCTACATGCATGCTGCCAATAGTAAGAGGGATAGTAAAACTCCCTGGATCCTTGCGCTTCTCGGGCAGCTTGTTCTGCAGGATAGCAGAACACTCCTCGCTCAGAAACACTGTCGAGAGATCCCCAAGTTTCTTCTTGTTGGTGCAGAGATCTTTCATGAACTTGGCATACTTGGGCATCTTCGACAGTGCCTCCACAAACGGTATGCTGATGTTGAGCTGCTTCAACATTGCCATAAACTTGGCAAACTCAGTCTCCAGCTTGTCTTTATGTAGGCGAGTGGGGAAGGGAAGCTGGGGCACATGCTCCTTAATAACTGGTTGTGGCTTGGGAGCAGGGGCTTCCTTCTCCACCCGCACTTCTGCATCGTCGGCTAGAAGTGCTGAAGCAGGCAGTGGTTCCTCCTGTCTGGCCGGGACATGATCAGCAGATATGGTCTTACCGCTCCTGGTAAAAATGGCATCCAGCTGCTGATGCTGGTGAGGATCTCGAGGATTCGGGACAGTGGTGGCAGGCAAAGTCCCCAGTGCCCTGGTGGTGTTCTGGCGGGCCAAGATGCCCACCTGGGTCTGTAGATCCTGCAAAATTGCACCCTGGTTCCTCTGACCTGCCTCCAGTGAGGCTACACTCTGGTCCAACCTCGTGATAGTCGCCTGAGTGCTCGTCATGAATGAAGCTAGAATGTTTTCCAGCTTCGTCATCCTGTCATCTGGAGCTGGAGCTGCTGCTGGCTCGGCAAACTGGCGCTGGGGCTGCTGGAATGGCTGCCCCTGCCTAGGCTGGTAGGGCTGCTGCTGTGGGTCTGGCCCCTGGCGAGCCTGGAAGGGCTGCCTCTGCTGAAACCCACCTGCTGGTGCTGGGAAACCAGGTGGTTTAGTGGTGTTGCTGCTCCAGGCGAAGTTGGGATGCTGGCGCCACCCCTCATTATATGTAGTGCTGTATGGATCGAGGCGCCACGCATTGGCGATGAAGGCCAACTGCTCCTGGGGTGTGGTAGACTCCCTCATAGCCTGGCAGTCCTCCACTAGGTGATTGGAGCTCTCACACCACTGACACTGAGCAACTGGAGGTGTAGCCAAACCTCTGCCTGGAATAAGACTGTTGGGCTGCTTCAGTGTCTGCACTAGCTCAGCTACCTGCTGCTCGAGCCCGGATCTGGTCTCCATGGCGTGCACACCACGGTCCCTGGAATGTCTGCCTTTGCTGCTCTGCCCCCAGGAATGATCTCTGGCAGCCAATGTATCAATCATCTGGTTCAGCTCGGGTGGAGTCTTAGTGAGAACATCCCTTCCTGGGCATAGAGACTCAATCACCCTCTGGCTGTCTGGAGAGAGAGCACTGTAGAAATTCCCCACTGTGAATGCATCACTAAAGCCATGGTGGGGACACTGCCAGAAATATCCCATGTACCGCTCCCATGCATCATGAAGTGACTCATCTGGCTCCTGGCAGAAGTGAGTGATCTCCCGCTGAATCTCTGTAGTCTTCGATGCCGGATAGTACCTGTGCACGAATTTGTCAGCCAGATCGTCCCAAGAGGTGATGGACAATGGGGGCTGGGTCTCCAACCACCTCTTAGCATTCCCCGCCAGAGAATGGGGGAAGAGATGAAGGCGGATTGCATCATCCGGGACACCATTCAACTTGAACCCGTTCGTCAGCTGCAGAAAACGGGAAAGATGCACCCTGGCCTCCTCATCCTTCAAGCCATGGAACTGGATAGAGGATGTAATGAGCTGAATCCAGCATGGCTTGATCTCAAAGTTGTTTGCTGGAATAGGCGGGTAGAGGATGACCGGGCGGATGTCAGCAATCCGAGGAGTGTAGTAGTACTCCAAGGTGGGACCCGGCTGCGGTGGATGATGAACTCCATGATCCTGGGGTATGGGGTTGTTCCCCAGGACCTGATTCACCGGGGGAGCCTGCTGAGGATTCCCCTGGTGCTGATTGTAGTCTCCGTCCATCTCGTACTCTTCTTCAGAATCGCTACTCAAGTGGCCGTCTAGGCGCTCTTCCGTAGCCAGTCTAGCTCGCTGCTGTCTCCTGAGTTGGCGACAGGTGCGGTCAATCTCTGGTTTCAACGGCAGTAAACCTCCCGACTGGCTACGGGTCATGCACTACCTGCACACACTCAAGCAAGCAAACCCGTGAAGGCACAAGTGGGACAAAGCAAACAAAGCAAAAAGAAAAGCTAAATTAACAGAAATCACTTTTCTTCAACAACCTAGCCGTCCCCGGCAACGGCGCCAAAAACTTGACTCGACTCTACTGTCACTCCAGGAATTGGCCAAGTGAAACCACTTCCTAAAGCGTAGTATAGCGGGTTAGGTTTATATGTCAACCCGGGTCCTAGATTTGATGACTACTCAGTGAATTCGTGTTATCTAGCAATGAAACTGGAATGCAAGTCTAAACTAACAAACTAACAAAGCAGGTAAACGGTTGTATTCAGGTTAAAGAGGTCACCCGGATATGGTTCCCCCTAGACTGCAGTTAAGCTGGATTGTAATTACCAAGTTCAGTTTCTATGATGGTTATACTGCGGAAGGTTCTTAAACAGCCTGAAGTCTCGACTAAAGGTCTTCAGACCCTCTCAATCTGAATCTCTAGCGGACGACTAACGTCCACAGGAGTAGACAGATTGAGGCCCTAAGAACGAAACCTCCACTACCGGAGTAAATCCGGTACAGAATAGTGAGTTGGTTCCTTGACTAAAGTCACCAACTCCCTACCTTCAATCAAGGATACTCTATTAACCTAGGCAGATATTCTCATTCTAGGTTAAAGCAGAAACAACAGGAATTTGATCAGGATTCAAGTCATTCAATCATTAAAACCTCAATCGAATATAATCAATCATAGAATCAGTACTTGGGTTCATACAATCAAACCTAACATACAAATCTAGGGTTCTCCTTACCCAGATGAATGGAAGAACTACTCCATGGAGAAGAAAGCAAAAGCAGAATCAGACGCGGAATTCATACTGTGAAGGATGGATTCCTGCTTCTGTACGTTGATCGGCACTTCTCCAAGCTCAAGCTGGCCTCCAATGGTGTTGAAGATCAATCTAGGGCACTTGGAGACTCTTGTTCGTCACTTTCTCTCTCTAGGAATCGTTCTATCTCTCAAAAACTCGAATCCCCTTGACTTATGGCTGAAAATCTGCTTAAAAGCATCAGTGGCCAAAGCACGGTCGAGGACACGGCCGTGCTTTGCCTGAGTCCGCCCGTGTCTCGGCCAAGGTTAATTACACGGCCAGCAGTTGGGGGGAAACACGGCCGTGCTTCGCGGTGGACACGGCCGTGCTTTGGTGGAACACGGCCGTGCTTTGGTGCCCGTGTTTGCAGCTGAATTTGCCAAATCGAATTTGCTCTCGGCATAAAAAGCACGGCCACAGGAACACGGCCGTGTAATGCCTTAGGTGTGCCCGTGTTTTGGCTCCAGCTTGACGAAATGACCTCCGAATGCCCCGAAACTCGCGCTTAGCCTTCCCTTTGACACCTGGGACCTGAAACATGACAAAATAGCACAACCCGGCGTAAAATAGGCCAAAACAAACGACTATGCCCCTCAAACGGATAAGAACTAGGGGCGCAAACATGTGCAATTACATCGTTATCAGCTGCTAAGAAACACTACTTAATGGGCACTATTCAGATTTTTGGTGGTAGTTCTCTTTTGCTTTCATTCATTTTGTTTTCTTTTTTTTCTTCTTCATTTTTTCCATTTCTTGAGAGAACCACCACCTCTGCACATTTCTCAAACACATGCCCAATTTTTAAGCATTACCTCCAACCCTCACATTATATTTAGCAGAAACATAAGAGAACATGCAAAAACCACTCTGTGGAACCTTCTAAGAGATGCAAAAGGGTGATTTTCCATTGTAGACCGAAAGAAAGAAAAGTACACGGCTCAAAGGGGTTGACTAGGGGGTATGACACACCAGGACAGTCAATTTGGTCGTGGGCTAATCCTATGCCTCCATCATCTTAGCTAGTGACAACATGAATGCTACACATCATGGAAGAGGTAACTATCGCACAAGAAAGAAACGAGCAAGCTCAAATCTCACATGGCTACCTACTTGCCCTATCTCTCATTCTGATTCTCTGAACTTGATGCATAAACGACTGTCAAGAACAAGTGATCAATCCAAGTCACAGTTGGTAAGCAAATAGCTGAAAATCTGAACTCCTACACAATTTTACTGCACGTCTCAGTCATCACCATAGGTTGTCCTAGTTACAATCAAGCTGTCATGCAACAATTCGAAAGCCATTCGATTCACCACTCAAATCACAGTGCCAATATGATCATGCAAACAAAAATACTTGGAGCCCTCAAATCTCGAGATTTGGACAGCGGACTAGGCTCCAAGCACACATATATAGATTCCAACCAATACAAAGCACCCCTCCCCCACACTTAAGCATGACATTGCCCTCAATGGAGCAGAGGGAAAGAGAAGGGGAACGATGTTACCGGATGGAAAAACTGCCGGGGGACTGGAAATGGGACCAGTCAGCAAGGCTAGAGTCATCAAAACACACTGGGTGATAAAAACCATAGTTCCAAGTGGACAAACCAAAAAACAAACGAAAGAAAAACAAACCTTGGTGGGGTTGCCTCCCCACAAGCGCTTCTTTACCGTCGTGAGCGGGACGGTGGCTCCTAAGTTTCGATCCACCCCAGAACCTCCTTGAAGTTGCGGTTCTCATTAATGAGGTGGAGTCTCAAGTCACAAGCATGTGATGTGATAGGTGATGAAGATGGCTCGTGGCCTTGAGGAAGATGAAGTCTCCACTCTCGAGACCTCTCCTTTGCGTCTGCTCTTGTCTCATTGCCCCAAACCAGATAAGATATATTCGATTGACCACCTTCGCATCCACCAAGAGGGATCGATGTTGATGTGGTCTTGGTCTGGCAAAGAGACACTGCAAATGGGTCCTTGCCAAGCAGCTCCTTGAATTTTGGTGGAGATATCACATGTAACTCATGGCCGGTGCATGCCTCTTCCACCTCAACTTGATCCTCATCCTGGACACCACTTGCTTCTTTAACCCCCCTTCCTTCTTCAAAATGTGGTCTCTCCCCTTGGACAAGATCAAGAACTACCTCTTCTTTGCTTTCTTCCTCATCCTCTACAACTTCCTTCCTCATCCTTGCTCGCTCTTCTTCTTCTAGAACAGATTGGAGACCAAGTCGCCAAGCAATTTCTTCAATGGGATCATCTTGCATCTCCTCGCACGGGCGCATCATGTTAGAGGATAAATGAGGAAAGGTGTGATCTGCAACCAGAGGACTTTCCTTATCATGATTATCATGGGAGTTCTCTATGATAACTTATGTATGCTCCTAAACGTCCCCGTAGCCTTTGTCATCCTCCACCTCTTCTAGCGTGGTAGCAGAAAGGTGATCTTGACCAGGATGTGAGAAAACTTGCTCCACCCACTATGTTTGCTTCGCTGAGCACTGAACAGTCTCCTCCATTTCGTGGAGAAATGAGGGATCGGAAGGGGCAAGGGCTTGGATTTCAAGATCCATCGTGGAGCATGATCTCTCAGTGTCTCGAGCAAACTGCTCCACGAGAAGCCTTAATTGTTTGTTCGGATCTTCCAGTGAAGTGTAGCATGGCTCTTCAGAGTGGCCCGTGAAGGCTGTGGCTAAATCAAGATCTGATGGCCCTTCTAGTTGTGGGAGGAATTCTTCTTGATAATGAGAGTGTTCTTGAAATATCCAAGGGTCTGATTGTTCTTCGTAGTAGGGGGGTTGGTAAACCCGGTTCCATAGTCTTCTCCTCTTTGGGTGCTCCAGGAAGCCTTGGGGTAATACCACTCGGGTGGTGGTGGACCCCCAATGGTTGGAGAAGCCTTGAGAATCCATGTATCAAATCTGCACCAACAAAAACAAAATACCCAGGTGAAAAGCAAGGGTGGAAAAGAGTCCCATAAAAGTAAATGCTAAAGTAACATACTTTCACGTTTCTACAATAACCTAGAGGTCCCCGGCAACTGCGCCAAAAACTTGACTCGCTAATACACAACACCAAACTGCGACCAAGTGTAATCGCAGTCCGAAAGTTCAGTAACAGGCAAGCTCTAATTGTCAACCCGGGGTCTAGATCTACTGCCTACTCCGTGTATATCTGTTATCTAGCAAACTAAGTTGAGTGATTGTTGATTTAAGTAAAAGCAGTAAGAAAGCAGGAAATGGTTCGGTTTTCTAAAGCAAAGGAAGAGTCACTCAGGAATGAGTCCCCCTAACTCCTTAGTTAGGTCACAGTTGTAATTACTTTTGGTTGCTTTACTGCTGATTATACTGCGGAAGATCCGACAGTAGCTTGGAATCTCTTAAGCTGACCAAGCCCTCTCAGTCAAACTACCCGGTAGACGACTAGTCTTCATCGGGATAGAACGCTGAGGCAATGAACACAGAACTCCACTACTGGAATTAGATTCTAGTACAAAGCAGTGAATCGACTAAATCTCGTATAATCGATTCACTACTACCGATTGAAGAAGCTCTAACAACCTAATCAGATTCTATCTATCTCAGGTTGCAGCAGAAATCAATAAAAGATAATCAAACTTCAATTGACTCAATCAAAACACTTCAATCGATTATAATCAAGCAATATCACAATCCAAACGTAATTACAATCAAGATTCCTAACACATGGAACTAGGGTTCTTCATACCCAAGTGATAGAAAGTTCTACTCCATAGAGAGAGAGAGAGGGAAACAGAATACAAAGCAGTCATACTCACAACAATGGGAAGAATCTGCTCTGGGATGTCAATCTTCACTCCTTGGGATGCAATCTGGGCTTCAATGGTGAGAAATCCACTCCAAATAGCTCATAGGGTTTGTTCTTCGCACTTTCTCTCTCTAAAACTCTGTTTTTGCTCCAAAAAGTTGATTCCCTCTCCTTTGGCTCGAAATTGGATTGAAACCCAGAAATTCTCGACCACGGCCAGGCCACACGGCCGTGTGGCTTTCCCAGCTGCCCGTGTGAGTGTGCAAAATGCCGTGTTTCACTTAAGTGGCTTCAGGTACGCTACACGGCCAAAACCACACGGCCGTGTGGATTTCCAGGCTTCCCGTGTGAGCTCCCTGGACTTTCCACACGGCCACAAGGGGTCCCCTACACGGCCAGTTTGGCTTGCCCGTGAAATTTGGTGCGACACGCCCAGGTCACACGGCCGTGTGGATTTTTAGGCGTGCCCGTGTGGCTTCCTCAACTTCTCGCCAAACGTCTAATCTTCATCCAATCGACCCCGAACTCGTTCCAAAACCTTCATTCACGTACTAGGACCTGGAATATCACAAACAAGAACAACCTAGCATGAAATCAGCCTAAAACACGAGAAATAAGACTCAAACGGTGTAAGAATGGTGAACAAAACATGTGTATATATCAAGCCATCAGCCACCCTGCAATGCATAAACAAGTGGACCATTGTCTCGGGACCCTCCGAACAAACCGGGCACTTCACACCCTCCAAATCCTCATCATCAATTAGTTCCTTTTCTTTGAGAACGTTGCATAAAGGAAGATAACCTTTGATGACACGCCATAGGAATAAACGAAGCTTAGGGGGAACATTGACGGACCATAACTTTTTCCAAGCAGGTGCATCAAATATAGGGGGAATGGTTGAGGGATTATGAATAAAATCAGCTGAGGCTACTCTATAACCTGACTTACCGAATACTCACCTGATTTCTCATAATGCCATACTAAACGGTCAGAAACGGAGATAATGGGCAGGGGAATAGATCTAATAATCTTGACGGTATCCCCATCAAATAGAGAGACTAGGAGAGATACCTTCCAACTGCCAGATCCATGATCAATCAAGGAAGAAACATGTGGCCCAGGTAAGGACGCGCCATGCAGAAGGGCTAGCCGGGACGGAGGGGAGGTTGGCAGCCAAGTATCATCAATGATCCTCATAGAAGTACCCGAGCCTATTTGCCAGCAGAGGCCGGATTGAAGGAGATTTCTACCCACAAGAATACTCTGTCGAGCCCATGAGGGTCGAGAGCCCTAAGGGGCAAGTAAAAAGGAGGATTGAGGAAAATACGTTCCTTGGTAGTTGGAGGCAAGGAGTCCATCCAGGCATTGAATAATTCGCCACTTCTGTTTGGCTAACAAGGCAATGTTTTGTTGTCAAAGTCCACGACGGATTTTGGCCGACAGAGCTCATGCCATGAGGCTCATTTCATCCCATTCTCTTTGTCCTGAGATGCCCACCAGAGTCGAGCTAAATGCCCGTTAAGCATGCGACAAAAGGTGGAAGGGATGCGAAAAATGGAAATAGCATAGTTAGGGGAGGAAAATCCAACAGACATCAGAACCGTTGCCTTCCCTGCTAATGACATGGGTTGGGATTTCCAACGTTGAATCTTCTGCAACAGGTTGTCGTCAATGTAATGCAATGGCTCTTGTTTTGACCGAGATATCCGGATTGGGAGGCCAAGATATACCTCCTAATCACCACTTGGGGAAACACGTAGAGTGGATATTATCGCTTGAGCTTCTGTTGTGGAAACATTGGCACTGAAGGAGACGGTGGACTTCTGTAAATTGACCTTCTGACCTCTCATTATTTTTAAGTTAAATTATACGGCGAAGAGCCAACAAAGGGCTTATTTGATATTTTTAAAAAGTTAAATTTAATAAATAAATTAAATTTTAATTATCCCTCTCCTCCCTCACAAAGAATTTAACATGAAAAAGATACTACCGAAAACTAAAAAAAGTTAAATTAGTAGTGATTTAGCTTGGATGTTGTAGTGATTTTATAGTAGTCACTAGTGATTATTATTGTTTTTAGTAGCGTTTTTTAATTAGCAGAAGTTGACGATTTTTTGAAACAACAATACTATAATAGAAATAAGTACCACAAAGAATAAATATTACTACTAATATACAAAACACTACTAACTTTACAAATATCACTGCTCCACCGCTGATTACAATAACAATGACTACTAATACATATAAAAAATACTACTCCATCACTACTAACCCAAAATCACTACCAATCAAATAATAATATAGATCTGGCAAAAACTTCTCATTTTTCCTACACACATTCTATCCGCGAGCGATTGACGACAGTGGTGGTGGGAAGACAACGTAGGCAAGGCCGGCGGAAGTAAGGGCGGTGCATGCTCGTTTCTCTCCATCGAATGACAACCTCTTCACATATCTGGTTTTGTTTCCTCTTTCGCCATCATACGACGAGTCGCCTCCTCTCCAGCCGCAAGTGTTGTGGTGTTATCAAAGCGCCGACATAGATGAGGCTGAGAGAGTTGAGTGTAGCACATGGCGATGGCGAGGTAGTTGCGGGTGATGGTGACGTGGTTGCAAGCGGTGGCGAGGCGGTTGCGGATGAAACATCGCAGGCACACGGTTGCGGGTGATGGCGAGTCCGTTGCAGGCTAGGCTAAGATCGATGTAGGCGTAGTCAAACGGGATGGGTAGTCGATGGAGATCGGAGTTTCTTTAGAGAGAGAAGAAGATGGGTTTCTGGATTTTTGAGAGAGAGAGAGAGAGAGAGAGAGAGAGGTGGGTGGTGGGGAAGGATTGATAGAAAAATGGTATTTATATTAGGTTTAATGATGTATTGACTAAATTATCTTCTATTTAGTTTCGAACCCAAGATTATTTTTTAATCTAATGGTTATTAGACTAGTTAGCATGGTCTAATCCGATTGTATCAACGGTGATAGCTATCCACTATGGTCAGTAAAGACATTTGATAGTTGGTAACGATAATTTATCTTATGAACTTCAGGTTCATGTTTGTTACTTTGAGGATCAAAACTAGATAATGATAACTCATTCCAACTCATCTCTTTACCTAGATATTTTTCTCTCCCCCATTAATGTTGGAAAAGTGATTCATCACAATAATAATTTCGCAAACAAATCTCCCATCATGTCCTCGACAAGAGAATGGAAGGCTCAGCTTGTACTCATAAGCAAAGTGATGTTTGATTGGGTAACCATCAAAATGTATCCATAGTGAGGCAACCAATCTCACAAATATCGAGTTGCGATTGTATAAAATACATGTGATCATCCATTTGATTCATCAACCCATAAAATTCACAAATGATCTACATGACTAATGTATTGTTCTGCACACGTCCATAAAATCTCAAGAGATTTGCCAACTCTTTTACAAGAAATGATCAATTGTTCTATTTTCCTTGAGAACAAGAACGACATAATGACTCTTGAAGAATTCTTTGACTTCTCATATGATGTTCTCATGAATTCTCAAAGATCTTTTTTGCATCAAGATCCGGGATGGTCTAATCGGACCAACCAAATTATCAAGTTATCAAATCTTGTAAACTTATAGTTTATACCTTTATGTGTACTGATAGTACTAATATACATGTAGTACATATTTGTGATGCAAATATTAGTTTCACTATTTTCTTGATGATATATTCATTTTTGCGAATATCCTTTTAATTAGGTAATGCATCATCACTAGGTAGTTTGGTTCCTTCAGGCCACAAAACATTAGCTCTTTTGGAGCTTTGCCACACTTGAGGCAAAACACGGGCGGGCAGAAACAAAACACGGTCGTGTCCTCGACCGTGTTTTGCCCAATCTCGGATTAAAAGGAGTTTTCAAGCCAAAGAGAAGGGGAATCCGATTTTTAGAGCTAGAGAGAAAAAAACCTTGAGAGAGAAAGTGACGAATAGAACTTCCAAGTACCCTAAATCGATCTTCGACCCCATTAGAGCTCGGTGGAAGCTTGGAGGAGTGCCAATTGATTACCAGAAGCATATCCTCATCCTTCACAGAATGATTTCCACATCTGAAGCATATTTCTCTTCACTCTCTACGAAGTAAACTCTCTTTCTCACCTGGGTATGAAGAACCCTAGATTTGTATGTTAGGCCTGGTTGTATGAACCCAAGTACGAATTCTTAGATATTGATTATATTCAATTGAGGCATGGTTTTCTGAATTGCATGAATCCTGATCAAATTCCTGTTATTCCTGCTTTGACATATAAAAAGAATATCTGCCTAGGTTGATAGAGCACCCTTGATTGAAAGGCATAGTTAGTAAATACTCTGTTTAATACATGTATATGTACTAGTACGTACTTATCCATTTAAAACTTCCGTATCCATATTATTGTCAAACCGTCTCATTCTTCCCCGTTCATTTGATGGCTCACGTACTAACCACGTATAAAACCCGCATAACACGTTTATTATCCGTATTGTACGAATTAAATTTTTAACTTCACTGTTATTTATAGTATATTTATTTTTAAAAGGGTTAATTTTATATATTTATGACTATTAACCATGGACCAGGAAACCGGATCGTACCGGCCGGTTTAACCGGAAAAACCGGAAACCGGACCAAAAGCGATACGGTAGCCTAATGATGGTCGTTTTACCGTACCGGCCGGTTTTTCCGGCTGAACCGACACTGTAACACCCTACCCTATACGTTTTGCCTAATCATATTGTTCATACAATTGCAGCGGAATTAATCTCGGGTGTTACATTAATTATCAAAATTTACCTAAATAAAATTTCGACATGAATCACTCGCGTAATGGGCTAACATTTCTTGCAACTTATCCTCCAAAATAATTCATCACAAACATATATACTCACAACCATATGCATTGGCTTTCATAGCCATAGGCACAGTTTCATACTACACAACTGCATACCGTACTAATACAAGCCATAATCGTCATAACTTACACAATTACAAAAATATACACATATCATCAACTTTCCACACCTGTGGATATCTCACACTACATTCGAAGCTAGTATGCACATGAAAATGTTCTCAAAACCTTTTTACAAAAAAGTGTGGATCACTGGCCAAAATCCCGAGTAGTAGTCCAAGCACAGAGTAGTTGAAGACCATACCTCATCTTGCCTTCAACTCTTGCTCAGCTCCCACCTATACACCTATCTACTGCTGCTGTTGATGATCTGCTTACACATAGCATAAGCAGAGAAGAAGAATAAAAAGAGGGTCAGCTCATAGCTGAGTGAGATAATCATAGCATCGTGAGTTCATAACATAGCATACCCCTATCATACATCTAACAATCAAGCCAAAGCACTAGGATCGGACCTCAGCCCTCCGACATCCCAATAGGCAAAAGACTCAACCACCTTGACTTATGCATATGCATCTTATTATGTTTTAATCATAGGCGCCTGGCTACTCCCATGCTAATAACTCTCCCGGGAAACATACCCCACATCCCGTCAGATGTAGTCATACATACCCCACACCACTATGGGTGTAGTCATACCCCGACACCACTCTGGGTGTGGTCATATCTCGTAAGAATTCTTCAGTCACCACCACACGAGAGGTGTGACTATCATACATATCATAATAGAGTAATAGCATAGGGAGCCCTAATTACTATGTAGTTGACCGTGAGACCACAACACTCATATTTGGTATCCTTATACATGATTCATATCTCATCTTGCTTAATCATAATTCATTACTTGCACATGTACTTGACCAGGCCACAATTGGCTCAACATAGGTAAATCAGGAGTCGTATAATTGCACTTCCTCGGGATAAACCCTCGTGCAAGTCATCCTCCTTAAAACATCATAATATTACCAGGGAATATATATATTCCCACTTGTGCATCCAAATACAACAATCATGAAAAATCATATACAATCACCTTCTCGAACCATCATAAGGCATATTCACAATTAAACCCACATCTGGCAACATATATAGAATCATCAACATAAACAAGGTCCATATCGTTTAGGGCAAGTCAATAATATCATACAGAAGCCTATAGTTCATCATATAGCAGAAAAGTCCATACACCCCTAATCATGCCATTCTAATTCACCTAGGTCAATTCTAAGCATCAATATAATTATCGTGATACGACAAACCCGGTATGCCGTGCTAATCCCTCACCAGTTCTGGTCGTTCAAACACCGGTTTAACCTTCCCGTACTAAAACGTCAATTTCACGAACGAACCCCGAATTGAAATCCGAGACCGTCCTAATATCCCCTGCAGTATCCCCGTCAATATTAGTTCTAGGCTCCGGGTCAAATTCTTGATAAAAACACATCAAACCCTGGCCGGAGCTAAATTCAGCGGTTTGGACCCCGGCCTAAATAATTGCCGAAATTCAGGGATTAGAACTAGAGGATTGATTACCTCGCTGCAGGAAGCTCGTATATGAAATTTGGGCTCAATCCGGCTTCCGGATACTCCGAAACCCTAATTTGGCTTATCGGGAATTCAAGAATTTCCTGAACCAAAACTCGTTTTAAAGCTCTAAATCGATAAATCACGATGTATAGATGAATTAGGCATTACTTACGGGATTTTTGGATCACTAGAGCTCAAGATTTGAGCTGTGAAATTTTTCCCCAGGCGCTCCGTGCGCGGCTCTGCTTCTCTGCTATCTCTCGACCGAAATGAAAGAAGAAGAAAATGGAATGGAATTACAATGGAAGACCGCTTACTAATATATATATATATAATCAATACGTATACTTATCCGATCGATCGATAAACCGATTTTCGCCGAAATACTATCAAAACGCTTGATTTTAAATCGCGAACTTTCTAGCGATCGAAATATGGGTTTAGCCGAAATGGGATGTTACAATTCTCCCCTCCTTAAAAGATTTCGTCCCCGAAATCTAACCTTGAGTCGTACTCTAACTCCTCTTACTAACCCTTAACATGGTCTATCACACATAAAGTCATTACCTAACGATTAGGTTAGGCTATTCATAACATAGAAGGTAACACATAACACCTCAAGTTCCCATGTTTAGGTTTCAAAAACCTATACTGGGCTATCACAACAAAAGCACATCAACAAGTTCAAAACATAACTTACTAAGCAAGATTGTTAACCTGCAAAGTAGGTTGCTACTAACTCAGGGTACTTCTCTCGCATACTTGCTTCAGTTTCCCAGGTAGCACTCTCACTTTCTTGATTTCTCCAAACCACTTTCAACATTGGAATCTCCTTCCTACGAAGAGTCTTAATCTGAAAATCAACAATCTCAATTGGAACCTCCTCAAAAGTTAAATCTGGGCCTAACTCGATCTCCTCTGGTTGTATTACATGGGAAGGATCCACTTTGTACCTCTTTAACATACTAACATGAAATACATTGTGGATTTGAGATAGTTCTGGAGGCAATGCCAGTTTATATGCCACTGGTCCAATCTTCTCTATGATTTCATAAGGTCCAATATACCGAGGTGCCAGTTTCCCTTTCTTACCAAATCTCATTACGCCTTTCCAGGGTGAAACTTTGAGGAATACTTTCTCACCCACTTCGAAATTAACTTCACGCCTACTCGTGTCAACATAAACTTTCTGTCGATCTTGAGCCACCGTCAAACGCTCCCTGATTTCCTTGACCTTATCAACTGTGATCTGAACTATCTCTGGCCCTGAGATTTGCCTTGCTCCTTCTACATCCCAACATAATGGTGTTCTACACTTCCTCCCATAAAGTGCTTCATATGGTGGAACACCCAAGCTACTATGGTACTGATTGTTGTAAGCAAACTCAATCAGGGGCAAATGATCAATCCATGATTCCTCCCATTGCATTACACATGATCGAAGTAACTCTTCTAAGGTAAGGATGGTTCGTTCACTCTGGCCATCTGTTTGAGGATGATAAGCTGAAGTAAAATGCAAGTTAGTTCCCAAGGATTCATGTAAACTTTGCCAAAACCGAGATGTGAAGCTTGGGTCTCGATCAGAGACAATAGAAATTGGCACACCATGCAATCTGACGATCTCCTTAATATATAGTTGAGACAAAGTCTCCAGTGATGGTTTCCATTTAATGGGTAAAAAGTGAGCCGATTTGGTCAGTCGGTCCACAATAACCCATACTGCATCTTTTCCCCTTGATGATGGGAGACCATATACAAAATCTATTGTAATTCTTTCCCACTTCCATTCTGGAATTGGAAGTGGTTGCAGTTTTCCCACATGAGCTTGATGTTCTGCCTTAACTTTCTGACATACCAGACATGTGAAAACATGTTCAGCCGCTTCCTTTTTCATCCCACGCCACCAAAAATATGGTTTGATCGTGTGATACATTTTAGTTGCTCTTGGGTGCATAGCATAAGCAGAAGAATGAGCTTCATCTAGGATCTCTTTCCTCAAGTTATCAACATTAGGAACACATGCTCTTCCATTCATCTGCAACATGCCATCTACCATTTCAAATGGGCTTTCCTTTCCTTCCTCAATGTCCTGAATGATTTTTGTCAACTCTGGGTCCTCCTTCTGCTTCTCACGAATTTTGTCGTGCAACAAAGGTCGAATGTTCAACCGAGCTAGTAACCCTGTTACACCATCCACTTCCAAATCAACATTCATTGCCCTCAAATCAACCAGATCCGTTATATTCTTCTTTCCTTTTCTGCTCAGAGCATCAGCAACTACATTAGCTTTACCTGGATCAATGGTACAATCATAATCTTTCAACAACTCTATCCATCTCCTCTGGCGACTATTTAAATCCTTCTGATCCATAATATACTTCAAGCTTTTGTGATCAGTTAGGATTTTAAAAGTCTCACCATATAAATAATGTCGCCAAATCTTGAGAGCAAACACCACCGCTGCCAATTCTAAGTCATGAGTGGGATAATTTACTTCATGAGGACGCAATTGCCTAGAGGCATATGCGATAAATCTTCCATCTTGCATTAACACACAACCCAGTCCTTGATATGAGGCATCACTATACACCACAAACTCTCCATGGTTTGAAGGTAAAGCCAGTACTGGTGCTGTGGTCAATCTCTTTTTCAGTTCATCAAAACTCTTTTGACATGATTCATCCCAAACATACTTGGTATTCTTCCTCAACAGTTTAGACAATGGTGCAGCAAATTTAGAAAATCCTTCGAAAAACCGCCGATAGTAACCCGCCATGCCAAGAAAACTTCTCAACTCGGACACATCTTTTGGTGGAGCCCAACTCACCACTGCTTCCACCTTTTTCGGATCCACCTCGACACCTCTTCCAGAAATTACATGTCCCAGAAATATTACCTCCTTCAGCCAAAACTCACATTTTGAAAATTTTGCATATAATTGTTTCTCCCTTAGAATTTGCAACACAATTCTAAGGTGAGTTTTGTGATCCTCCTCGCTTTTAGAATAGATGAGAATATCATCTATGAACACAATCACAAACTTATCAAGATATTCATGGAAAACTCTGTTCATAAGAGCCATAAATACCGCTGGTGCATTAGTGAGTCCAAAAGGCATTACCAGGAACTCATAATGCCCATATCTTGTTCTAAAAGCTGTCTTTGAGGTTGCTCCATCTGCCACTTTCAGTTGATGGTATCCAGACCTCAAATCAATCTTAGAAAAGACAGATGCACCCTGCAATTGATCAAACAAATCATCTATTCTTGGAAGGGGATAACGATTCTTCACTGTCGCCTTATTCAATCTCCGGTAGTCAATGCACATTCTCATGGAGCCATCCTTCTTCTTGACAAACAAAACCGGTGCACCCCAAGGTGAGATGCTAGGTCGAATAAACCCCTTGTCTAGCAATTCTTGAAATTGTTCTTTAAGCTCCTTCAGCTCAATTGGTGCCATTCTATATGGTGCCATTGAAATTGGTGTTGTGCCAGGAACCAATTCAATATCAAACTCTACTTCCCTTTCTGGTGGAAGGCCGGGAAGTTCTTCGGGGAATACATCAGGAAACTCCCTTACCACCTCTACATCCTCAACCTTCTTATCATTTACTACAGTAACTTGAGCAAGAAAGGCTTCACAACCTTCCTTCACTAATCGAAAAGCTTCCAAGGCAGAAAGAAACCCATGAGTCTCCTTTTTCTTAATGCCTCGGAATACAACAGGACCTTTATCTGGTGTGTTGAATAACACTTCTTTCTTTTGACAATCCACAACAGCTCCATGTGTTGCCAGAAAGTCCATTCCAAGGATGACATCAAATTCATCAAAAGGTAGCAGAATTAAATCTGCTGCTAGGAAAGCTCCTTCCACACAAATGAAGGAACTTCTAATAACTGAATCTACCTTCAAGGTATCTCCCACAGGTGTTTTAACACATAAGGTATAACCTAGCTTATCTGGAACTAAGCGTAGCATATGTGCAAACATATATGACATGAATGAGTGAGAGGAACCAGTATCGATCAAAGCATATAATTGCTTGCCAAGGATAGAAAGCATACCAGTCACAACTTCTGGTGCCACTTCTGCCTCACCTCGAGTCATTGCATAAACCCTCGGTGCTCCCTGTGTTCTGGTACCTTGCGTACCACTTCCTGATGGTTGATTTCGACCACCACCTCTACCACCTTGTGAACCACCACGACCACTCTGAAATCCACTACGGCCTCCCTGGTAACCACCCCTGAATGGGGCTCTACTAAATTGCACTGAAGGCTCGGACTGTGTAGCTCTTACTTCTCTCGAATGCGGGCAATCCCTCATGATGTGCCCAGGTTGGCCACAGTGAAAGCATACACCAGAAAATCTCCTACACTCTCCAAGATGCCTCTTCTGACAAACTTGACAAAATGGAAATTGTGTGGCTGAGGAAATTGGTGCCTTGTATGATGACATAGATTGACTCGGTGTTCTCCCAAAACCGCTGGGACCTCTCTTAGATGGGTAACGAGGTCTAGAATAACTCACTCCAAACTTCCTCTTCTTCTCCTCTTCTTTGGCCTTGTGTTCCTCTCGGCTCTCAGCTTCATAGGCTTCATATTTAAGTGCTGCCTCCTTGATTGTGGCCATGCTCTCTTCATCAACCCTGTGGATCTTTTCTTTCAATCCTATGCGCAGACCATGCAAGTATCTCATCTTCTTCTTATGCTCAGTATCTGCAAACCCATCTTCAAAGTAAAGTAGTCGAACAAACTTGATGGTATACTCAGTAACTGTCATATTCTCCTGCTTAAGGTTGGAGAATTCATTGTTCTTTGCCCTGATAAAAGCTTCGGGAAGAAACTCTGTCTTAAAGGCCTTCAGGAACTCCTCCCAGGTGAACTGAACTCGTTCACCATTAACTCTAGAGACTGAGGACCACCAGCTCCTCGCGTACCCCTTTAGGAGAAAAACAACATATTGTACTTTTTCCTTTGGGGTCGCATAAAGATATTCAAACACATCTTCCACCTCTACGAAGTAAACTCTCTTTCTCACCTGGGTATGAAGAACCCTAGATTTGTATGTTAGGCCTGGTTGTATGAACCCAAGTACGAATTCTTAGATATTGATTATATTCAATTGAGGCATGGTTTTCTGAATTGCATGAATCCTGATCAAATTCCTGTTATTCCTGCTTTGACATATAAAAAGAATATCTGCCTAGGTTGATAGAGCACCCTTGATTGAAAGGCATAGTTAGTAAATACTCTGTTTAATACATGTATATGTACTAGTACGTACTTATCCATTTAAAACTTCCGTATCCATATTATTGTCAAACCGTCTCATTCTTCCCCGTTCATTTGATGGCTCACGTACTAACCACGTATAAAACCCGCATAACACGTTTATTATCCGTATTGTACGAATTAAATTTTTAACTTCACTGTTATTTATAGTATATTTATTTTTAAAAGGGTTAATTTTATATATTTATGACTATTAACCATGGACCAGGAAACCGGATCGTACCGGCCAGTTTAACCAGAAAAACCGGAAACCGGACCAAAAGCGATACGGTAGCCTAATGGTGGTCGTTTTACCGTACCGGCCGGTTTTTCCGGCTGAACCGACACTGTAACACCCTACCCTATACGTTTTGCCTAATCATATTGTTCATACAATTGCAGCGGAATTAATCTCGGGTGTTACATTAATTATCAAAATTTACCTAAATAAAATTTCGACATGAATCACTCGCGTAATGGGCTAACAGTTCTTGCAACTTATCCTGCAAAATAATTCATCACAAACATATATACTCACAACCATATGCATTGGCTTTCATAGCCATAGGCACAGTTTCATACTACACAACTGCATACCGTACTAATACAAGCCATAATCGTCATAACTTACACAATTACAAAAATATACACATATCATCAACTTTCCACACCTGTGGATATCTCACACTACATTCGAAGCTAGTATGCACATGAAAATGTTCTCAAAACCTTTTTACAAAAAGGTGTGGATCACTGGCCAAAATCCCGAGTAGTAGTCCAAGCACAGAGTAGTTGAAGACCATACCTCATCTTGCCTTCAACTCTTGCTCAGCTCCCACCTATACACCTATCTACTGCTGCTGTTGATGATCTGCTTACACATAGCATAAGCAGAGAAGAAGAATAAAAAGAGGGTCAGCTCATAGCTGAGTGAGATAATCATAGCATCGTGAGTTCATAACATAGCATACCCCTATCATACATCTAACAATCAAGCCAAAGGACTAGGATCGGACCTCAGCCCTCCGACATCCCAATAGGCTAAAGACTCAACCACCTTGACTTATGCATATGCATCTTATCATGTTTTAATCATAGGCGCCTGGCTACTCCCATGCTAATAACTCTCCCGGGAAACATACCCCACATCCCGTCGGATGTAGTCATACATACCCCAACATCCCGTCGGATGTAGTCATACATACCCCACACCACTATGGGTGTAGTCATACCCCGACACCACTCTGGGTGTGGTCATATCTCGTAAGAATTCTTCAGTCACCACCACACGAGAGGTGTGACTATCATACATATCATAATAGAGTAATAGCATAGGGAGCCCTAATTACTATGTAGTTGACCGTGAGACCACAACACTCATATTTGGTATCCTTATACATGATTCATATCTCATCTTGCTTAATCATAATTCATTACTTGCACATGTACTTGACCAGGCCACAATTGGCTCAACATAGGTAAATCAGGAGTCGTATAATTGCACTTCCTCGGGATAAACCCTCGTGCAAGTCATCCTCCTTAAAACATCATAATATTACCAGGGAATATATATATTCCCACTTGTGCATCCAAATACAACAATCATGAAAAATCATATACAATCACCTTCTCGAACCATCATAAGGCATATTCACAATTAAACCCACATCTGGCAACATATATAGAATCATCAACATAAACAAGGTCCATATCGTTTAGGGCAAGTCAATAATATCATACAGAAGCCTATAGTTCATCATATAGCAGAAAAGTCCATACACCCCTAATCATGCCATTCTAATTCACCTAGGTCAATTCTAAGCATCAATATAATTATCGTGATACGACAAACCCGGTATGCCGTGCTAATCCCTCACCAGTTCTGGTCGTTCAAACACCGGTTTAACCTTCCCGTACTAAAACGTCAATTTCACGAACGAACCCCGAATTGAAATCCGAGACCGTCCTAATATCCCCTGCAGTATCCCCGTCAATATTAGTTCTAGGCTCCGGGTCAAATTCTTGATAAAAACACATCAAACCCTGGCCGGAGCTAAATTCAGCGGTTTGGACCCCGGCCTAAATAATTGCCGAAATTCAGGGATTAGAACTAGAGGATTGATTACCTCGCTGCAGGAAGCTCGTATATGAAATTTGGGCTCAATCCGGCTTCCGGATACTCCGAAACCCTAATTTGGCTTATCGGGAATTCAAGAATTTCCTGAACCAAAACTCGTTTTAAAGCTCTAAATCGATAAATCACGATGTATAGATGAATTAGGCATTACTTACGGGATTTTTGGATCACTAGAGCTCAAGATTTGAGCTGTGAAATTTTTCCCCAGGCGCTCCGTGCGCGGCTCTGCTTCTCTGCTATCTCTCGACCGAAATGAAAGAAGAAGAAAATGGAATGGAATTACAATGGAAGACCGCTTACTAATATATATATATATAATCAATACGTATACTTATCCGATCGATCGATAAACCGATTTTCGCCGAAATACTATCAAAACGCTTGATTTTAAATCGCGAACTTTCTAGCGATCGAAATATGGGTTTAGCCGAAATGGGATGTTACAGACACAAACCAAAATACCATCCGGTTTCGTTCTAACCGACGATACACTTATTGGAACGAAAACGTGCCCGTTTAACTCATTTAAAACTATTAAAAAAAAACGACGTCCTTTCTTTCATAGCAATTCCCAAAACCTAAGTCCCTGCCTCTATTGTAACCCGCCCCATCTCCATTCCCGTTCCCTGCCTCCCGTCCTCGAACAAACTTAGCTAGATCGGCGCTTTTGGTCGACCTTGATCGATTTCTGGCGACATGAGACAGAGGGAGTAGATCGAGAAAACAGGCCGAACATAGAGGAGGTAGGTGAAGAAAGGAAGAAAGAGGAGAAAAATTTATGTTATTCCTCCATTCCTCGATCGTTTATCGTTTTTTAGAGAGGGGCAAAATAAAATTGGATAGAATGAAGGTTGGGGAATATAATTTTGTTCGGTTCATTTTTCAGAAAGGGGAGAGTGGGAGAGAAGGGTTGCAGAGTGAAAGGGAAGTGAGCGGCGCGGGCGCCTAGGGTTTGGTATCCCTTTCATTCTTTATATATCTCACGGAATATAATAATCAGTCCTTCCTTTTTAACAAAATTACTTCATTTGCCACCACATCTTTTGCAATGTAATATGATGTTCCTTTGTTGTGTCAACTTGGCTACTGCAGTACTGCTACGTGTGTATATCTTAATTCAGTTTTATTTTAAATTAAGTATGTTATAAACGCGCTGCTACGGATCGGGAAATAGCCGGAGTCGATAAAGCAAGAATATGAAAGCGAGAATCGAAAAAATACAGACACACGATTTACGTGGTTCACTAACACGATGTGTGTTAGCTACGTCCACGGGCGAGAGAGAGTCAGTTTCACTATATCGAGGAGATTACAGATTACAGAGGAGTATGAGAAGTATTTATAGTACTTCTCCATGTGGGTCTAAACCTAATCCAATCTGGCAAAGGAAACGGTTACAGACCTGCGAGACTCCCGATTACCAGTCGTAGCGGCTGATAGTCCGATTCAAGTCACATCAACAAAGTAATTAGAAAACTGCCTATTTCTCATCAATCTAATTCATTCATTAAGTTATATTTAAAATTAAGCTTCATACATAAATCCCACACCAATTAAACGTCAATATGCTATTGGATGATGATGTGATTATTAGATGTTGTATGATAATTTATCTAATTCAAGACTAGTTTGTTTGTTATTTATAGTACTTCTCCATGTGGGTCTAAACCTAATACAATCTGGCAAAGGAAACGGTTACAGACCAGCGAGACTCCCGATTACCAGTCGTAGCGGCTGATAGTCCGATTCAAGTCACATCAACAAAGTAATTAGACAACTGCCTATTTCTCATCAATCTAATTCATTCATTAAGTTATATTTAAAATTAAGCTTCATACATAAATCCCACACCAATTAAACGTCAATATGCTATTGGATGATGATGTGATTATTAGATGTTGTATGATAATTTATCTAATTCAAGACTAGTTTGTTTGTTATTTTATGATTATTTAGTATTTTACTATTTACTGTCCGGTATTTTATCGGTAGAGTTCCGGTATTACTTCGGTACGGTAGTCTATTTTTCCGATACGGTATTTTAACAAAAATATATTTTTTTATTAAAAAATGATATTCGACCGGTATAAAATGGTTGAACCACGACCGTAACATAAAATACCATATCACAAACTTGTCCGATATGACCTCCGGTACGGTTTCCTAAACAATGCTATTAACGTACTATTAAACATAACTTTAGCTTAGATACGAAGTATAATACAGTACGTATTTTTTACGTAACTTTCCCATACTGTATTTTACTAACTATGATTGAAGGTAGTGAATTGACGACTTTAGTCGAGGAGTCAATTCACTATTTTGTACTGGATTTATTCCAGTAGAGGAGTTTTGATACGTAGGGCCTCAGTCTGTTTACTCCGGTGGAGGTTAGTCGCCTGCTGTAGACTCAGATTGAGAGGGTTTGGAGACCTTTAGTCGAGACTGCAGACTGTCTAAGAACCTCCCGCAGTATAATTATCATTGAATCTAAACTTGGCAAATTACAACTTGGCTTACCTACAGCCTAGGGGGAACCATATCTGGGTGACCTCTCTCAAACTTGGAACACAACATTTACTGCTTTTGTTTGCTAGTTTAGTTGGAACTTCACTACAGTTGAACCGCTAAATAATAAGAATCTCACGGAGTAGTCATCATACTTAGGACCCGGGTTGACATTTAGAACTAAACCCGCTATACTACGCATTAGTAGGTGGTTAACTTGGCCACTTTCTAGTATGACGGTACAAGCGTGTCATATACCAACTTATAATACAAAAATATTTTCCATAATATTGATATTGCAGTAGAATATATGAATTAGCTTTTTTCTTTTATTTTAGTAGAATAAAGTATTTTGTGTACAACGGGTACGAGACAAACGCATTTTTCCATTACAATGGTAACATACATAACCAATATCTTGTTATCATGTCCACTTCTTTCTTTGCCCTTAGATTCTTCAATTTCCACTTCTGGGGAATATATGGGCTCTTAGA